CACCATTTCTATTTGTTATTATAATATGCTGTGGGCTACTGTGTCCAAATAATTTCCCTTGTGGAACAATAAAGTTTGTCTAAGTCTATGTTATGGTTCAAATACAAATGGCTCACATGTGATTGGCCATTACTGTAATCTACATGTCGTTAAAATGTGCCTCAATGATAATAACATTTAAACATGTGTGAATTAAACAAAACTCCAGGTATGTTCTTGATGATCTAACGGCATTCTCACATATCTTAAAGCTCACAAGAGGAACTTTTGTAGAATATCGGCCACATCTCTGCAGAAGTGGACAGAGATGACGAAAATTAACAGGAAGAAGAGATGCCTTTATTGGAAAATGACTTTGTGATAGGAAACAGTAAAGCCAATATTTACAGTGGTGCCTATTCAGGTTTTTGTAATGTTATGCTTCATTACAGACATTTATCACTCAGCTCACACACAAAAGCTGTATGAGCAAATCCTTCACAAATGTTACTGTGATGGTAACAGAACAAATGAGGTGCTCGATTAAATATTTGCGAGCTCTTTTAAATGCATTTTGGCCAAAGTTTAGAAATCTGTTTGCTCTGGCAGTTTATAGTAATCAGTTATCTCAAGTGAATACTGTCAGTAATGTTGAAATATACGGAAATGTCAAGTAATTTCCCTTGTGGATCAATCAATTGGTAATTATATATATATTTGTCCAATAATCAAGATGACCAAATATTTGGATAATTTTGACGTTCATTTAAATGAATATTGTCTACATTAGGGATGAATACTGATACTGGTACCGAATATCTGAATATTGACGTTGATCCAGGACATTTTGCTGGATCAAGTATCGGTCCCATGTCAGTTAAGCCAATATCCAGGTGGAACCTTAAACTGGATGTAATGAGAATATTTAGGCTGATTTTGGCCTAGAACACCTCATGATGATTGAACTTTTATTCATATGAAGCTGTTCAAGAGTCACTTGAAGTACCCTTCATAACAGTTACATAACACAATTGGAAATCTTGCGTAAAAGTTTGTTTTATTGTGGGGAAAGGGTAATTTTCCATCTCTACAATAGTATCATATAATATCGAGTATGGCCAGATACTTAAAGCCAAAATATTGATATCAGTATTGGAGCTGAAAAGGCTCGACCGGTGCCTACATTCATATCCCTAGTCTCCATTTACATCTAGTCAGTGAAGAATGAGGTCAATAAAATTCACAGGTCTGATATAATACACAGGTCTCGTAACACACAAGACACGTAACGGTGACCTAGATAACTGTGTGTGTGGAAACATAAAACATGCCAATACGCACACAATACGCAATATTGATATCAGGGAAAGAGAAAAATATGGGAACTCTAAATGTTGGCTGAACACTAGGGATGCAACGATATTCTCCGATATTCTCTATAATATCAAATTATTCGATACTGGTGACACGATTCGATACACGTGTTCGGTCGATACACACATGTCCCTCCATATGAGTAGTGTTGTTATTTATTTTGGTCAGATGCAGAAAACAGCTCCATAGAGACTTACAGCTGAAATATTCTTTCAGTCACTTTTTACTTTACGTTGACCCAGGAATGACAAAGATATTACTCAAACATGAGTGAATGCAACAAAACACAACTCTAGGTATGTTTTTGAGGAGGTAACAATATTATAACAAGGCTCAAAGCTCTCAGGAGTCAATTTTGTGTAATTTAGGACCTTTCATTCTTAGTGCTTAATTTTCAAAAGGAAACTTAATACTATCAAGATTTGTAGAGCAGCATGTATAGTGAACAGCTCCATATCACATAACAACTCACACGATGCATTTAGTGTAAACAAAACTTCACTGTATCTACTATAAGGGCTTAAAAGGTCAAACTGAATCCAATATACTTTTCACAATGTAATTTTCTCCTCGAACTGCACCTAAACGTACCATTATTTACACCACTGGAGATGTCCACAAACAAAAACAGAGACTGAGAATAACATATAGAAGTCTTTCCATTACTCCAGTCCATTTGCATCTGTTGTGTATACACCACACTGCAATGATCGGGTCTGGGGCACTTTCTGGGACAGAAGAGGGACCTTGAATTTTAGATTTAGGGCAATTTAGAGAACTGGTTGCGAGTGCTACAACAATAACAGTTACAAGAGTCTACAAGTGCATTACAAAGTCCTCAAAGTGGTAATTAACGGGACATAGTATTAAAAATTTACTTTGTCAGCTTTTCTCCTGGTTATACTTTGATTTATTAATGCGTGCAATCCAAGTAGCGCAGTATCAGTAGGCTAAATTATATAGTCTTTTCCCCCTATGTGCAAAAATGTGAGCTAGTGACCTGAATAATACTATTTGGGTCTATTTGAATTATGTTAATATCTCTGGTTAGATATTACACTGGTTCATGCCCATAGTGGCTTATATTGGCCTGAATAAAAATATATTGCTGAAGAAAATATAAATGATAAACGATAATATTGAAAACAAATTTATTCCACTGATACAGTCATCCTAAAGTCAAATTATCTCCAAAAACTATTGAATGAAATACTTTAGTAGTTTGTCTCTATCGTAAGAGTCATAAGAGTTTGCATTCAAACTTCTACAGCTCAAATCCATCATAGTTCATAAATAAAACAAGTTCCCCAGTATTACAAAAAAGATGCACCCAAGATAAAAATTGCTCCCAAAAATGATTAAGTCAATCTAACAATTATTGCGTCAAGTGAAGGCTTAGATAGCTTTATATTCTGTTTATAATTTTATTGACCATAATATTGCTTATTGGTAAATCTGGAGTCACACTGGTCCTGGTCTGGTCCTGGTTTGAGCTCTGTTTAGTTCTGATGTAGACTTGGTTTGGTCTTGCTCTAGGTCAGTCCTGGTCCAGTCCTGTCCAGCTTTATAGTTTTAACCATACAGTTACTTTAACCTTTAGTTTATTAGTTTGTTTTAACAGAGACCATTCGTAAAACATTAATCTCATAAAAGAAGAGATGCTTTCAGATCAGATTTGAAACTAAAGCTGGTTTCCATCTGCAGTCCCCGGGCAGGTTAACGAACAACTAAAATACACTCAAGTATCCATCCATGTGCAATCAATCCTGCATTAACCCAATCTTTCATTTAAAAACATCACTCCACATTTCCACATTTAAAATTACTCACATTACAATTTGCCACGTGCAAATACAAGTGAGTAGGGATGTAACAATAGCCGAAATATCGTGATATCGTATCGTCAAAAGTCTCACAATAATATCATGGGCTGTCACAATATTTCGAATCACAAGTTCCTTTAATTTCATGGTTTTATAGTAGCTTATAACAGCTTATAACATCGGGAACTACATATCCCATGAATCATTTCAGTGCAAACAACATGATGAAATATGTTTTTTACTTGAATTCTTGGGATTATACACACCAAAATCTTGTTGAGGTATTTTAAAAGCAAAAAAGCGTCACATCTACAATTATATCAGCCTCTCCAAAATTTTGCAATAAATATCGTACCGTGAGATGCATATCGTGATAATATCGTACTGTGATATTTGGATATTGTTACATCCCTACAAGTGAGTGTTGAGAACTTTCCTAACATTATAAGAGAAGTCCCTGAGGTCAGAGGAGGGTTGAGCGTGTCTGGGAGCTTGTTGCACTCTTTAATTCCCATGTATGAGAAGGCTGTCAGTGCAAAGGCTGAGCTACATCTGGGGAGTCTGCAATCATTGTCAAATCTCCTTCAATTTCCTTAGGGATAATAAAGTATTTCCAATCTAATCAAATCTTATATCTTAAGGTGGAGGTGCAACATTGCTTAAAATTCTATGTATTACCGTAATTGCACATTCAAATACATAATCAGATTCTCAAAGTTTAACATTTTATATTTTGTAAGGATTTGACAATGATGATGTCTTCTTGTCTACCACTTTTGCTGCCTGATTAAACAAAGATTTAAGTGGTTTTAATGCTGTTTCTTTTGCTTGAGACCAACTATCATGCAATAGTTTATATGAGAAGTGACCATCGCATCTAGATAAATTTTGCTGCGTAATAGTTCAGTAGGTCAGTGTGTTTCGAATGTGCCTTAAGACACATAAATTGTTGTTCACAGCGTTACAGACTTTTTGAACACTGGATCCAACACCTCTCCTAAATATTTAAATTCTTCTAACACTTTGATTTGTCCACAGCCCCACCCTTATCAATCTTAGACTTGACTACCTCTATAAAACTACAGCATGCTGTTTCTGTGTAAAGATGTTTTCAGTATCCTGCAATTATTTTTTGTATGACCTTGGAAATAACAGGAAATATGCTGATAAATCTGTAGTTCCATGCTTCATATCTGTCTCAAGCTTTAAAGAGAGGAGTGATTACTTGAAAACTGTTTTATATTTTGTAATAAAGATGATCATAATATTGCTTTTTGATGTTCTAGTCAGACTTGTCCAGGTCTGGTCCTGGTATGAGCCCTGTTTAACCCTGATGTAGACTTCGTTTGGTCCTCTTCTAATCCAGGTTTAGTTCTAGGTTTAATCCCAATTTTGATGCTGTGTGTATGAATCCCTTAATTATACCTAAAGTTTATAGTTGTTATAACATTGACCATAATATTGCTTTTTGATGCTGTAGTCTCACCTGCCCTGATTTGAGCCTTGTTTAATCCTGAAGTAGATTTAGTTTGATCCTGTTCTAGTTCTAGTTTAGTCCTGTTCTAGTCCAGGTTTAGGTCCATTTTTGATGCTGTGTGTATGAACCCCTCAATAATACACAGACTTTACCAGGACTTGACTAGTTTGCAGGAAAACAGTTTTATATTTGTTATAACATTGACTGTATTATTGCTTTTTGATGCTGTAGTCTCACTTGACCTGGTTTGAGCCCTGTTTAACCCTGATGTAGACTTGGCTTGGTCTTGGTCCTGTTCTAGTCCAGGTTTAGTTCCAGGTGTAGTAGAAGAGTTTACCAGGACTTACCCAGTTTGCAGAGCCAGCAGACCAGGACCCAAAGAGCAACTAAGTAGGGGACCTCCACATGGTGCCACTTCCAGCTGACGATGGGTAAGGTGGTGATCGGTGCCCCGTGTTCCCCTCCTGCAGTTTCTTCATGTGTCGCATTCCCAGTGTCAGTCTCACTGTTTGCCTCTGTGGTTTCTTGGACAGCCGTGTTTGCCTGGCATACCATCACAAGCATGCAAAAAACATAAAAACAAAGTGCGTATTGCCTCAAAGTTGCCATTTTGGAGTCTCTCAATCCAAAAGCAATATTTGAAGTGTAAATTTAAGTGCTAAAATGTCATCTCCCTCGCATGCCCTTGACCTCATGTGTCCCTGCACCTGCTCCTGAATCCTTCCATCTCTGTGTGACTGAAAAGGCCTCTGTGTGATCCAGTAACACCTCATACATCTCAGGTGAGGTCCAGCCCTGATACCTGGCTCCTCCCACTGCCCTCCCCTCTCTACCGGATGCTTAGTCACTTGCTTCACATTGTCACTGTATTATTAACCTGTGATATTGTGAATTACAGCTTCATTAGGAAATTCTTTGTTTATTAAAATATGCTGTGATTTTAAAAAGAAAGTTGATCTATTTGATTCCATTTTAGAAAGACAAACACTAGGTCACTGTTTCCCATTAATACAGGAGACTATGGTGGCTCCCCATAAAATTGTCCCCCGTAGTAATAAACTAAACAAAATTTGACTTTGTTGTTTATTTTATGATTACAAAGCTATCAGAAAGACTACACTGGTCAAAAATTACTGGTTAAAGAGTAAATATATATTCAGTATAATCTTAAGTATTCATTAATCATACTTCACAAACAATCATCGTCACAAACAGAACACGCACAGAAACGTTGTGGCACTAAACACGGTTCATGGAGATGAAATGAGGTCCATCAGTTTGTTGAGCTGAAGGCAAATTCAACAGTTCACTTTCAGTTAAAGCTTTCCCCTCACCTGTCCTCTGTCCCTCTGTCCCCCTGTCCTCCCTCTGACCACAGAGGGTTGTAGTCTCCACACACATTTCTGTATTCTCCACACGCAGCTCTTCCTCTCTCTGGGCCTCAGGTCTCTGGAGTCGTCCTTTGACCTGGCGTTGTTAGGGCATTTTCAGGTTACAGGTCTTGTAGTTAATGGAAAACAAACTAATTTTCTATATTCCCCTCAGTCAATCAAGTAAAGTTTCTTGTGATTTGATAAGGTTTTGTTAAGACCTTCATTTTGTTTTTAAGAGAGCTCATAAAAATTATGGGTGTTCACGGAACCAGTTGCCACTGAGGAGGTTTTCTGGTACCAGCTGGACATTTCTTAGAACATGCATACTATTAAATTCACAGGCATTCTGACTATGAGCGAGGTTTCCTCTCCACAGATTTCACCTGTAGCTTGGCATGATTTAGTGGCCATGAAAATAGAAAAGTTTGATACTATATTGTGAAACATTCCTAACAAAGCAATAACATCTGGGGAAAAGCATTTGATGGACATACCACCAGAAAAGTTACACAATAAACCTTTAAAATTACTTTATGCCTCTTGAGATAATAGCAATAAAGCAGGATAACCCCAGTAAACCATTTTTAAATAAACACTATCATTCAAAAGCCTGAGCCACAAATAACCAAATGTAATATTATTTGACAATAATTAGCCAGAGACGTCACTTATTTAAAGGTGCACTGTGTAACTTGTCTGGTGACAGCTTGTCTCCATGGAGATGTGCCTAGAATGTCCCACAGTATGCCCATAAATTTAAGAATCTCCATAAAGACTTGCAAGCCAAATTACAGGTTAGATTTATGGAGAGATGACCCCACTAACAGTAAGAATTAATGTTTAAGATATTTTTGAGCAATAAATAACATTTATAGTTGAATAAATGTAAGACAAATTAGTTTATTACCAAAGCATTAACATCTCCTTGGAGACAAACAGACCAACTACAGATAGTTACACAGTGCAACTATAACCTTTTACAACTCAAATGTTATTGTATTACAACAGAATTACCCCAAATCTCTCCACTTTTGCAAAGAAAATGTACACATGATAAATACTGGGCTCCAAAACATATTGTTCTAGCTTTCATATATTGAACAGTAAAGTAATAGGCCTATAAGTTCAGTTGTATAAAGGTGTATTTGACTCTTTTGTCTCCCTCATGGTCTGTATCACACGATGCTGTTGAGCCTTCATGTGTGTTTGTTTAGGGGACAGACTTTTGTAATGGGCCAGTCTGGACAGGTGCCTTCTCTTCCTCGAGCTGGACACTATATCAGTGATATCAGCCACTTTTGTTCTTTATTGAGATTCATTTCACTATTTATTCAGCCAATTTTGCCACTTTTCCTCTGCTTGTGTGATGTGAAGTGGTTTTCGAGTTCTCCCACAGTCCACATAAATAGAGAAAATAGAAAATGCAGTTTGAAATAGTGTAAGTGCTACTACAAATCAAAGGACAAATTAATTGAGTTGAATCCTGGTGACACTGATGGATTTATTTTGGCCTGTTTTAGCAAAAATACATTTTTATTTTTCTATTTTGTCATACGTACGGAGTGAAATGCTGTGTGTACTTGAGGATGGGAAAGATGCCTGTTCTTTTCTCTCACCTGGATGCAACAAAAGTTTGATTTCTTTTGTTAGGATTAGGATTATATTCCAAATTTGAGTATATTAGGTATTATGTCACTGAAGATTGGGAACAGTGATCTGGTGTTTTTAGTACTTCTTTAGAACACCCTAATTTTTCCAGTTATTTATTGCAATTCAAGCTGTGCAAGTCCAATGAAAAGCTTGAAATGGTACAAAGGTGAACAGCCAGATGTTAAAAAATAATAATAAAAGATAACAAAACACAAATCCAAGCTCTGCTAAAACTACCTCAGGAAAAAAGAACAAGATGGTGAACTTGAAAACATGAAGTGTCCAGCACAGTCTTCAGACTTAAACCCCATCGAGCTGGTTTTGGGATGAACTGGACAGAAAAGTAAATGCCAAGAATAGGTAGCTTGGCTTTTACCACACATTTATGGGAACTTCTGTAACCGACTTGGGAAGAACCTTCTGAAGAATATTTAATTTCTATTGTAAAAAGAATGAGCCACGAGTGTGCTCAGCTGTTATATCTGCCAAAGGTGGACATTTTCACGAATCAAAAGTTTAGAATATGTTTTGGTCAACAGTAAACAGTAAAAAACTGGGAAAAGTGTGGTGTTCTAAAACTTTCGACCAGTAGTGTATAACTTAATCTTGCTGAACTGAAGGTTACCTTGTTGGGTTGAGGTTTATAAGTTGAAAGCAGTTTCTCTGGACAGTGTAAGGTCAGATGCCACAAACACAGGATGAAGTGTAAACAAGAGGCAGCTCAGACTCACTCCAAGAAGACAAGGATATTTCTGTGTAAATACAGAACATGTCTTCACGAGCCATACAGATCTATAAACAAAGACACAAAGACACAAACATTGCAAATGACAAATAGAGTAATATTATACTTTGAGTAAAAAAAATACAGATTTGGGAGGTTTTGAATCATATAGGGGAGCGTCATCAGTAGAGATAAAAACCTTATTTTTCAGTGTATCAGCTGTTGGCCTTAAAGGTGCATTGTGTAACTTGGGTGGAGGTTGAGTCAAATGTTTTTCTCCATGGAGGTGTTATTGCTTTGTTTAGAATGTTTCACAGTGTGGTATTAAACATTTCCATCTTCATGGAGACCAAACCAGACCAAGTTACAGATCAGATCTGTGGAGAGGCAACTCCACTCATAGTCAGAATATCTGTTTTTCTAGGTATTTTTTAACTATAAAACCACCTGTAATTGAATAAATGTAAGGTAGTTGTTTAATATCATATTGTGGAACATTACAGGTAGAGTAATGACACTGCCCTAAAAATAAGTAGGTGACGGACCCACAACAACACCTTTAAATCTCCAGCACAAGCTGATATTTAGTTTTAGCTGGCCAGCTGCATAAAGAATACAGACAAACCTTTATTTTAATGCTTCAGTGCGAAGAGATAAACCTGACTACACAGCTCCCTTAAATATTTGGGACTGTGGATGAGTTTGTTGTGAGTTTAAACTGCATCAGGGAAAATAACCAATAGTCAAACATCAGTCATGGAGAGAAAAAAAAAAACATCAGTTGATCTCTAGTCATCAAACTTTTTCAACAGAAAAGATAAACTGCAAAGTCAGAACCTGGAAATTGCCTCACTTAAGTCTCAAAAACAATACACAGAAATCTTCCTCATTCTTTCATTAAGTTTCAGTACACACAAAGATGAATGAAAGAGGGGGTTTTAGCTCAATGACTAAGCTGTATTGTGTTTCAAACTATTTATAGCAAGACCTGCAAACTAGTAATAAATTCCCCATACACATATACAAAACAGGCTAATTAATACAAAACTGTATATTTGTATTATAAAGGTCTTATAATAAGCAAATTGACTTAAAGTGAGCTTTATGCCATGTTAGAATGTTGTTACCTCATCAAAAACATATTTGAAGTCCTGTTTTGTTTCATTCACACACATTTATCATTCGTCTGTCTACATCTCCAAAGCTCAAAATGCTCTGTTCCACCTTTTGATGTCATGAAGTGAGAGTTTTCAAGTTAACACCTTTTACCTTTTGTTCAGTAGATATGGGCAATTCCCTGGCTGAAATTAGCCAAATTATTCTAGTGAAGGTGCATGGAGTTTAAAAATAAAGTGGAGCACTTCCTGTATTACCACATGAGTGTCTTCTGTTTAAGAGAAGCCAAAATATGCAGGTTTGTGTGTTAAACATGTGTGAATGAAACAAAACACAACTCTGGGTGTGTTTGTGATGAGGAAACAGCATCATACCACAGATCAAAATAGTGTAAAATGGGCCCTTCAAACACGTCACATACATACACACATACATACAGTACATACATTATTGCACGGTACAGATTGTGCAGACACTTGAGGGTACAAACGATCTATAAGTGCTACAACAGACAAAGTCACTTTGTGTTTAATTACCCCAGTGTTTATGGTCTCACGTTACAAAGAGAGCGTGTAAAGAACTGGCACTGGCACCTGCATGATGGGCACCAGTCAAACCAAGGGCACTGCTAATAGTTGCTGGAAATGAAGGACATAATAAACTTTCAGGAAGGAAGTAGTATTGAATAAGAAAACAAATGTATCTATGTAATAGTTATTGTATTTTAGGTACATAAAAGTTTGGTTAGTAGTAATTCATTTTGACATGCAGTTATGTGCAATAATACAAACTAGTGTTGACATAATAACAGAACTTCAAACTCGATTATAATACTAAAGAATAGACTCAGGGCCTGTTTACACGAGAACACTTGCGGGTAAAATTGACAAAATATTTTATCGGAAGTGCCTTTCGTTTAGATGGTGACAGCATTTTTGGGGCTTAAAAACGCAAAAATCTGAAACCACCCTCTTAAGTGGAAAAGTTGAATACGCTCCACCGTAGCGTTTCTGTCTACACTACCCAAGACGCAAAACTCTGGCTAGATCTGCTCACATCGCGTACGCGTTTACGTCACATACATCCAGTACACAGAAACCTGGCATGCATAGTCAATCGAATTCCACACACTTTTGCGTTGCCGTATGCACGCAGAATTCCTCCCAAAAATACTTGGCGGAATAAAAAGTGAAGAAGCGACACCACTTTTGCGTCTTCTGTTCAGTCAGTCATCATATAAAGGTTGTCTCAATACAGATTTAAATTACTATAGTTTTGATACTAGCTTTAATATCGATTAGCATTTGAGTTTCAATACTTTTAACAATCTTAATACGAGTCTCACTCCCCTTTTATAATATGTAGGCCATTTCAAACACTCTTGCTTGAAAGCTCATAATGAGTTTAGTTCAATATTTTGTAAACAAACTCAGAATTAGCCTACACATAGAGGATGTTACTATCATTGGGCTTTATTTGGGTCATTATTTCATCCATGACCAGTTCCATCCTCCCTCTGTCCAATTCCAAGAAGTTCCAGTTTTTACACAATGATTGACAAATACAAATTCATGCAAGGGAAGGGAGCAAGGGCATTTTGGACAATCTTGAAACTTTTTTTTATAGCTTTGTTAACATTAGAGGTGCATTGTGTAACTTTTCTGGTGGAGGGTCTGTCAAATGCTTTTGTCCATGGAGGTGTTATTGCTTTGTCTTTAATGTTTCTGAATCTGTAGAGAGGTGACCCTTCTCACAGTCAGAATGCCTGTTTTTTTTTTTTTAGGTATTTTTGAGCTATAAAACCACCTGTAATTGAATAAATGTCAGGTAGAGCTGTTTAATGTCATACTGTGGAACATTCCAGGTACAGCAAAGACATATCCAGAGAAACGAGCAGGTGGCGGACTCCCAACCAAGAAGTTACAAAGTGCACCTTTAAAGTGTCTATGACAGGTTGGATTACACATTTCACAAAAACAAAGTTAACATCACTATATTTAAGCTTTTACAAAACTTTTTTTTTTTTAAAGATCCCACTCTGGCCATTTTTTAAGTTTTAGATTTTGCTTCCTGGTTTAAAATCATGAAATCACAATAGGAAATATATAACCTTTACCTAGCGACCATATAATACACTGGTCCAAAACTAATGTACACTGAGATTATTATTTGACAAATAAAATGATAAGAAAAAACTGATTTTGTTGAAATCATGTTTAAAGTATCAGAAAATGTTGGAGTTTTTTAAGTGTAAAAATTGCGCCTAAACTTCGTTATGAAGAATTAAAACTCCTAGCATTTTACTTGATGTCACTTAATCATTGAAAACACATTTTGTAGGTTTCATTTTGCCTCCACTTGCCTCTAAGAGTCTATGGTCTATAAACTACCAATTTATGGAGCTCATTATTATGGAGAAAACACTAGGGGGTGCTATGGTCTTTTTCTGTGTATTTCTAATGGGACATGTGAAGTAAGACTAAACCTCAAGTTTAAAAGCCATTTCAATAAGTTTCCATTCTCTGCAATGACATGATGGTATAAAAATGTCATCATAACAGCTTTTAAACCTTTTTACCCAGACATGTCAGACTCAGGCCCGGAGGCCAAATTTGGCCAGTGATATAATTATATTTGGCCCATGAGATCATATCAAATATGTATTAGCTACAGATAGACTATAGAGACATTATTTATTTAAAATGTTGTTATTATTTTATATTCTGCTTGTTCTGAATTCAATGTTTAAGCAAAACTATTATTATACATTTATTTTAATAAGAAAAGGTTTAACATTACATATCACAAAAGAAGAGAAAACATGCAGACGTTGTTGAAATTTTTCAATAAATATTTAGTTTGGCCCACGACTTAGTCCCAGTTTTAATTTTGGCCCTCTGTGAATTTGAGTTTGACACCCCTGTTTTTACCATTTCATAAACCACTCTAATTTAGGACACAGCAGCCAATTTCAAATAAATCTGCAAAACAATATGACAAATAAAATGCTCTTTACATAGGCCTACAACATGCAATATAATTTGAGTGAATTTCTTATATAAAACTGGAACAAATCACTGGTTTTGGACAAATCTGCTAGGACAAGGACACAGGGCTCAAAACTAGGACTGTCCCAGGTACTGTCCCACTTTTACTTTTTACTCTTTCAGTACATTCTTAAACAGGCACTTTAATATTTTTACTTAAGTAGATTATGATGATAATTTTAGTTTGACTTGAATATTTTTATTTCAGGTATCTGTACTTCTAATTAAGTAACAAAATTGATGAACATTTCTTCCACCACTGAGAGTATGCTGCCTAGAGTACTCTGAAGTAGGGTGACCAGATTTAATAAAAAAAAAAAAAAAAACAGTTTGTGACGGTTGGTAACCATAAAACCGTGGAACAAGTGCGTAATTAAGGAAAATTGTTCTGCACTCGGCCCATGTATGACTAACATGTGAGTCAGTACGATCACATTTACTTTGTGTTTTGGTCATTTTTAAGCAGCTTTTCTGCATTTTACTCACAATTTATGCCTTTCTTTACTGTTGATAGGTATGAATTTGGTCAAAAATAGGGAAACTTTGGACATTTCTTGTACAAAATTGGGACAAATCAGTGGTTTTGGATAAATCTGCTGGGACAGGGGACACAGGGCTCAAAAAGGGACGTCTGGTCACAATATGCATGAAACTAATATTGTAAAACTGCTCACAAATATGTGAAAATTAGCTTTTATTACCTGTTGCTATCCGCGCCGCGTGTCTCCTCCTCCTCCTACCCGATCCGTGACGCTTCCCAGCATGCTCTGCGCTCCTCCTCCGACAGAAATACAGCACGACCGAGAAGATGCGGGTGGGTAGGTAAACTCCGCTCCTAAAACGGGCTTTTCCTTATTTTAATGTCTCTTTAACACCATTTTACGGGCTCATTTTCGTATCCTTCATCCCTTATTTACGGTGAATGCGAGCGTTTCTGTGTAGTTGTTTGCATTTTACGCGCAAGAATAGCGATAGTAAAAGTTGTAACTATGCAGAAGTTGACGCCTTGTTTCAACAGCTTTTACCCCGGTGTGTCGTGACAAACTCAAAACAGATCCGAGTTTGTCTTTCTAATGTTTTATGAGCGATTTAAACACGTAGAAAACGCGATAGGGCTCTTGAAACGTGATATGTTTGTACTGTCACAGCCTCCACGACGTGCGTCCTGTCGGTCAAGTTTACGTCGCCTGTCAGCTGAGCACCTATAAAAAGAAAGAGGAATAACATTTTATAATCAAATGAAACAGTAACAGAGAGATATGCAGATTTACGAGACATTGTAGCATTTTTACCGTGCAATCCTAGCTGTAACATGTGGTTATTTGCAGCTTATTTGAAAATATTTTAATAACAAAGAGGTATTGTAATTATACACAATTGCCTCTTTGATTAAATTAGAGCCCTCACAACAAAGGAACAGAGGACAGAAATAAATAAAAAAAATAAAAAAAAGAAGAGAAATTTGCAGTTGTTAAACATCTGGATTAGGGCTGCCACGATTAATTGGAATAATTTGTGACCACTATTAAAATTATCATCTGGATTTAAGACACTCTAAACACGTGACAAAAGGGGTTTTATCACAAAGATAATGGCGTAAAATGGAAAACATAGAACTAAAACAATTGGTGCTTATGGATACTATGTTTTAATCATACATTTTCAATATCTAGATGCCACCTCTTTCCATATGTTTATTTATATCATGTCAGAAAATGTAATTCTCAATGTCAAATCTTAATGTACAATAGAATTAATTATTTAACTAGTTGACTAATAATAAATAAGTAAGTGCTGAGTAGCTGACTTCTAAAATGTTGGTTGCCGGATTTAGTTGTATGTTTTGTAATTTATTTATTTATTTATTATAATGTTAATATGATGTCTGTTTCTATGTTTTTTTGGGGTTTTTTTTCTACAGCAGACTGGCCACCAATACCAAACGTGAATGCTTGCGTGTTATAAAGTAAATTTACATCTCTTATCACGCTGTGGTCAGTATGTGTCAGACAGTGAAACGCGGTCACTAAACTAGATCTATGCCTATCGTGAGAGGCCATTTAATTAAACCAGGGTGGAGTGTGTAGTATCTTTATGGACAATAAAGATGAGAATGTTTATAAAGAAGCAGTTAAACCAGTATGATGCAGTGATAAAGATCTGTACTGACTTAAATGTCGCCTCAAGTCCACTCAGCTTAAGGCTTTTTTTAGTATAAATCTGTTCTGACAGCTGCTGATGAGGCACGGGACTCTGGCCCAGCTGACTGCCTGCGGACAGTAATTAAAGGTGCACTGCGTAACATTTGTAATAGAGGGTCTGCTGCCTGCTTGTCTCCATGGAAATGCTATTGCTTTGTCTGGAATCTGACGCAGTTAGGGCTGGATATCATTCAGAAGTTGTCAATACTATACATACCGCGATACAGTGAGTTTATGATACGATGCAGTACTATATGTTTGAAAGCAGATCAATAAAAAATAAAGAATAAATCATGGCTGTGATACTAAAAGTCTTTGTTAAACCACTTGTGCAAAGTTAATATGAAACACACACATTTAAATCATCAAAACAGTGTAAAAGAATGATAACTTTGCACATCAGTTACTTGAGACGGGTGCGTTGGAGGAGAGGGGGCAACCCAAGAACATGGAGAAAAATCCCACACACCATCTTACTTGTAAAATGTGAGATTTATTAAGACATACAACGTTTTGGCGCTCGGCCTTCCATCAGGCAAACAACCATCATCAAATCATCAGTCATCAAAACAGTGACAATGTCAAATGTGTTGCATAAATATGTTTCCTTCAAGCAAGAAAACTGTACGCTGTAACAAAATAGTTTAGTAAAATATACCAAAAAATACTCATATATTGTGATATATTGGTACAGCAGCGCATGATATAAATACTGTACCATCACATTAAACTATTCAATATATCGATATTTCCAGATATTGAGGGAGACGAGCAGGTAACAGCACTACACTACATTCGAGTTCAGATCTATGGAGGGTTCCTATTCATAGAAGGAATTATTGTATTTTTGAGCAATAGAAACACCTGTAATGAATAAATGCTAGATGGATAAATTTAATGTCATACCATGGAACATTCCAGGGAAACAATAACTCTGTCCTCCATCATCATGGATAAAAGCAGGTAGCGACCCTTCACCAGAAAAGTTGTGCAGTGCATCTTTTAAGTGTTGAACTAAGGCTGAAGTAGTTGGGAAAAATATTGAATTGTGTTTTTTCTGCATTACAGTTAGATGCGATGTAATAATAGGATTTTGTTCAAATTTACACATGTCCAGTAGCAGATTTGACCGTTTTTAATATGAACTGACAAACTAATACAAGAGTTAGAACTTTCAGAAGAAATTTGAGTTTGTGCAGAACTAAACTACAGGATCAGCAGTTTTTGTGCAGAATAAGATGGAAGCATAGAGTGTATAGACATAGCTAATCATTCATACATTCTTTCAAACCTGTGAACTCTAATATGCCTAATTTTAACTCATTTTTATTGATAAAGTAAACAAAAAATTATGTATTAATCAAACTGATTGATCATATCTTCTTTAAACAAGACATTTCCCTGAAAGGACTTCCTGGTAAGATAAAGATTAAATAAAGTGTCTTTGGTCAAAACATCGTCTTCTCTCAAATTGCACTTCGACCTCTGAGTGAACAGATAAGAGCAGGATAAGAGAGCTGTACAGTATGTGTATGTTGTTGACTCTGTACATCACATGCTTCCTGTGTCAGTAACAACTGGACTTTGAACTTTGCAGAGGTCATTTTATTATAAAAAATTCTAAATAACTGCAGGATTTGCCATTTAATTTCTGTTGTGATATATATTGCAGTGTTTCCCATAGTTTCTGGGGAGAGTATGGTGGCAGAAATCATTTAGATTTTAATACAGTTCAACAACAACAAATATTTTATACAGTTTGTGGGGTATAACTGATCCTTCTGTAAAAAAAAAAATGTTCCTGTTTGCTGCAGGTGTTGTAATCAGGGAGAAAAGGAGGGAGGGTGCTCTTGGAAAAAGGATCAAAACTTTAGACAGAACGAAATAGAAGTACTCCCAAGACTCGCACAAGGAAAAGTATAGTTAAAAGGCCTTTATTTTAAATGGCCAAATCCAACATGTTTCAATCATAACTTGTCTTCATCAGGGCTTAGTTAAAAAGCTGAAAGCATGGGCGTGGTCTTTAGAATACACACCAACCGCTGGTAAGGACAGATGTTAATTAGAGGAAGATGAGGCAGGTGCAAGACATGCAACATGGCACAGGCAAAAAAAACAAAACAAAGAGATAATATTAATACCACTGAAAAAGGCTAACAATACAAATAATGAAAAAGTACATATAACATTTATTTAAAAAAAAAAAAAAAGAAGCTTCTCTTTGATTAAATTTTTGAAGTCTGTCTCCACCTTTGGCCAGTGGTTTCATATGTTCAGTACCTTTACCTTCAATGCGAAGCACAGTGTCTTTGCTATTATGATTTTCACAAAGCTGTCGAGCCAATGGGTAGTCCTGGTTCTTAACCCTAATTGCATATGTGCTCGGCCAAACGATCTGTCATGTGCCTCTTAGTGGGCCAATATAGAAAAAACCTTCTGGACAAGGACAAGCAAGACAAATTATTTTGTGTGTATGATCTATTATTGTGTACATCCATGAATGTTTTTGTTTGAAGGACATTTGCACAATGAGGACAGTTCAAACATTTAAATGTGTCAGTAGGTTTTTGCAGCCATGTGCTTTTATTTTCTGGAGGAAGGTAAGAGTTCATCAACCTGTCTCAAAGATTTGGATCATGTCTAAAAGAAAATAAAGGTGGTTCAGGGAAGACATTCTTAACACAGGGTTTTTAAAGAGCATGGAACCAGTTGTTCTTAACAATATTTTTTATTTGGTACTTACAGTACTTGTGCTTCACAAATCAAAAATATTGTTAAGAACAATTGGTTCCATGCTCTTTAAAAACCATGTGTTAAGCAATGTCTTCCCTGAACCACCTTTATTTTCTTTTAGACATGCTCCAAATCTTTGAGACGGGTTGATGAACTCTTACCTTGCAAAAGCACATGTAAATGTTTGAACTGTCCTTATTGTGTAAACAAAAACATTCATGGATGTACACAATAATACATCATTCACACAAAATAATTTCATTAATTCATTAATGGCTGCAATTTTTAAGTACCATCATTTTCTTTACATGTTTTAAAATTGTGATTCTTGTATTAGTTTCTCAGTTCATATGTCAGTCATTTTGTCAGTTCCCCTTTAAAATGTGAACTTTGAACAAAATCTCATTATTAAAATTATTAATCATGCTATTTTCTCATCTATGTTATAATGTTGTTTCCTTGTTAAAAACATACCTGGAGTTGAGTTTTGTTTCATTCACACATGTTTAACACAGAAACCTAAAGCTCACAAGAGTTAATTTTGTGTAATATAGGACCTTTAAAACCCAAATCTAAGTCTCGTCAGAATGCTTGTTAGGAAAATCATCACCAAATCGTGCAGCTTCAGTGTGAATGAAGCCTCATTTTCACTCTCTCTCTCTGTGTCTGTCTCTCTTAGCCCCAAACATGGACTACAGGCTGGTATTTTCCTCCTTAAATGAAGCCTGTGATGAAGCCTTGGCCGCCCTTTCTGACCCTGAGGAGTTGCCGTACGGGGAGGTTGCCATGCGGCTGGCCGCGTGCATGAGACAGATCCAGACCCACGGTGCGGCGCTGGAGCCTGTGGTCAGCTGCTTCACAAATGTGTACCATCATTACGACTTCGATGAGGAGACGCCGGGCAACGGGTACCGCACACTTGTAAAGGTAAGGCCCCTCCCACTGTCACTATGGAAACGGGGTTATTCTAAGGGACTGGAGCATAGACTGTGTATATAAATGGACAATGGACAATAGGAAGTGAGCACGGGTGCGCTTCCGCCTCCATCAACTCCGGTTCCAATTGGCTTTACATTGAAAACTCTAGCCCTCTCTGTAACTGCTGCTGTGCGCCATCATTTTGGTCTTAAAATGTTTCATACTAACCCTCTTTACATGATCCTGGTGTATTTATTTCCCTATTTGTCCGTAAATCAATTCCTATTCCTAGTTTAGACCTCGGCTCTAAATTCGTTCCTATACCTGTCAGTCTCATGAGCTTCATTTGACTGAAGCCGAACACTATGGGTGTTTATACAGTCTATGAGTGTTGATGTTGTTGAAATTTATTTTTATTTTATTTTATTTATTTATTTATTTATTTGAGACAGGGACAGCGCACAATTTTTACATTAACCTTAACAAGAGAGATGCATTGTACCAGGTTGCAGCACCAGTGCTAATTTCAACCTGTAGTCCCTGGGCAGGTTCATTAATTGTATTTTACTAACCTTGGCTATCAACTGTTCTTCCTGGGGACCTATGTACCAGGTTTTGGGTTGCGGTTAAGATATGCCAAATTACCATGTGAAGTTTATAAGGAATGAAATGTGTAAATGATGTTGTGACATGTTCATATAAAAGAGCCCATGTTACGCCATTTTCTCATCTACAGTTTGCTGACAGTATGTTTCCTCATCACAAACATACCTGGAGTTGTGTTTTGTTTCATTCACACATCTTTAACTCACAGAAATCCTGCATATTTAGGCTGAGATGGCTCAAATGGAAAACCCTCTTTTCCACCATGTGATGTCATGTGGTACTACAGGAAGTTCTCCATTGTCATTTGGATTTTTTCAGCCCTGGAATTGCCAAACTCTACTGAACTGAATGTAAAAGATAGCTGTTCACTAACAAATTACCATTAAATGACATCACAAGGTGGAACAGAGCATTTTGAACTTTGGAGTTGTAGACAGAGGTATGACTAAACCAGGATTACTCAAATGTGTGAATGAAACAAAACACAACTCCAGGTGTGTTTTTGATGATGTAACAGCATTATAACATGGCTTTAACCTTATGAGAATACATTTTGCATAATATAGGACCTTTAACTGATTTATCTGTATTACAATTTCATTATATATTTCACTTAACCATCTAGGTAGGACTATCATTTTGTTGCTCTGTAAGGAGAAAATGTGTTGTTTTAGTACAGTTTTACAGATTATGAACTCATAGTTTTAAGGATAAAGTAATTGTACTTCACTTAAAACATAAAATTACTATATCGACTTATCATTCAATATATGAAAGCTATAACAATATATTTTTGGACTCAGTATTTATTTTGTGTACATTATCTTCGCAATAGTAGAAAGATTTTGTAACAATTTGTGTGATTTAATAGCATTTGTGAAGTATAGAGTCAAATAAGTGACTTCTGTGGCTAATTATTGGTTCATTCTTTTATTTATCTTTTGCAGCTCAAGCCTCTTTATGATACTGTTTATTTAAAATGTTTTACTTGCTTTATTTTAAATGTGTTAGTGGCATAAAGTAGTTTCAGTATCATTGTTTATCGCAATATCTATCTGTAACAATATACTATGCTTCGAAATGTGTTATCGTGACAGGCCTATGTATAATAATTATCAATAATGAGCAGAAATTGTTTTGGAGGCACCCATCCCTCGTTCATTTTGTGATAATGAGGGTTTGGCTGTGCTGTTTGTAAAGGGATTACGTCATGACATCTCCTGACGGATCATTTGCATAAGTTAAAAAAACATTACAACATCGAGTCACATGACATAGAGTCACACACAGTAATCATTGATTGGTTTTGTTTCCGTTCAAGATAAGATCACGTTTCCTCCAAAAGAGTTAATCAGATTACAAAAGATAAACTGGACTAAAAGGTGCACTATGCCACTTTTCAGGTAGAGGGTCCGCCACGTCATTGTCTCCATGGAGATGTTGCTGTTTTGCCTGAAATGTTCCACAGTGTGCCATAAAACATATCGATCTTATGTGCACTTTGTAACTTTTTGGTTGAGGGCCGTCACCTCCTTGTTGCTATGGAAATGGCAATTCTCTGTCAGGAATGTTCCACAGTATGACATTAAATTCCCCTATCTTACATTTATTAAATTACAGGTGGTTTTATAGCTCAAAAATACCTAGAAAACAGAGTAAATTAAATGAAAAAAGACATTCTGAGTGAGGTCGCCTCTCCACAGATCTGACCTGTAACTTGGTCTGATATGGTCACCATGAAAATAAAAAGGTTTAATGCCATACTGTGAAACATTCCAGACAAAGCAGTAACATCTCCATGGAGAAAAGCATTTGAGGGACCCTCCACCAGAAAAGTTGCAGAATGCACCTTTAAGTATATTTCAGGTATTTTTACTGCTCAAAAATACCTTAAAAACAGCTTTCTCATTGTCAGTCTAGTCACCTCTCTAGAGATCTGATGTGTACTTGGCCTTTTATGGTCACTTGCCTTTATTCTGTGGAAAGGATCATGTTTAATATCGTGCTGTAGAAAATTCCAGGCAAAGCAAAGACATCTCCATGGAAGCAATTAGTTAGCAGATCTTCCACAGTGAACCTTTAATGGTAACTTAACATGTTTGTGGATTATAGTTAGCATTTTGTTATATATTTACTATTTATATTTCATTAATTTATTTATAAATGGTAAACTTGTAACTGTAGTGCCACATGACATTGTTTATACAAGTGGATTCAACCTATCACAGTGAAGTGTGGAGCTTTCTGTGATGTTATTACTGTGTTCTCTCATACCAAAAAACATGCCCGAAGTCGTGTTATATGTCATGCATGCATGTTTGAATAATCTTGCAATCTCTCTGTTTGAATAATTTATTCAAAACCCCCCTTAGTGTTAACACTACGAGCTTTTACAATGCTCAGCCCACAAAGTAAAAGGGCCCATATTATGCTGTTTTCTTATGCATGTCATAATGTTGTTTCTTCATCACAAACAGACATGGAGTTGTGTTTTGTTTCATTCACACATGTTTAATGCACAAACTCTGCATATTTAGGCTGAGTTCTTCTCATGTGCTATACAGGAAGTTCTCCAATGTATTTTTAAACTCCATACACCTTCAATAGAATCATTTGGATCATTTCAGTCCTAGAATTGTCAGTCTCTACAAAACAGAAGGTAAAAGGAGCTAACTTGAAAAGGAGTTAACTTGAAAAATACTCATATATGACATCACAAGGTGGAACAGAGCATTTTGAGCTTTGGAGATGTACTAAACATATGTCAACGGAACAAAATACAACTCCAGGTATGTTTTTGAGGATGGAATAGTATTCTAACATGACTTAAAGCTCACAAGAGTCAATTTTGTCAAATATAGGATCTTTAAATTGTTTCTGGTTTCAGGTTTTGCTGTCGTGCCTTCTCCACATCATCAACAAAACCCGTTACATCTCATCCAACCTCAGAGGAGCTTTCTTCAGAGCCGACCACAATGCCACAGAGATGGAGGCGTATTTAAACGCCCTGTGCCAGCTGAGGGCGCTGTTACACCTGGCCCAGAGACTGCTCAATGACACGCCCTGTGGTCAGCTGTGCACACTGCAGGACCCCGAGCTGAGCCGCAGGTTTGTGCAGGAGTACAGCTCCATGCACAAGGCCTGCTTCTACGGCCGCTGTCTGGGCTTTCAGGTCAGGACACTCTCTGAAAATGAATAGATTTAGATTTAGATTCTGACAAAAAATTGATAGATTTAGGAAAAAATGGTAATATGCAATGTTAAAATATTGAGTTAATTTAAATGAGGAAAAAAACGGGTGAATATAGAAAAGAAAAAATTTTAATGTTATTGGAAACTAGACTGAAAATCTAAATTTTTCCCATGAAGATTTGCAATGTTAGAATACCAAGTTAAGTTAAATGATTTTAGAAAAGAAAAAAGATTTTACAAACAGGGGTATAAAGTGATATTTCCCCAAACAAATCATTACGCACAATTATTATTATTATTATTATCTGTAATAGTTGCTTTACAATACCACACATGTAACATTGATTTGTAGTTAAGTTTTTATATTGTGTTGTGTGTTTTCTCTTCAGTACTCACCATCTCTGAGACCGTTCCTTCAGACAGTCGTCATCAGCATGGTGTCCTATGGAGAGACCTACGGCAAACAGCAATCTGGGATAGGTCAGTCTTTTCTTTATGGTCTGAATTTAAAAAAAGACCTAACATGGAAATACTTAACTTCTTTTTTACTTTCCAGGCCAAGCAGCTTTATCACTTCTAACCTCAGGGAAATACGTCATGGACCCAGAGATGAGGGGGGCGGAGTTTGAGCGGATCACTCAAAACTTGGATCTGCAGTTTTGGAAATCCTTCTGGAACCTCACGGAGTCCGGGCTTATCACAGTAGGCACGGCCACATTACAACACATTTCAATTGTTTAAGTACTTCAGTTTAATACAATAAGATGGGGCAAATTTGTACTCGCATTGTTACCTCAAGATTAAAGGTGAAGCAAAAATGAACCCAATTATTATGAGCACAAGCCTAAAGAATTTCATAATGTCTGAAATATAGACAGACAAAACACTTCAATCAACATACATCAATCCAAATAATCTCACAGTTGTTCTTTTTGCTCCCTCCCTTTCTTTTCATTTCGTCTCCCTTTCTCTTGCTGTTTCTCTTTCCCCCTCTCTCTCTCTCTCTCTCTCCTCTCCCTCTCCCTCTCCCTCTCTCTCCCTCTCTCTCTCTATCTCTCTTAGGGTTTTAACAGGATCGCGTCTAACCCTGTGCAGGTGAATCTGACCCTCTCTGTGCCTCCTGTGACGCTGAAGCTGCCTCTGGCCTCTGACCCAAACCTCTCCACAAACGTATCTCCTCCCATCGCGCACTGGGGCCCAGGTCCAGTCCTCATGAGGCTCATATCCTTCGAGATTCGAGAAGGACAGGTTTGGAAACTAATGTAGTCCTCTCTTATCATTCATTCACCTATGTCAGTGTTGAAATGAAATATGCCACTACTGGAGTAGCGCTGCAATGATTGGAATAATTGTGACCAGTTGATTATTAGATAGTCATATTCATATTTGGATCATTGTAATCATTATCTGGACTGTACAAACTTTAAACACATGTTGTTGTGGCCATACCAGCTTGTCAAAGCCTGATCTCGTCAGATTAGGTGCAGATTGGCAGCCCTCGCTTCCGTCAGTCTGCCCAAGGGCAGCTGTGGCTACAATAGTATCTTACCACCACCGAGTGTGAAGTGAATGAATAATGCTCTGTAAAGCACTTTGGGTGTTAATGTAAATCCAGTGATTAATTAATGAAATAATTAACATGTCAAAAGTCAGTTTATAACTAAGACTTAGGAATTATTAAATCAAGATGTCGAAAATGTCTGATTTTCATAAATAATACTTAATACTTCTTTCATAAATACTCTTTATATGTTTATTGCTAAAATATATATTAGTTAAAACCCTATCAATTTTTCACTAAGATCTTGTATTGACTGTGACTTGTGTGTTTTTTTAGGACAGTGAGGAGCTCCTGTCTTTCTCCAGGACAGACACTCGTCCCATGTCCATGTCCCAGCTGCCCTGGGTCCAGAAACAACCGCTCTCTCCCTGGCTCCTCATTCACTTCCACGGAGGAGGCTTTGTGGCTCAAACATCAAAATCTCATGAGGTTAGTTATGATGTATTTTATGTAGGACAGTGAAATGAGTCGAATTTTAATAGAGATTGAAAATTTAGACTGAAATTGAAGACTGATTCTTGGGAGTCATGTTATAATGCTGTTTTGTTTTGTTGTTGTTACACAGTGCACCTCTAATGCTAAAAGTCAGTGTATATGTTTATAATATTAATAATCTAAAAATCATCCTGTCTCGAGCTGTCTTAATTTTATCTGAACTTGTTTTCATTTATGGGCTAATTTTTGTCTTTATTTTGCAGAATTATCTCAGGAACTGGTCCAAGGAGCTGGGCGTTCCTGTCCTGTCCATAGACTACTCTCTGTCTCCTGAAGCCCCATTTCCCAGAGCCTTGGAGGAGTGTTTCTATGGTTACTGCTGGGCTCTGAAGAACTGTCATCTGCTCGGTCAGTAATAAGAAAGACACGGTTAGTCCATTGTACAGCTGATCATGATTATCAATGATAGATTACTATATTGATCTAAATGGAATCTAGATTACAGAAGCCATATACAAACCAATGTACAGGAAAAATAATGAATGCAAAATACGCATACATTATAATGTTGTTTTCTCATTGCAAACATACCTGGAGTTGCGTTTGGTTTAATTCACATATGTTTTAATACACAAATCCTGCACATTTGGGCAAATGCTTAGAGTTCTTCTCTCAAACAGAAAACACTCTGTTACACCACACTCAGTCATTTGTGTAATTTCAGCCCTGGATTTGTCAGTTTCTACTGAACTAAGGTAAAAAGTGGCTGTTAACTTGAAAACTACCACTACATGACATGTGTTTGACCTGACAAGCACTTTGAGCTTTGAGTAACCCTTTTTTATTAGTCTGTCTACATCTCCAAACTTGTGTGAATGAAACAAAACACAATTCCAAGTATATTTTTTATGAGGTAACAGCATTATTACATAGCTTGAAGCTCACAAGAGTGAAATATGCATAATATGGGCCCTTCGAGGATATCAGATATGTTTATTTTTCTTATTTTATGGAAAATAATAGTCCATTGACAGATGGACGAAAGCTCTTGACTTTAGATCAAATGTTCAAAATCAAAGTGAGTTTACCTTCCATATCAGATTCATTCATTTTGAATTTGATCTTGTGATATCACTAACAAAAACATTTTAAGGACTGAGGGTAGAGTTGAAGTTGAATGGACTTTTATAGTGTCCTTCATATTCTGTTTGTTCAGAATATCCGGTGTTTTGTACATTTCACTGTTCAGTGCTCTCACTCGATCAGAGGACACACTAAAGCAGCTGTATTTGCAAAATGTCCAAAAACTGCTGAAGTCTAAAGACAGAATTGCAGGTTTAAAGCAATTAGCAGTAGTAAAACCCAGCAGAAATACACAGACTGTAACTTCTCCTTATAGTGCATAATTAAACCACAAAAACTTGAACTGTAAAGTGTGAGTATGGCAGGGATGAGATCACAATTTGCTTTTTATTACATTTCATTTTTTTATTATTTTATTATTTTGCCAAGCCCGAAGCTAAGTGTTGAATACATGCAGAATACCAATAGTCTCTCTCTTTTTCTCTCAGGCTCCACTGCAGAGCGCGTGTGTCTGGCCGGAGATAGCGCCTGGGGGAAACCTGTGCATCACTGTGAGCATGAAGGCCGTGTCCTGTGGGGTCCGGGTTCCAGATGGCATCATGGCCGCGTACCCCGCCACCCTCCTCACCACCGATGCCTCCCCCTCCCGTCTGCTCACCTCCATCGACCCTCTGCTGCCACTAGGAGTCCTCGCAAAGTGCCTCAACGCCTACACAGGTACAGTCAGAGTTGGGAAGGTAACTGAATGCACAAAGAATTGCGAATACAAATTTTGAGTAGCTGTATTTTTGGAATTTTTTTTAAATTTGGTAATATTCAGACTTCACATTTACTTTTCTAATATTAAAGGACTACATTGTGTTACTTGATCACACAATATAAGCTTCAAACTGAACATAATCAGTGAGAAAAATAGAAAACACTGCTCTTATAGTTTCAAACTGCACATAATCTCTGATAAAAATGGAAAACACTGCTGTTATAGTTTCAAACTGTACATAATCAGAGAGAAAATAGGAAACACTGCTCTTATAGTGTGTGCATGTGTGATTTTTCCTTCTCTAAATTGTGATAGGAAATGCATAACAAATGTAAAGCGAAATGAATAAAATATAAAGCTGTTTTTAATGCTATGTTGCAACTATGAGTGAAAATATTCTAAGTATTCAGTATATGATGCAAAATACATTTTAATCCAGGTATTCAGTAACTAAATACATTTTCAAAGTATTCTTACAATTACTTGATACAGTATGTGAGTGGACAGATTTATAACATCTTTTTTTTTTTTTTTTTAAGATACACTGTGTAGCTTTTGTGGTGATGGGTCTGCCTCTAGCTGGAGATGGAGATGTTATTGTGTTACCTGGTATAACATATCTAAGTTAAGTTACAGGTCAGATCTGTGGAGATGTTACCCTGGTTACAGTATGAATTCAAGTTATTTGTTGAACTTTTAGCAATAAAAACACACTACAATTGTATCAAATGTAAGATTTAAGTTTAACATTCAAGGAAAAGCAACGTGATCTGCACAGAGACAAGTGAGCGACACGTGCAGCAGATATGTCCCTAGATGTATCGGTAATTCCATGCTGTAGGGGTGTCCGGGTGTGTTCATAGCGTTGGTACTGATTCACGGCTCATTTAGCTTTAGAGCATTTTCCAGCGCCAGGGAACAGAAAACAAAACTAGAAGGATTTATGTGTAAACCCGACCATGCGGGAGGAAGCACACACGAGAATTATTAACATACGACTCAGAGCGACAAAATAGGATCAGGTTCTGTTTACTCATTTATCTCACATGAAGTTGTGTTTGGCATTTTTGTACAGAATTGTGTAGTAATAATTTCACGAAGGTTCCGTATCTTTGGATGTTAACAGAGGAATGAAATAATAATTCAATACACATGTAGTTTGAATGCAAACATTATTTTTCTTTGAGACAGTTGAGTCAGACACAGGACTATTTCTTATTAATTTCAAGTTTTTTAAACCAGAAAAGACTGAATTATTAACTGCTATAGACTAATACAAGACTCCCATACTTTTCAGAACACTTAATTATTAAATTACCGAATATGCATGTTTTTTACGCTTCATTACTTAAATAATTGTCCCCATTTGAGATTTGATAATTGCCACACCTTAATTTAAATTAATTAAATTTTATTAAATTTTATTTCACTGCAAAAGATATTTATATCCACATAAAGTAGGCATATTGCAGCACTGACAAAAAATAAAAAACAATTTCTATTTATCCACAAATACATATAAATAGTATTATTAATATTCATTATTTAATACACACAGGTTGCAAGTCACTTTATGTAACGCAATAACTTCATTATTTACTTATTTTACTGCCTCATCTGCTGCTGATTCAAGTTGTCATGGTGATTTCATTGTTGTTTGTTTCTTCTGGAGTTGTAATTCTTACTTTTTTATTTTTTAAGTACCAGTAAAAGTAGTAATTAAGTACTACTAAAATTAAAGAATGACTTTCTTGTGGCTTGATGATGGCTGTTTTTATTGCACTGAAAAAGCAGGCTTGTCTCTCCACAAACCTGACTCTTATTTGTTCTGCTTGTTGAAGTATGGTTTTAACTTTCTATTTCCATGGAATCATGCAGTTGACTTTCCACCACCAGGAAGTCACATACCATCACTTTAAACAGAAAATAAAACACAGAAGTGGTTCTCAGTTTTGTAGACTTTGACACACTTTATTGATCCACAAGGGAAATTATTTGGACACAGTAGCTCGCACATCACAATATAATATAATAATAAAGAGCAAAAATAGCTAGAGGCTGGTATCAGATAAGGCATAAGTGTTGTATATGTACAATAAAAATATAGAGATATAGTAAATATATCTTTGCTATATACAAGAGGTATAAATCGTGGTATCATGCAGTTGATTTTCACCTTCTGGAAGTTTCATGCCATTGCTTTAAACAGAAAATACGGCACAGAATAGTAGTTTTCATGTTGTCTCTCTCTGTCTTACTTCTCCTCTCAGGTATGGCGTCAGAGTCGGTGCAGCCTGCTCGGGGCCAGGGCACCCTCAGCTCTTTCTCTCGGGACACAGCTCTGCTCCTCAGTGACCTCACACAGGGTGCCTCCAACTGGATCCAGTCGTTTTTAGACCCCAAACGGATCATAGACAGACCGCGGCCCCAGCTCCCCAAAGACCCCCCTCTCAGTAACAGCGCCCCCTCTGCCACCCCTCCATATTGCCCCGGGAGCATTGACGCTGTGGAATACCCAGAAGGCTTTGAGCCCCTTCGGTCTAAGTGCTTTGCTGTTGTTAACCCGACTTCTGGTCCCATCCTGAAAAACCCATTTGCGTCGCCTCTTTTGGCCTCAGAGCAGCTGCTGAGGGGCCTCCCACCTATTCACATAGTGGTAAGACGCACCTTTTCTTTAATGATACTTTGCAATAACATCACGCTGGGGGGTTCTGTATGAATGTAGTGTGTATGGCAGAATGTTTACCATGATGATACACATTAGTAAACATTGTCAAAAAAAGTTTTCAAATACGCTGAAATAGATTTAAACAACACATTTTCAGCAGTCTAAGACAATACAAGGGTTTATGGTTTTGAAAACCTGTTGGCTAATTCTACTTTAATGTTATTTGAGAGAAACTTGCTTAACAGAACAAAATCAGATCATCTGTTGTAGATCCAACTAATCCAGCGCTTTATGGTCAGATTATTATTAGTTTTTTTTTTGTTTTTTTCCGTCATTTTGAAGCACTACAAACAAAACATAACAAAACATAGACTATATACAACCCCATGGATCATGACCGAAAGGGATTAGGCTGAAGTAAAAAGTATTCATAATGCTAAACCCTTTTAAACAATGACAGAATTTTAAGAAAGAAAAGCAGCGTATGAACAGCAAGTTTGCATTTACAATTCCTCTTATATATTACTGTATATATGAAACAAAATATACATTAAAACAAACAAAATTTTATTCATAATTCATTCATTCCAGAGCTCTATATCTTTCAAAACATAACGCTTTATACTCTTTTTTAAGGCTTCTACGGTGTAAGACTTATTTAAAATCATCACTCAGGTTGTTCGATAAACTAACCCCTCTAACGGAAATACAGTCACTTTTTTAGTTCTTATCTTCATTTTTTAAAGATGCCAGTTTTGTTTTCGTTTATTGTCGTACAGACTAATAATAATGACAAAGGAGATCGTTTATGATGGTATGAATATAAAATGTTAAAGACTCAGCTCAGATTAAGTCTAATTTGAGTAACAGAGAGTCAGACAGAGCAGAGCCTCCAGTTAGCCTCACATCCTCAGGCAATGTTAATGACATCAGCTGCAAAGTAACAATAGCTTTGAAGATACATTTTAGAGCAATAATTGACCAGTGTGTTGTCTGTAGTTAACAATTCTACTCAATATACATTCCTCATACTCATCTGGGAAAATGTGTTCATGAAAAAGGGATCAACTTTGTGTTTTCTTTGAGATATGTAAACTATTTCTGCTGATTACTTAATGGTTGAAGCATTTACCCCTCATCTAGAAATCCCCCAGCTATTTTCGAAGCATGATGTCTTTTAATTTCAGCATAGCCTATCAGCAGTTACTAACATTTAAGACTAGAATGGGTCAAATGCAGAGGATGAATTTCTTAAAAAAAACAAAAAAAACAAGTTATGCTCTTTTCTGATCTATGTTATAATGTTGTCTCCTCATCACAAACTAGAAATTGTGTTTTGTTTCATTCATTCAAGATATGAAGGACAAAAAAATGCCATTACGCCCCATTCATTTCATTCATTTATTTATTTCCAGCAAATTCATGAACACAAGAAGTATATATGTGTCTAGTAAACTTAATTTACATTTTACATATCATTATTTTTCTTACTGGAGTTCGAAAAGAAGTGGGAAGAAGAAAACTACCCCTACCTACTACCTTTAACAAATGTTTAACAAATTACCTTTAACAAATGTTTCACTTTTCCCCTTCTTTTTCACCTCAGGCCTCTGCTCTTGATGCCTTGCTGGACGATTCTGTGATGTTTGCTAAAAAGCTGCGGGCCATGGGGCAACCGGTGAGCCTGAGCGTGGTGGAGGACCTGCCCCACGGTTTCCTCAGCCTTTCTCAGCTTTCCAAAGAGACGGAGGAGGCGGCGCATGTCTGTGTGCAGAAAATCAGGAAGGTTTTCCAAGGACCGAACTGCACAACCTCTTTACCAAACCCACCACAACAGCAGGGGGCACCGCAAAACACAGGTCAATGATTTGCACAAAAGTAGTAACAAATGGTGCACTAATAACTGGTTTAAAGCTTTTGAAAACGCACAAGTGTAAAGTCTATTAGTTAGAATGTTTGGGAACAAAGTGGATACTGCAGATATTGCACTTTATATACATTGTACTGGGAATTTTATATTGTCTTAAGTATTTTCTCTCTTTATGGAAAATCTGTATTCATCAGCAAGTTCAGTTCAGAATGTCTTAAAATGTATGTATTGAGATTCTGTATTTGTCAATGTTTACAGTAAGATACTGTAATTATTAAAGAGGGGGTATTATGCAAAGTCAGCTTTTTAGAGCTTTTTACCATGTTTACCACATATTGTTCCCTCATCAGAACATGACTGAAATTGTTTTAGATGTCAACCATTTTTGTCTGAGTAATATTGCGATCTCTCTGGACACTATTCGAACCCTTTATGGTTAGCAGTACAATCCTGTCCAAGGCTCCGTCCACAAGCTTCCACACAACAATTTTCCATATATATACAAAAGTATGATACAAAACAAAACAGTACACAACAGCTTTACAAACCTGATGTGATGTGCAGTAGTTTTATTAGTGGACTGCACGCTGATTGTGTTGTGGTAGCGCTCTGAAGGGGGAGTAACTTTGCACGAGGAGCAAGGGGTGCGTTTTAACATTAATGCTGTGTTTTCAGTAATTATAGCATTTTCAAAACAATAAAAGGTAACATGGTGATCTAAATGTTATGTACTAACAATTAATACCCTCACTTTAAGAAAATGTATGTGATACTGTGTCTCCTGAATGGACCACACTTTGCACAGCCTGATTCTGAAAACTTACAGCATTCTTTATTTAAATATTTAAAAATATTTAAAAGACTTTACTTACCTCTTGAACTGCAGTAGTCCGGTTTTACTTTTAACAGTTTTTCCATAGGTTTTAATATACTATTTATATTCAAAGCACCAGGCAGAACCTTTAACGTATGTAGTTAGATTAAAACATTAAGTGTTTTTGTCGTACTTTATGTATTAAAGGTAATGTCTTGTAATTTACACTTGACCCTTTAAAGGTGCATTGTGTAACTTTTCTGGTTGGATGGTCCGTCAAATGCTTTTCTCTATAGAGGTGTTATTGCTTTGTCTGAAATTTTTCACAGTATCGTATTAAACATTTCAATATTTTTTATAGTTGAGACCAAACCAGGCCAAGTTACAGGTCAGATCTGTGAAGACGCGACCCTGCTCACAGTCAGAATGCTGAATGTTTGGCTAAGTATTTTTGAGCTAGAAAACCACCTGTAATTGAATAAACAGCTCTACTTTATATTTAATGTCATATTGTGGAACATTTAAAGCAGAGCAATGATATATCCATAGAAACAAGCAGGTGATGGACCCCCAACTAAAAAGTTAGTGCTCATTTAAGTATTGGGGTTCATGTGCCTTATGTATGTCGTATGACAAGTTTTCCTGAAAGGCTGACCGGGATTAACTGTTTTCATGAATCTTTAGATGCACACTCCACTGTAACGTGTGTTTGAGTGACTCTATTTGACCAGTGTTTACAGAAGTTTGTCTGTATTTATGATGTGATGTTCATTTGTTTTATGTGAACAAAGAGCGTTGTATTTACCAAAGTGTCTGCGGAAAAAAACTGTAAGATTACATTATAAAGTTATTGAAGCGTTCTGAGATCTTTCATTCAGACTCTTCTTATGGTCTTTCCTTTTTTCAAAAATCAAGACTTACTGGGTATACTGGATTTTTGAGTTGCAATATGTTATGTTATCTATTCCAATATCTCCTTATACGTTCCCGTTGATAAAAATTAAAAATCATATGGTGTTAATTTTTATCTAGAAGCTTAAATTGTCACTCCCAGTCCCACCTATATCTGTCATATATTGCTGAAGTAAATGTAGATGATAAACGGTAATATTGAAACCGAACTATAAAGCAAAATTATCCCACAAAAACTATACTAAATGCACAATATCTTTAAAAAAAATATGAGCTGTTATAAACAAATAACAGAATGAACACTTAAGTACTTAGTTTGTATCTGTAGTGAGTCATAATTCAACCTACAGCTCAGATCTTATCAGTACAGAAGAATAACCAACATTTTTCCAATAGTGCAAAGAAAACATTCCCATGATAAATATTGACCCCAAAAGTGATTGTTCCATTTATCACGTTTTGGTCGATATAGTAGTTATGGTGGCAGGCCTAGTGCCACTACATTATTCAACAATGTGTCCCTGAGGTGGTCACTCTGTGTCCATTTCTAAGTACAACATTTTTCTAAACATGAACATAACATAAAGGTAACTTATGTAACATTCTGGAGGTGCTGTGTCACCTGCATTATTCTGTCTGAATGGAATAGAAAAAAACTTAGACAAATTTTATTGATACACAGGGGGGAAAAAAAAACAAACATTGGAACATTCTCTATAGAGATAAATATATTTTAATGCCATTCTACAAGTATGGCATAATACTAGTGTTTTTAGCTTAATTTATTTATTGATGGTTACTGTAGTGGTTGGAGATTTGTGTTATTTGTTGTGTCTGTGCACATGGAATAGAAGGAAATGTAATTTTGATTCCTTGTACATGTGAAGAAACTGACAATAAAGCTGAACATTGAACTTTGATACTCTGCAATATATTTAGCCAAAATAAGAACATTTCCATGGAGACAAGTTGAAGGGCCATATAAGAGTCAGGTTTGTGGACTTGCAAGGAAGATCAAGGCCACAATTTTTCAGTGCAATAAACAACCAAAATAAAAACAATTTTTAAAAAAATACTTTATTTTAGTCGTGGGCTAAAAAGTTGCACACTGTGGCTTTAATAGTCCTCAGATGATAGGAAATGTTAGGATGACCAGATTTTCAACATTCCAAACACTCTGGACACACTCAAGTTGGGATGGTTGGTATAAATAAAATTGTAGAGGGAGCATATAACATTGTCCATTCTCATGTCAGTCATAATCTGAGGGACTTCTGTTGCTTTTTTTTTTTTTTTTCTTTATTGTCATTTACAAGCATGGATTTCTGTATTTTGGCTAAACAAATGGCGATTTATGCTCCTCTTTACTGTTGGCGGGGATCAGATTAATCAAAATTGTGATAGTCCTGGTTTAGACCTGATGTAGTCCTGATTTAATCTTAGTTTAGATCAGACTGGTCAACAATGGGGACAGCTGGGACATTTCTTGAATAAAACTGGGACAAATAAGTGGTTTTGTATAAATCTGCTGGGACAGGGGACACAGGGCTCCAAACTGGGACTGTCCCGGGTAAAAAGGGACGTCTGGTCACCCTACTGAGTTAACAAACGCACTGTAACCCCGCTGTGCTTTGTGTGCATGTGCTTTTTTTGCTTTTCGCTGGTATCTTTGTGTGAGGGTAGGAGGCGCCCGTGATGTTGGGCCCGAGCTGTGAAAAGGAGGAGCGAGTCCCCGAGGAAGAGGAGACGAAGAAGAAGGCGACCATGTTGATTTAAGAAGATACACAAAGACGCGAACCTTTTCAACGACAGAACAACAGATTAAAGACAATACCGAAAAAATAGCAGATTACCCGCAGACTCGGCATCCTTTGTGAGCGGACACAGACGCACAGGTACGCACGGAGACGTTTAAAGAGCCGCGGCGCGCATAAAAACAGTCCGGCTGCTTCACGTTAGCCACCGTTAGCATCGTTAGCATTGGACTCATTTTGACTGAAGTAGCGTCGAGTTTAGTACAATCTGAACTACTCAATTTAACTCAAAATATCAGTTCGGAAATGATACAATTGAAATCACAAACTAGCCGCGTTTTTACTAGTCCCAACGAAATAAACTCCTTAAAGATGAACGAATAAATGGTAAATTATATTTTTGTAAGCGTCAGTAGCTTAGCCGTTAGCATCACCGTGTGGCGTTGGCTGAAGCTAACCTTAGCCATATTGTTCCGAGCCGATCCTGATTTCCGTCAACACACAAGTTTTATGATGACTAAAATTCATTGTAAAAAAGTAAATTTGTATGAATTATATTGTCGTAAACTTATTCTAAACGTTAATCATTTTGTGTAGCGTTAAAACAAGTTTAAGTGTTGAAAGTCTTAACAAAGATATCGCAGTTGTTGCCCTGGAGTTGGCGTTATTCATCGCGTTACTATCAAAAAACTAAACAACTTTAAAGCATTTCAAGCTTCATATAAACTAGAATCAAAAGTACATTTCAATATTTATAAGTTACATGTGAATAGATAACAAAACATTAATATAGAAAGTACTCGCTAATTTGTTTTTAGATGGCAAAAAGCAAGGATAATGTATAGAAATGATCAAAACTTGGACTTAGACAAACTTTATTAATCCACAAGGGAAATTATTTGGACACAGTAGCTCACATCACAATATATTATAATAACAAAAAGTAAAAAAATATAAATGGTAATAATTAATTCTAAATAAGTAGCAAATAGAGCAAGAGACAGGTGTCAAAAAAGGTATAAGTATATAAATGTATATGTACAAGTCCAAGTAAAATTAAAAAAAAGTCATAAAATATAAAATCTCAGCTATATATAAGATGATGTATACAATTCTCAAATCATATAATCCTGGTAAAACAATTTCTCAACTAATAAACATTTTGGTTAACTGAGAGACCACTGACTAAAAACAGCCTTAATGGTTTTTATATGGTTTGACTTTTTGTCCAAATTTGATGACTGGAAAAGGGAAACAACTATTTATCTCCACATACAACAAACATGACATGTAAAGCAGGTTTAATTACAGAGGAAACTAGTTGGACAACAATGTCAACATGAGTCTTTCATTTGAAAATGAAAGAACATGTGTACTGAAAACATCTTGTACCAGATTTTGCAGCACTTTCTGTAACCTTTGTGTTTGTGTGTAGGTGACCAGTTGGAGCAGTTGGCTGACTCTAGAAGCCGCGGGTTGATCCAGGCCATACTCGGAGCTGTGGAGTTCAGGACACTGAGGGGACAGCACAGATATAGACTCAAGGGGTGGAAAGCATTTTCTGCTTTGGACTTGAAAACCCCTCATAAGATTTGAGATTTCAGGCTCTTTTTGCTTTTCCTGTAAAGCAAGAAACAATAAGCAACGCAGTGGAAATAAACAGAATTCAAAAGACTATATGATTTTTGAAAGAACCTTGTACAAAGTTGGACATTCTTTTTTCAAGGACAGGGATAACGAGCGACACCTATGGACTCAAAGTGGAACCAGGAGATATTGATTTAGAAACAAAAGATAAATATTGAACTAAGATTATTTTGAAAGAAATTATTTCTCAAGTTCAGATTGCCTTAGTTGTTCTATTTCAGGACTTGAACCGCTTTGATACTTGTTCACGTATAATTTTCTATATTGTGGACAAGTAAATTGATGCATTTGTGTGCAGATTTCTCTTCATTTTGAAGAGCTCTTGTGTATAAAAGTGTTTTTTCTTGTTGTTGTACGTCAGTCACTCTTGTTAAAGGGACGGAGCTGAACGTACATGTGTATATGTATATAATACAAATTGACTTCTGTTTAAAAGCTTTGGACTCAAAAGAATAGAGAATATTGTTTGTTAATGCTTTATTAAGACTTTTTTACTTTTGAAGAGAGTTTTTAAAGAAAACCTAAGAGGCAAAAACCTAATACTTTGAAAAAAAAAAAACTCAAGACAAGAAAATGGCAACGGCCAGAACAGAAAACGTTGGGCCTGTGGTGATGGGACTGAACAAACAGAATGGGCAGCTCAGAGGACAAACCAAGCCCTCGGTCCAATCTGCCCCAGCTCCAGGGAAAACTCTTAGTGCTCCACAAAAGAGCTCCATCCCACAAGAGTCCGGAGGCATCAAGTTTGGAGACGACTGGAAGAAGAACCTGCAATTGCCCCCGAAAGACCACCGTGTCAGAACATCGGTGAGGTTCACATAAACCACTGGCTCCTGTATCAGTTAACGTGGTAACACTAAAGCTAATCTAGTGCCAACACTAATGTTTCTGCTGTAGGATGTCACAGCCACAAAGGGGAATGAATTTGAAGATTACTGTCTCAAACGAGAACTCCTGATGGGCATTTTCGAGATGGGCTGGGAGAAACCATCGCCTATTCAGGTATGTGCCTTTGGTTATCATTAGGCCTGCAACGTTTAAACAATTTATCATAAAATGGACTTAACGCGCTTTGAAACACATGCCAAAACACCCCAGTTAACATATTTCAGGCTTTATTTAGTTAAAAATGTTTCAGAAATCTCAGCAGAAACAATTGCTTGACTAGTCAACTAACTGAAAAGTAATTCAAGATTCAAGGATTTGTCATCATCACAAGTAACAATGAAATTACATCTATATTGTTAAACAGTAGCGTGACTTGTACAAAACAATATCAATTCATAAAGTGCAAATATTGTTATGTAAATTGAGGTTGCTGACTAGTCAACCACTAAAAATGTAGTTGCAGCTCCAGTTCTAAGTGTTGACTCAGTAAAGGAAGCAGATCAACGCTTGAGCTTAACGTCCACATGTTTAGGAGGAGAGCATTCCCATCGCCCTTTCCGGAAGGGACATTTTGGCTCGAGCAAAGAACGGAACAGGGAAAAGTGGAGCATATCTCATCCCGATGCTGGAGCGGATAGACCTTAAAAAGGACCACATTCAGGGTGAGTTGCATTAAACTTATTTTTTTCTTAGGTAAAGGTTCATTCTGTCTTCAGTTCTAAGCTTGGAATTAGTGTTTCTTTTGTCAGACAGCAGAGTTTGTTTACCTGCTTTACATGTTCTGCCTACTTCCTGTAACCTTCCTCAGAAGTGTCATGTGATGGTGTGGGAGTGAGACTGCTTTACTTGGTTTTTCCAGTAAAGTAAGGCTACAGGAAGTATCTGAAATATGTAAGGCAGATTAACAAACTCCAGTTTGACAATTTTTTTTATTTTTAGCACAATTTATGGAAATTTTGGTTTGTTTACCTTTTCAAAGAAACAATCTGTTTCACTCGTTCTTAACTGTAAATAAATAATCTGTCACTGGCTGTGTTTACATTCTAACCACAAAGTCTGACGTGTTTAATCCGGGGGACCGTGATCAGAAAGAAATGAGATGATTCACCTGTTTACATGTCATTTTATAACTCCAAAAATGTGTTTATAATCAGATTTTGAGTGCACATGTAACCGCAGCCACTCACTCAGACCCTAATGGAGGATGACCAATGGGGGAGTGGGTGGGGAAAAATCTGTTTGAGAATAGAGCTGCAATAAACTGAAAATGGGTGAATTGCCTTAAGACAATTTCATAAATGATATATTGTCACAGGGATTAGACACGATTCAGTGTGTTTTCAGATAGCCTACCTCAAAGTATCTTTATCATGTTTCTTATTTCAGAAATCTAGAATTCTTTTTAAACTCAAAACTTTTCTACTTGTCTTTCAGCACTTGTGATGGTGCCGACCCGAGAGTTGGCGCTGCAGGTGAGTCAGATTTGTATCCAGATCAGTAAACATCTGGGCGGAGTCAAAGTCATGGCAACGACCGGAGGAACCAACCTCAGAGACGACATCATGCGTCTGGACGAGACTGGTGAGCGCTCGCTGTGATCTTGAAGTGTGTGAAGTGTACATGACAAGATTTTTTTCTTATTACCTGGCTTGGGTGGATGTTACTTGTGCTAAATATTTATCATAGTTTTACACCAGTTAAGCAAAGTACAAAAATACAGGAAGTAGCGCTGAGTTCTAAAATAGAAAATCCATAGACTGTATAAATGGACATTGTGAACATGCTAGCCCAATGCCATAGGTGTCCCTCTTTAGTGCACTTCTTTAATACAGTCTGTGGGAATACCTTTACTGAAGACGTCAAAGAAAATTCCACCCAAAATGTAGGGACAATTCATGTGCAAAGAAGACTTTTTTTCTAACTAGAACTACTATTGTGTGACTTGGTTTGGCCTTTGTTTACAGTTCAGAAATGACCTTGATGTATGTCACAGCTGCTGCCCATGGCCAACCTAGAAGTAAAAATATAACCTTCAAAAAAATTAGCAAGATTTTTTTGTGAGATCTTAAATCGTTGTCTTAAATTCATTGTTGGCCATGTTCTGTTGAAATGCGTAGGCTAACCTGTCAAACACAGGGTGGAAGAATGTTCAGAGATCTAAACTAAAACGTTCTTGTGTTTCTCTTCTGCCTCAGTGCACATTGTCATTGCCACCCCCGGGAGGATCCTGGATTTGATAAAAAAGGGAGTTGCAAAAGTGGATCGAGTCCAGATGATGATCATGGATGAGGTAAAGGAAACCAGAGAAAATCTAATAAAGTTTAAACGGTATATTATGGACATATTGGAATTTAATATTTGCACAAACGTCCCAAGAGCTTTCCTGTTATTAGGTCTTAAAATGGGCTTACTTCAGTATCATCATATACTGTAGATTTATAACACAAGTCTGTAGAATTTAGTAATGTGGGTTCTAGGGGTGTATCAAAAGTCAGTATATCAATGTACCAAAGGAATATGAGGCCAGTTTTTGCCCAATCACTACAAAATCACGAATTACTATGAACCCAGTCAGTATTTAAACAGTGTTCTGCTCGACATAATAAAATAAATTAAAAGTGTCTATAGCAATGGTTTTTAGGCAGCCACCCCTTACTGATACTACACATCCAAGGAGTCACATTTTGTACATTTTAAAGTGTAAAGTTCTGTCAAGGCTGGGCAGTTAACCAAATTTATGTGATCAATTTGTGTATTTAGAATTGCTAAATTTTGAAATAAATTAATATATTACTATGAAACAGACTTACTTGCAGAGCAGGGTTATTGTGCATTGTGTATAAGTGACATTGCTAAAAAAAAGAAAGATGTATATCCTGTATATTTTTATCTATACAAATGTAGTTGAGGGCAGTTTACAATATCCTAAAGTAACAGGATGTGACTGTTTGAAAGACTTTGATTAAAATCATAGTTGTCCATAACTGGCCTTATCATCCAGCCTCAACTTCATGTGGTCGACTCAAACAAATGTGGTGTTCTGCTGAAGCTTTAGGGCCAATACCAGCTACGCTAAAACTGCAGTTGCCCCTCCTCTGTTTCTCACTGGTTTTGTCTTTCAGGCGGATAAGCTGCTGTCTCAGGACTTTGTGGTTCTCATCGAGGACATCATCAGCTTTCTCCCCAAAAAACGTCAGATCCTGCTCTACTCTGCCACCTTCCCCATCAGCGTGCAGCGTTTCATGGTGAGACTCAACAAAACTACACTTTGTGTTCAGTCGGGATTAGGGGTCTAGTGGGGCAGCAGTGGATTGCTGTGTCCTTGGGCAAGACACTTCACCCACCTTGTCTAGAACCAGAATCACAAAAGAAAATTATTTATCTGGAGGACCATTTTAAAAAGCTGTCTACATTAAAAGCAGTTATTGTAGATGTAGTGATGATGAAAGTTACTATATCAACTTATCGTTCAATATGATGGTTAGAACTATATATTTTTTGGGGTCTTTGCACTACTGGGACATTTCTTGTTATTTTTTTGGGCTACACAATATAATTTGACCTGTAAAAGGTTGCATTAATAATTTCTGTGACTCATTACAGATACAAACTAAGTACAAAAGTGTTTGATTCTGCTATTCATTTATTGCAGTTCAGGATAGTTTAACATGTTGTAGATGGGAACTTTTGTGTGGTTTAAATCTGCTCTTATTGTGCCAGTGGCATATGTTAGTTTCAATATTATCATTTATCGTCTGCATTTACTTCATTGATATCACACTTGTTCTCGTGCAGGTTTAATTTTGTCTCTTTTGTGCTGCAGTGCTCTCAGAATAATAACACTGAAACTTAACTTTGACGTCCCTAATGAAAAATGTAACTGCAGCCAACCGAGCCACACTCTGGGCTCTGAGCCGTTTGGCACCTCCTCACCTTCTTTGTTTTTTTCTTTTCTTTCTCCCTTTTCTCCTCTCCTCTTTCTTCCACCCTGCTTCTCTAACTCTTTCCCTTGCTCCCACCCTCACTTTCTCCCTTTCTCTCTCTCTCTCACCCCCCTTCCCCTTTCTTCCCGCCCCCTCTTTCTTCTCCCCCTCACTCTCCTTTTCCTCCTTCCCTCCACCTCCTCCTCTTGCTTCTCTCGTCTTTCTCTTCTCTGCTCTTTCTTTCTCCTCTCTCTCTCCTCCCTTTCTCTCCTCTCTCTCTCCTCCCTTTCTCTCCTTTCTTTCTTGCTCTTTCTCTCCTCCCTCTCTTCTCTTTACCTCTCCCCTTTCTCTCCTCTTTCCCCTTTCTCCGTCCTCCCCCTCTCCTCTTTCTCTCTCCTCCCTCTGATAGCCTGTCCAGTTCTGAGGTTGTTTGTGTTCAGGGCGTCTGTGGCAAACTCAGATTGTGTCATTGTTTTGATAAAGTCTTTAGCGACTGCACCCGAAGCAGTTTTTTTTTTCTTCTTAATGTCTTTGGGTGGAACCTTTATCAAAAAGCAGATTAAACAACTCTAAACTAAACAAACACATATTTGTTTTGAAGTTTACTTGACCCTGTTCCACTGAGGAAGTTTTATTATAAACTACAGTAAATGAATGTCTGCAATTTGTTGTTCACACCTATCAAAGTGCAGATTACATTCTTTTAGCTATGGTAGCCCTGGAGGCACACACTGATTTATAAACAAGTCCAGTTGTGAAAATGCAGTAGTTCGAGGAGTTGTGTGGTGAATATGTGGCCTCCACCTCCCCCCAGTCTCTGCAAATCTGTATCTGGGAAAGTGAAAGTGAAGTCTCAGCTGAATGTAATCTTAATGTCTTTTATATACAGGAGAAACTGTGACTGGCAAAAATACAACATAATATTTTAAAATGGTACGTCTCCAAAACAACTATTCGATATTATCATTTTTTGATTTATCCTATCAGGCCTCACAATTAAAGGTCCGATATTACGCAAAATTGACTAGTCTGAGCTTTAAATCGTGTTAGAATGTTGTTACCTCCTCAAAAACATACCCAGAGTTGTGTTTTGTTTTATTCACACATGTTTGAGTAAGTCTTTTATTATTCTGTCTACATTTCCAAAGCTCAAAATGCTCTGTTCCACCTTGTGATGTCATGAAGCGATGGTTTTCAAGTTAACAGCTCCTTTTACCTTTAGTTCAGTAGAGATTGGCAATTCCAGGGCTGAAATTATCCAAATGATTCTAGTGAAGGTGTATGGAGTTTCAAAACACAGTGGAGTATTTCCTCTCTTACCACATGACATCACAAGGTGGAACAGCGTGTTTTCTGTTTGAGACTAACTCTAAATAACCTTAAATATGCAGGTTTGTGCCTGAAAAGTATGAATGAAACTGGGTCACTTGGTCATAAAAAAGTCAAAAGTAGCAGTGCAGGTGCTTTAAGAGGATTAAACTTGAAATATTAATAATATAAGTGTAGCCCTCACTAAAAAATTTAAAAGTGGGTCTGAGGCACACCAACTGAATATATTAAAAGTCCTTTATTGCATGGAGGGACGCCAACGCGTTTTGACCAGCAAGATGGTCTTTGTCAGGGCATAAGTCAAATCTGCTTATGTTTTAGATGAGGTAACAGGATTGTAATATAGGACCTTTTTAAAATAAAGATCCTTCTCCTGAAACATCAAACAGCCTCAGATCAGTCCTGGATAGATATTGTATACACTGACTTGGACTTAGACAAACTTTATGGATCCACAAGTGAAATTATTTGGACACAGTACCTTACACATCACAACATATCATAATAACAAAGAGAAAAAATATAAATGTTAATAATATATTCAAAATAAGTAGCAAAACTGGCAAAAGACTGAAAAAAATGTGTTTGTACAAGTATAATACAAATATAGAAAAGTGAAGTAACACAAAATATATCGGCTATATATTTAAAACTGCTTTTATTGTCCAACCTGCTTTTAAATCACACCTTTATTTTTGCCCCATTACCTAGTTCTCTCTTTGTGCAGCGTGCAAAGAGTGTTTAGAAAAGCGCTATATAAATAAAATGTGTTATTACTACTTATTATATGCATGTACGCGCAGAATGATTACATAAGACCCACACCTCTAACTGTGAACTGTTCTTGTTTTGCTGTAGGCGTCTCACCTGCAGAAGCCCTACGAGATAAACCTGATGGAGGAGCTGACCCTGAAGGGCATCACTCAGTACTACGCATACGTCACCGAGCGCCAGAAAGTGCACTGCCTCAACACGCTCTTCTCCAGGGTACGGCTCGCATCTCCACCCACTCTCAAAATATATTTAATTTAATGTTAGTAATGAATTCTAAATAAGTAGCAATAAAAATGACAAGAGACAGGTGTCAGATGAGCCATAATTTCCGTATTTTCCGCACTATTAGGCGCTCTTGATTATAAGGTGCACTGTCATTAAATGGTCTATTTTTGAACTTTTTCACAAATAAACTGCACCGCACAGGTTAGGTGGCTCCGTCAGACTTTGTTTGGCGTGTTTACAGTGACTCTTGGCTTTGTTCAATTGTGGCACATAGGGAGGGTATTGTTTGGGACCGCTGGATTGTTGGTGTGTTCACAGTGACCCAGTTGTTCAGTTGTTTCTAGAAGTGGCACATTGCACTTGCTTTTTCGGTTCGTTCCTTCATTCCGTTCCTCGTCCGCGTGGAGTGATGAGTGTGGCTGCGGGTGTTTTTCGCTGCGCGGTCGCTGTCTGCTCCGTGCGTGTTTGTGTGCGCTGTGGGTGGTGCAGCTTTGTAGTTTACTGAAGTCGTGCTGGGACACCCGAGTGGATTCGTGTATAGGGCGCTCTGGATTGTGGGACACGCAGTCGTTTTTTGATGGGGTTGGAGGCTTATGAGTGCGCCCTATAGCCGGAAAATACGGTCTCTAAATGTATATGTACAAGTGAAAATAAAATGGAAAATAATAAATATCTCAGCTGTGTATAAGGAAAACAGTGCAAAGATGAAGTGATGATTAACAGGATGTAGGGTTATAGACAAACGTTTGATTCACAAGGGAAATTATTTGGACAAAGTAGCTCACACTCACACAGGGTTTTAGTGTTGTGTTTCATGGTGACGTTTTGAGCACTTTTGACCATTAACAAGTATATTCATATTTGGATTGAATTGTTAAAGGGCCCATTTTACACATACCTGGAGTTGTTGTTTCATTCACACATGGTTAATACCCAAATCCTGCATATTTAGGCTGAGTTGTCAGGTTTTCAAACAGAAAACACTTCCATATTCTGATGTCATGTGGTAAAACAAGTGCTTCACTGTGTTTTTAAACTCCACACATGTTCACTAGAATCATTGGATGTTTTCAGCCCTGGAATTGCCCATCTCTACTGAACTAAAGTTAAAAGGGTAGCTCTTAGCTTAAACTGACATTGCATGGTGGAACAGAGCATTTTTGAGCTTTGGAGATATAAACAGATTAATAATAATAAAGGATTACTCATAACAAAACAGGTGCGTTTGAGGACTAACTACATTCTATATGGCTTAAAGCTCATCAGAGTCAGTTTGGCTGAATATACTGTAGTACCTTTAATTGCTCTGGCAACGGTGCTGACTGTTGCATCAGTCTGAAATCAGTGGTTTGGGTTAAACATAGAGTAATTTGAATTTGGGACAGAACGACTGACAGGTCTGTGTCTTTGTTACACTGTGTCAGTCACATTTTCTATCTCTAATGTACTTCTTAGTTAAAGGGGAAACATACAAAATGGCTTCAGTGTTTCCTGGTGCATTATGTAATCCTTGTTTAGTCCACAGGAAAATTTTAAATGATTGTCACCCACAGCATTCAGCTCCAGTCAAATGAAGCTCATGAGGCTAGCGGTTATAGGAGCAAATGTGGAGCAGAGTTTTCTTTACGAATAAAATAACAAATTAAGAACACCGGGATCATGTAGACCTTAATAAAGTCTAAATTTTACTAAAGTTAATGTCACTTTTTCTCCACAGCTTCAGATCAACCAGTCCATCATATTTTGTAACTCCACTCAACGAGTCGAGCTTTTAGCCAAGAAGATCACTCAGCTGGGCTACTCCTGCTTCTATATCCACGCCAAGATGATGCAGGTGAGATCCAAACACAAGCACAATGTGAACAGGAAGCAGGTTACGCTGTAGGGCTGTTCACTACGTCACAAAAATGTTTGTATTGCAGTATTGGTGGTTTTCAGATTTCAGAATGTGATATCCTACTCCCACATGAGGGACAGACTGTTTTCCCAATTGATCACATTGTACTTTGTCCTGAAATATATAAAAGGTAAATTCACAAATGTTGAACCTGATCATTTCTAGGCATGGGACGATGTAGAAATTTATAGGGTCACTATTGTCATGGTAAAAATAATTGTGATTAACAATTTATATCATGATAATTGTGGACAGTTAAAAAATGTTATGGATATGAGTAATTATAATTTAAATAATATTATAAATAAATTCCATATTTAAACAACTCTTATTGTGATGTATTTTGTTATAACTGAAAACAACAATGACTTAAAGACTTTGCAGTGAACTTTATAGCTAAGCAGCTTTTATCAGGACATTGTACTGATAAAATGTCAATTACCTTTGTTGGCGTTTCTCACGATTATATAAAATGTCCCAAAATGATTATTATGTCCCCTTTATATAACAATAAATTATATTATTTTATTGTCCCATTCCTAATGATTTCTATTGGTGACAAGACTCAAGAACTCAGTGCATTACAACAAGAATCTGCATTTGAATTTTATTAATTTTAACCGCCCCCATCTGTATTAAATATTATTCTATAAAAATGTAGTGATGTCATCTGAAACTCACCAAAACAATCTGTAAGAAAATAATGAATATATGGCAACAGCACAAAGGTTTACCATCTGACAGAGATGGACTGTGAAAGTAAGATGTACAAATCTTAAAATTACTATTTCATTACTTACTTGCGTGTAACTTGCCTGGTGGAGGGTTCGTCACCTGCTCGTCTCCATGAAGATATGTACTATGTATTGTATATTTAAATAGTGCGTTATTACATTTCTCTTAAGCCACTTTAAAACTGTTTTTCAGGAATACAGAAATCGTGTTTTCCATGACTTTAGAAACGGACTGTGTAGAAACCTGGTCTGCACTGGTGAGTTACGTCAACACTTTCTTTGTATTTGTACCATTTTATATTTTTATAATGAAGATTGCTTTAATAATCAAACTTTTACTTTATGACAGACCTGTTCACTCGAGGTATCGACATCCAGGCGGTCAACGTTGTCATCAACTTTGATTTCCCCAAAAACGCAGAGACGTACCTGCATCGAATTGGAAGATCTGGTGAGTTCAGAATCAAACAAACCAAAACAAACCATGTGCTGAGAAAAGATGTTCTATGACTCAGTGGAAATTGCAGCAAAGTGACGCTCAAAATTCGAAAAATATTTAATCAAAACTACAATTTTTACATTTTGATATCCGTACGTTGTAGAATTACAGTAGTTTAAAGGTTCTATATTACACAAAATTTACTTTAGTGAAGTTTAAGCCATGTTAGAATGTTACTGCCTCCTCAAAAACAAACCTGGATTTGTGTTTTGTGAGTAATCCTGGTTTATTACTGAGAATTTAGATTTTTCGAGCTCTAGACAAACAAGCTGTGATGTCATGAAGTGGTAGTTTTCAAGTGAACAGCCCCTTTATTTCAGTACAGATTGGAAATTCCAGTGTTGAAATTATCCAAATGATTCTAGTGAGGCTCTATGGATTTTTAAAATGCAATAAGGTAGAACAGATCACAAGTTTGGATATTTTCATATGGGAGTGTGATGGATGTTAATCTGTCTTTATGTAAATGAATGTGATCTAAGATCAGAGCAGTGATTAAACATGTGTAAAAGCTCAGCAGACACAACTGTCTCCACCCCGCAGGAAACTCTGTGTTAGAGAAGGGGTGACTGAGGAGAGGCTGTTGGTCTGTGGCCAGGACAGGCCGAGGCCCTGTCCACATCTGCTGTAACAAGAATAAACTTTTGTCTGTATTCAAAAAACTCATCGGGCTTTGCAAATGGATAATTACTTATCATCAAGTGATACACAATTTTTCCACAACAAAAGCATCAAGGCCAGAAAAATCATCAGAATCTCTTGGTTTCCTGTTGAGCGTGTAACACTCTGAATTTTAATCTCATTTTGTCTCTTTTCCTCTCGTTTGGTGCAGGGCGTTTTGGGCACTTGGGTTTGGCCATTAACCTGATCACGTCGGAGGATCGCTTTAACCTGAAGGCCATCGAGGACCAGCTGGTGACAGACATAAAGCCCATCCCCAGCAGCATCGACAAGAGTCTGTACGTGGCCGAGTTTCACTGCGAGGGCGACGAGGGCGAAGAGAAGCATCCCCAGGACACCACCTAAACTGTGAGTACTACTACTACGCCACCTAAACTGTGAGCACACTGAATACTTACTACTTACTACCTACTACCACTTGATACCACTTACTATTACAACTGCTACTGCTACTTGATACCACTGCTACTTGATACTACTTATTACCACTAAGTACTACTACCTACTACTTGATACTACTTGATATTTCTTGATAGTACTCCTACTTCTTGATACTACTACTTGTACTAGATACGACTTACTACTGCTATGATTACTACCACTTGATACCACTTGTATTATTATTTTGTAGCTGGAAAGTTCCTGAGTGTGGCATTAAACCTCTCAATCTCATATTGCTGGTGTTTTATTGCTTAATTACCGTGGAAATCTGGTCCACAGATCTTACCTGTACCTCGGTGAAGCCCTTGGTGCAAAGGTGCACTCTAACCTTTCTAGTGGAGGGTTCGCCACCTGTTTGTCTCCATGGAAATGTTACTGCTTTGTCTAGAATGTTCCACAGTATAGATTAAACTTGTCTAGATAAGCAGGTTACAGCACTACATTACAGTTCAGATCTGTGGAGAGGCACCTCTATTCACAGAAGGAACTATTGAATTTTTGAGCAATAGAAACGCCTGCAATGAAGAAATGTTTAAAGTCATACTGTGGAATATTCCAGTTATTTTGTTGTGTTGTTATTTCTTAGGTGATATCAGGGTTTTGAAACATGTATATCTTTTATAATGGTAAATAAATAAATCAGTCTGAAGTTTAGTTTTGTAACTGGACCTGTTTTTGTTTTTCCAGAGTGGCTTTGGCCTCTGCACAGACTCTGGCTCCAGGCGACGCTTCAGTTTCACATTTCCTGTTTTCCTCGCCTGTGACGCAGAGGTTAACGCCGTATTTTTTTTAAACCACCTCTTTTATTTTCCATTTTGAATTTGGCTGCCATTGTTTCTCAAAATCTGAATCACCTCCCACTGCTTTGCACCAGATAATTATTTAAACTCCTTCAAATGTCAAACTTGATCTGAACCCTGGTCCTTTTTTTTTACATTTTTCCAGCATCCAGTCTTAATTTCACTGTTACAAAGGTGCGTCAAATTCACTACTGTTTTCACACAAGTGCCTTAAAACTCATAATTCATCCAGTCTGCTGTTGAACCCATAGCAGACAATGAGCACAATACAACACAGAAACCAGAATTTAATTTTAATTTAAAACATTTTATGCAAATTACTCAAAACACAAGCATCCTTCATCCTGAATGTGATTGTTGCAATAAAAAGGGCAGCTTTGTTCAATTACTGTTAGGACTGTTTCCCTATTACAATGTTGAGTGAGCAAAGGACTACCTATAACAAGGCTGTGAAAATGACCTAGAACGTTAATTTATGAGTGTTTTTGACACAATTTGAGTGATGCTGCAAACCGGAGGCATTTTTAACTATGAACTTCATAAATGGCAGGTGTCTGTTGTTCAACATTGGCCGCAGGTGCTGGGAAAGCGAGGACTGCTGCGTTGGTTCAGATTCATTTTGACGTTTGGGTTAAATTTCCGGCAACTAGCTTTCGAAGAGTATTTTGTGCAAAGAAGTGGAAGGTAAGAATTACAACTTTACAACGTAAGCCCTATAATATATTTATTTTATTTTAAAAGCCCCTCCATGTCAAAATCATGTTGGTGAATGTAATTGTTGCCAATATTTTTAGTGATTTGATGCCAAGCCCTTACGCATTCTTTCATTTTGTTGCTACTGGATAATCACTTATTTTTGTTCAAATTGTCAAACCGCAAACAGCAAGAACTTTTATTTTGTGGACCACGTTTCAATCTTGAATCCAGCTTAGTTTTTTAAAAGACTTTTACAAAACAGTTATCACAGTAGCAATTTTCAGTTTTCGCCGAGCAGTTTATTTTCTACAATCTTTGAGGGTTTGAATGTTTTGTCAAAAGCGAAATTGTAGCATCTTTGAAGAGGCAGCTGTGACTTTCATTTGTTCCCCTCCCCTTACAGAGCGTACTTAACTACAAAAAAAGACATAAAAAGAAATATTTTTGATTTTAGAAAATTATTTTTGATGTGACAGGAAAAGATCTAGGGGTATGAAAGATTTTGGGTGGGATTTTTCAAAGCAAATTATGCTCAGAAAGGGCATAGATGCACTTTGTCCAGTTCTGAAAAATAATTTCAAAAGTACTACTGGTTATTTTTAAGAACTTGAAAAAGTGCATACTAAAAAAGGAGTTTTCAAAGCATATAAATCTGCTTTATAAAGTGTAAAGGAGGATTAAGGTGCTTTCTAGTCATTTTTTTTGACCGTTGGGTCCAACTCCTGATTTTTTTTTTTATTTTAATTTTTTTATATATTCTTTAGAATAATTTTGGAAAGCAAATTGTAAATGATTCATTGTTTACACTAGTCGTTTACAATTACACAAAGTAGAAACTGCTTTGCTTCATATTTTTGGTGGAAAGTTGGAGTTGTTTTTTTTCCAAGATAAACATTTGAAGCAAAACCAAAAAGTGAAGAGTGTATGTTTATGAAAGATTGTGTGTGCGTGTGTGAGATTTTGAATGTGTTTGTATGAAAGTTATGAGTGTGTAAAGTTTGAATGGATTTACTACTGTTTTACATGCAGCTTCAACTGAACAGATGTCCTCAAAATCAAATATTTGTTTTACCAAATCTTCCAGTAACGCCTCCATCTTAAGGCTGCATGTAATAAGGGTAAATCATTTTTGTTTCAAGTTTTTGTTGACGTCGTGACTACATTTTCGACTGGTCAGGGATTTGACGTTTCTCATTGTCCATTTTATTTCCTGTTCTACAAATGTTCACAACTGTATTTTGTTTCCATTGAGATGACAGTTCTTCATTTTGTCTTTGCCAGTCCATCCCTGACCAGTATTCCCAAAACTCATGTGTGACCTGTTTACAATCCAAGTTTAAGTTAAAATGTTGTTAACTGATCTAATTTGTTCATGAAATGTATCTAGTATGTGCAAAAAACAGTAAAAATGAACAATTATTTATAAAAAGGACAATATTTTCCTGTTAAGAGTGTGGACGGACAAAAAGCAAAGAATTAATTGGTTTTATACGGTAATTTTTTATTGGTTTGAATCGGTCACTTATGAGTTTTGGTTAATGCAGTTTTGAATGTAAGTCAATGTCACATGTCAAGACGTCATTTTGTTTCATGCACATTCAAAATCAGTGCAAAAAGTTGGGGTGGGAGGGGAAGAATAAATAAAAATAATAATAAATTGGAAGATGATCTAAAGAAAATACTGGGTTTAAGATGATTTTGGGAGAAAATTGTGGTACATTTTGAGACTGTTAATTCAGAATTGGCAAAAAAAAAAAAACAAAGCAAAAGGCTAGTCTCAAAAAAATTACCCAAAAAAAGTTGAAGTTTCTGCGATGCAAGATTTAAATTGTAAAATGTAATTGCTGCACTAATCTGCTCTAAACATTGCTTCGGGACACTTCAGCCAAATTTAAAAGTGAAAATTGACAAAAAACTTGAGTGTTAAGCCTTACGCAGTATTTACAGATCACAGGGGATGTAAACGTGGATTTATAATTGGCTAAAATGTTGTTTTAGAAACGATTGGACATATTACAACAGGGTTTTTGCAAAGAGAAGTTATATTTTCTTTCAGAGCTTTTAAAATCTGACCAGAAGTTGTTTCTTTGACCTTGATGTGATCTCTAGAGGTTTTTATGGCATGTTGGTTTACACAATACCAAATTTGCATGTTTGGCCCTTATTTAAATTTTGTCAAATGTCTTGTTTTTATTTGTTTTAAATTGGAACATGCTGCAAAAATGGAATTTGTCTATTTATTTTGTCAAAAAAAGATGCCACGATGTCTTGTCTCCCTGTTGTAAAATGGAAATACTCGCAAAGGTTAATAAAACTCAATAAATTGGACTACTGAAACAAGCACTTCTGTCTTTGCGTTTTATGTTGACAGCCTTTTATATCACTGCTAACACAACTGTCACCTGATTTACTTAGATTGTAGGGCACATTTTTCAACTTGAATTGTTTAGTTGTTGCAAAAACTGGCAAAAAAAAATGTAAACAAAGAATTTAAGATTTTAAAGTACCCACATTACGCAATTTTCTGATCTGTTATAACATTTCCTCATCAAACATAACTGGAGTGGTGTTTTGTTCACACATGTTAAACCTGCATGTTCAGGCTGAGTTCTTCTCTCAAACTCCTCAAACACTGGAATCATTTGGCAGTATCAGGACTGAACAGAAGTTAAAGGTGTTAACTTGAAAACTGCAACAACATGATACTTTAAGGTGGAACAGAGCATTTTGAGCTTTGGAAATGTGGACAGGCTAATAAACTAAGATTACTCAAATGTGTGAATGAAACAAAACACAAAACCTGGTATGTTTTTGATGAAAAAACACCATTATAACATGACTTAAAGCTCACGAGTCAGTTTTGTGTATTATAGGACCTTTAATTGTCAGTTTATAACCCAGATTTAATCATTTTTAATGTTAAACTGCTTTGTAAGTTTGCTATTACAGTGAAAAACCCAATATATTTGTTTCTTTAACTTTCCACTTTACTTTGACTCTTAAAATACCTCCATGATTTGACCTTGAGGAGGCTCTTGAACCTAAGTTTTTGCTTTTTGATCGCTATGACCAATCACAGCACAGATTCCCTTCAATGTCCCGCCTATTTTCACCGGCGATTTGATTGACAAACATTTTGTCTAATCAGTAACGAGCCTTGTAGCACCTTAGCCAATCAGAAGGCTTTGAGATGAAGTAGGCGGGTCTTCAGGGGTTACGTCTTTTTTCCGCTGCCTTTTTCAACTTCCGGCTGCATCGTCCTCTGGAAATACAACGTGAGTGCATTAGCATTAGCATCGGATTTTTATTAAATTGACCTTTTAATTTCCGTAATAATATTCCCAGTTTGAGTCAGTAAATAGAGAAAGACATTAGCATTAACCTCAACGTGTAATATGTTACCATTTCTGTCAAAACAAGCTGAAGCAGGGCGTCATTAGCCAGAGAAGCTAACCTAATCGCTAACCATCTTAATAGATTTTATTCAAAGCATCAGTTTAACTCTCAAATCTCTCGTTTACGCCCTAAAAAGGTTAATCATGCACTATGTTCTTGGTGAGGATGTACTGTTGGCTGTGTCAGTTTGGATGTGCCCTTATAAAACACTTCACTTTGAATGAATGAACCTTGTGTGTGTGAAAGGTTAAATCCATTCATCGATTGTTCTGTCTTAATAACTATGACTACGTGTCCTGTCAGGTTACAAAAATCTCTCCTTGTTAAAGTATAATTTTGGATTATGCTCCTGTTTCTTTTGCTGTTGGGTTTGTGTAGAAGAAGATGATTCATGTTTAATGACTTATACATATGAATATACAATGTGGATGCTCAAATGGCCTCCACAATACTACAGAATACTTAATTATTGATTTGATATAATACATTTATTTGTATTTCTGCGTCATTGTGTGAAGATAAAAGAACATGTAAACTGTCCCCTCAATGCTGGAGATGGGGCATTTTTTAATTAGATGGTTGATGGTCCAATTTGATCTATAAATATTTTCCTCCCTCAAAGTCAATCAACATTTTGCTATATGTTGCAAAGTAACAGTTTAAAATGGTCACTTTAATAGTTTAATGAGCTGTACCATGTAGTTTTGTGAAATAGGGCAGAGGGGAGGGGTGTACACCAGCTGTTTTTGTTTTTGTTTTTCTATTTCTTTGTTTCTTTAAAGTCCCAAAATGAAGAACTTTAACCATTTTATTTTTGTATTCTTTTGTAATTAAATGGTAATATTCACAATTGTTCTGTCTTCATGTAGTGTCTCTTCTATTGTAAATAAAGTCACATTTGTTCAGGCAAATTGTTTAAAAGAATAAATTAACAAGTTGCTTATATTTTCTTATTTTTAAATTTCCTGTGTCTGTTTTTGGTCCATGTTGTGACATTATTCTCTTCTCTTCTCTCAGAATGGGCAGTGTGTTGGCGGCCAGCTCCCCGACCCAGCCTCCCCCAGCCACAGGGGGCGCTGTTCCTCCAGGCCTCACAGTGCCTCCAGGCTTTGGGATGCCCCCAGTCTCTTCTGTTCTGCCCTCATCTGCCCCTCCAGAGGAGACAGAGAGCTCTTTACCAAACCCAGGGGGCTTTGAGGAGTGTCATCGAAAATGTAAAGGTGAAGTTATTTTTAGGCTACCACATAGATGGTTAGATGGATGGATAGTTAGATACTTTATTCATCTATCGTAGGCATACATTCAGTAGCCCAACATCCAAGTGGGAAGAAAGTCCATATGATTTCCCCCAGAGTCCTCACCACTCTCTCGATGGTTCTCAGTTTGGTGCAGCTTTGCACACTGTGGTTTGTGTCGTTAGGAAAAAGAACACACTTAAGCCACTTCCTTATGAATGTCTCATTATTGGTATTTTGGGTGGTGTTTTACCACAGATTGACTGCCCACTGAAGCTCTGTTATAGAAGTAACCATGGTAACAAGTTTTTCCCTGTGTCTTCAGAGGTTTTCCCGATGCAGATGGAGGGAGTAAGGCTACTTGTCAACAAAGGGCTCAGTAATCACTTTCAGGTAAATTTAAACTAGGAGTGTCTGACCCTTTTATTTCATTAATATTTATTTACTGGTTGAAGTGATTCTAACTTGACTTATGTGTTGCTTGTCGTCAGGTGAGCCACACAGTGATGCTCAGTACAATGGGAGACTCAAGCTACAGGTTTGGGGCCACGTACGTCGGATTAAAGCAGACAGGTCCTGCAGAGGTAAGTCTTTTCTATCTATTTAGTAATACTGCATTAGTCTTTTCTAGACACTCAAAGTTACTTTACAATTTAGTATTTATTCCAGACTCGTAAACTTACTATTGTAGCAACAAGGCTGCCAGTTTTGCCATTGGTCCCTACAAACACCACCACAGCACACGCCACATTTATACAAGGAAATGTGGGTGAAATGTCTTGCTTAATGACACAAAGACTTTTTTGCCACTGGCGCCCCACTGTGGCACTTGGAATTCCCTGCAGTCTGACATCCAAGTACTAACCAGGCTCCGCCTTGTTCAACTCCTGATATCTGAGGAAATCAGGCTTTGACAAGGAGATTTAGACATTTATCATAAGAGATTAACTCACAATTTAAAAAAAAATCTCATCTCTAAAGTCACTCTTTGAGTGCTTATTCCAACTTTTATGCTCCTAAACATGGGTTTACAGACACAACGTCACTGAGTGAGAATTATTCCAAATCTTGATAGAAATATTTACATTTAACACCATGTTCACTAGATGTTGCCAAACTGCAGGCGAAGACGAGATCACCAAGCAAAATTATAATAATTTTAATTTGGCTATACTGACATTGACATTAGATATACTCCTGTGCCAACTTAATGAAACAAAATATTGCATTAACGTGAAATAGAGTGGTGATAAATCTTATGTTTTAAAATTGTAATTAACTGCTTAACCTTGTTTTAGTTTTTCCCTGTGATGGTGGGGGACATGGATAACACTGGAAGTCTTAACGCTCAGATCATTCACCAGCTCAGTAGCAGGATACGGTCCAAACTCGCATTTCAGGTAAAGATCTATGGACTTGAGCATTACTATTAGTTAGTAGCATGCTTCATAATACCACTGTTTGGTTTCTAAAGTTGTATTTGATTTAAATCTTCAGACACAACAGAACAAGTTTGTAAACTGGCAGGGAGACGCAGAGTACAGAGGAGACGACTTCACTGCAACAGTTACTCTCGGAAATCCAGATGTTCTTGTGGGATCTGGTACGTCAGTGCTACTTCTATTTTCATGTACATATTTTTAACATACTGGGCAAGAATAAATAAAATCTGCTACTTATATTATGTTGTAAGATACCAACTCTGTGAAATCATTTAAATAATTAGCCAGAAAGTTCTTTTTAACAATTATCAAAAATGACTGTACACATGCCTGAACCAAAACGTAATACAGTAACTGCATTACTACATAGGAAATACAAATTTAAATGAAAACTTTATTTAAATACTGAAATTATTTAACATCAATAGTCAGAACCTGCTGGTAGTTCCATAAAACAAGTTAAAAACATGTCCTTTCAGGCTGTGGCCCAAAATTATGGAATGCACTGTCCTTTTCTCTCTGTTTGGCCGACTCTTTGTGAAAGCTCTATATAAATGAAGTTTACTTACAATAATATACCAAACTATTAACCATTTTAATCTAGATTTTAGATTTATTTATTGAAGATTGACTTGGCAGGAGAGCACATTACATGCTGTTGCCAATCATAACACCAGAAACTTAGACAAACTTTATTAAACCACAAGGGAAATTATTTGGACACAGTAGCTCACAGATCACCATATAATATAATAACAAAGAGAAAATATATAAATGTTAATCATAAATTCTAACAAGTAGCAAAAAAGAGCAAGAGGCAGTTGTGAAATCAGATATAATTATGTAAATGTGTATGTACAAGTCAAAATAAAATAGAAAAATAAGTAATAAAATATAAAAGTACAAGTATATAAGTATAAATCCCTTTGTTTTAGGTCTTGTTGTAGCTCATTATCTTCAGTCCATCACCCCGTCTCTGGCCCTGGGCGGAGAGCTGGTCTATCATCGCAGACCTGGAGAGGAGGGCTCCGTCATGTCCCTGGTCGGCAGATACACAGGTACTTAGAGTAATTTAATCTCCAATAAACGAAATTATAAACAAACTGTGCAAATTAAACCCCACATCTTGCTGTTTTAGGCAGTAACTACATTGCTACACTGACTCTTGGTGGAGCTGGAGCACACGCCTCATATTACCATAAAGCCAATGACCAGGTAAGAATGCTGAATTTTACAGTAATGTTGATATGATATGGTAATAAAACAAGCAATATTCATATATAATTTTATTTCAGCTGTAAAAGTGGCATTTTACAGTTGTTTTAGGACTGGGTAAAAAATAAATATTGCCTGGCCAGCCACACCCACGTCCTTTAAATAAACACAAAGGGCATAGAATCGAGGCCAGGAAGTACATTGGTACATATGATTTAAAAACAGTTTCCAAAGTGCTGCCCAGAGGTCATGAAAAGAAAACAACAAAAGTATAATTGCTAAAAATGTTATCATACTAGTCCTAAAACATTAAAAAACAATATAAAAATGAAACCATAAAATCTTAAAACAGCAGTAAAAATAATGGTAACACTTTATTTTTGGGTACACTTATTAACATCTTATTATTATTTGAGGGTCAACGTTGGGGGTCAACATGTAAAACTTACCTACAGCCATTATTTATTTTACAAATAAGAGCCTTGATAATTATCAACAGTCATTGTAGAGAACCATTGAACCTATTATTTGCTCAACTTAAAGTGTTGGAAAATGTATATTGTTGACTTGAGTCTCCTCAAAGTCATGTATATGACTATATATGACTCATAATATATATGACATGTATAAAGCAAAGTGCAATATATTACCTGTAAATGTTCAAAGACTGTTTGAGATCAGAACGAGCAACAAATACAAATACAATGATGGCATTTAAAAAACACATAAAATTGAATGTAATGTGTATGTATGAAAAAGGAAACTAAGTGTTGTTGTGCATAATGGTGAATATTTCTGTTTGCAATTGATTAATAATTGTGCCTGAACTGTAATTTACTGTTTTGAATTGTTTTAAAGTGATTAACAGTGAGGAAAAGGGGGCAGATAACATAAGATTACTCTTCTTTCTGCTCCTTTTCAATAATTTCTTGTGTGTTTGATGTTGTGACACTGTTGATGTCTTTTTATACTCTATGAATTAAATAAATAAAAAAATAAAAATTTTAAAAAACATCTAACTACCTGCTAATTAGCATAGTTGTAGATGGCTAATTTGTCACTAGTGTTAATTAGTATTTATTCATGTCTAATTCCCCATAAGCTTACTCTGCTATTAGTTAGACATTTACACTTTCCTATTAAGTGCAAATAAGTAAAAACTATATTTCTTGTGCTTCTAGTCACAGTAACAACATGCTTATTACCAAAAGCTTATTAGAATCATAATTTATTGACAAAAATGGCCTAGTATCAGACTAATAAGCAGTAATAAGGATTGTATTAATTGGAAAGTTTGTAAATGTCAAATTAATAGTAGAATAAGCTTATGGGGAATTAGACATTAATAATAAAAGGGGCTGAATAAATACTAATTAATGAAAAACTAACCATTTACAACTAGACTAATTTGCAGGTAGTTGGATGTTAATACCCTGAAATAAAGTGTTAACAAAATAAATAAATAAAAAACTCAAAAGTCATAGGTGCTTTGGGTAACTGGGTATCAAATGCTTTTCTCCATGGAGATGTTATTGCTAGAATGTTTCACAGTATGGCATTACACCTTTCTATCTTCATGGAGACCAAACCAGACCAAGTTACAGGCCAGATCTGTGGAGAGGCAACCCCGCTCACGGTCAGAAGGCCTGTTTTTCTAGGTATTTTTCAGCTGAAAAACCACCTGCAATTGAATAAATATAAACTAGAACTGTTAAATGCCATACTGTGGAATATTCCAGATGAGCAATGGCATACTGTATCCATAGAAACCAGCAGGTGATGGACTCCCAAACCAAAGTGTTACATAGTGCACCTTTTTAAAAAACAGAAAATATACAAAAAATCATAACTATAACTTAATTACTAACAAAATTCCATGCACTTATTTCTTGCTGCTTTGACGTTTTGTTTTTATTCTTGCGAGCAGCTGCAGGTGGGAGTGGAGTTTGAAGCCAGCACTCGGATGCAGGACACCAGTGTTTCTTTTGGATATCAGATTGACGTGCCTAAAGCCAACCTGCAGTTCAAAGGTGTGTTTTATTTAACAAGTGTTTATCATGAAATTGCTCAGTTACACAATTGTATTAATAAAACCATTATCTCACTGTTACAGAAGTCATAATAGGATAAAACACATGACTTGATTGCTTAAAAAGTTGGTCACAGGTTTAAGGTTTGCCGCTTTTAGTTGTATTGTCTAAAATGATTCATGTTTTTACAAACGTTACTAGGCTTTTTTTTTTCTTCAGCACTATTGATCCATCCACATTTTCTATTAAATAAGATGTTAAAGGTCCTGTGTTATGCAGAATTGACTCTTTCAGCCATGTTAGAATGTTGTTACCTCATCAAAAACATACCTGGAGTTGTGTTCTGTTTCATTCACACACGTTTGAACAATCCTTTTTATTAGTCTGGCTACATCTCTAAAGCTCACAATGCTCTTTTCCACCTTGTGATGTCATGAAGCTGTAGTTTTCAAGTTAACAGCGCGCCCTTTTATCTTTTGTTCAGTAGAGATTGGCAATTCCAGAGTGTGTTCAGTATGAAAGAAAAAATATGCAATGTTTGGGTGTTTAAACATGTGTGAATGAAACAAAACACAACTCCAGGTCTGTTTGTGATGAGGAAACACTGTAACTAGATTAGAAAATATTGTATAACTTTTACATTTCATCTGCTTGTCTCCACGGAGAAATGGGGTTTAATGCCCTAGTGTGGAAGATTAATATCAATAATCAATTTTCAAAGTAGAGCCCTGCACTTCCGACGCAAAACAGTGCGGCGCGGGACACATTTTGAAAGCTCATTGCGGGCGCGGGCGGGAGCGGCAGTCTGCAGTCCCGCAAACTAAATATGAGTGTAAAGTAAAATATACAAATGAATAATGTTTGCCTATCATATATCATTTGTGCTGGATTTTTTATTTGGCATTAATAAAAACATTTTAAGCAGCCTGAATTTGCGGACGTGGTTTAATCTCACGCAAATTTTAGGCAATTCAGCTTCCCCGTTTGGATTTGCGGGCGGGAGCGGGACAAAATATCGCAGATATGGACAAGAGCGGAAATGAGAATTACAATTCTTTGCAGGTGCGGGTGGGAGCGGGACTGAAAATTTTGTCCCATGCAGATCTCTATTTCAAAGTTCAAAGTTAGCTTTATTGTTAATTTCTTCACATGTACTAGACTTGCAAAGGAATTGGAATTATGTTTCTCTTGATCCCATGCGTAGACAACGACTGGGAGAGTGAGAGGCCGTTATGTCTGCACATGCCGTCATTCAAATCATAACACCATTCAAGTTTTTCTGAAGCAAATTGTTGCAGTTGCAAGACCTTTGTGTCCCAGTCAAAGGTCTCAGTGCAGTTTAACAGCAGGACTGGTCAGGGAGAGTCAGCAGATTTGTGTCAGAGCAATTTGAGGAGAGGAAGGGCCAAAAGTGTCTCTCCTTTGTGTCCTGCAGCATCATATAGATATAATAATATCTTGGTGAAGACAAGCATCTTTTTTAAGTGTTGTATGATTACCTTTTTGACGTTAAAAGCAAACAAGTTGGAAATGAAGTGCATAAAAGTTAATATAGTAATATTAATGTAACCCATGCTTTGTCCGTAGGCTCCATAGACAGTAACTGGGTGGTCGGTGCTACGCTAGAGAAGAAACTGCTGCCTCTTCCTCTTTCTCTGGTCCTCTGCTCCTTCCTGAACCACCGTAAAAACAAGTTCCAGTGTGGATTCGGCGTCACCATTGGTTAACGGTGCTTTCAAGGACCTCATAGAAAAAAACGGACAGACTAAAACCGTCCATCAGACCTCTGCAGCAGACGAGATCATGGTTCATGTGTGAATGTGGTGTAATCAAGACCAAGGTAAAACAAAACAGACCAAGAGGGATGGGCCAGTATTTTGTAAAGATTACCTGTTAAATGAAAGTGGAAAAGTAAATTAATACTGTAATTTAGACTTCAAATAGCAGGACAAACATCTAATCAGAAGTTAACAAATGTATATAGCTAGAATGTAGAAGATGTTGTTAAAAATATATTTGTGAAAAGGATACTGTACAAACTGCATTCCCTATTAAACTATTATGCATACATATTTGACTATGGTTGGTCCATGTACAGAATATGGACAACAGGGCTGGGTATCATTAAGAATTTGCCGATATGATACAAACCCCGATACATAGGCCACGATACGATACACATCTCGATACAGTGAGCTTTCGATTCAATATTCGATATATTTCAAATTGATTCAGTACAGTTCAATAAAAAAATAAAGGCTAAATCATTTCTGTGATACTAAAAGTCTTGTTAAACCACTTCTTGAGCAAAGTTAATATGAAACAAACATTTTAATCATCAAAACAATGAAAATGTCATATGTGCTATATATAAAAGAGTTTCTTTTCTCTAAACAAGCACGATAACTGTAAATTATACCAAAAAATACTCTTGGCGATATATCGATACAGCAGCCCACGATATCAATATTGTATCATCACATTAAACGATACGATATGTAGATATTTTTATATTTTTTCATACTCCTAATGGGCAACAATAAATGATAACTAGAGTTAAGACTCTGTACCAGTGGTATTTATATCATATAGGGAACACTTTTAGAGTTTGAAAAGCAAAAATATAGTGTGTATTGTGGAGTTGGTTAATAATGTTTGCAATGTGCTCTGTGGACAGGACCACATGGGCAGAGATGTAAAATTATAATATAGACAAAAGATTGATATAAAATGCTAACTTGATACTAATCTTGTATCTAAACCAGGTACACAGATGAACAAGTACAAACATACAAGTGTCTGACAATATTAGTCTTTTTCTGAATAGTTTTATAGTGATCTAGAACAGGCATGTCCAAACTATGGCCCAGGGACCAACAGCGGCCCTCAGACTTCCATTTGAATTGGCCCATATAACCTTATACACAGGGTTCCCATGGTCATGGAAATACTGGAAAAGTCATGGATATTGAAAATTTCATTTTCCAGGCCTGGAAAAGTCATGGAATTTTAGTATCTCTTTCATGCAACTACAACGTTCTGTTAAGTTCTCATTAGGCTATTATGATTATTTCCGGACATAAGCACCTTTTGTTTAAAAGGGACAACAGTAAATGCACTGACAGTATTTTGAATGTTAAAAAACTATAATCCCAAACCAATTCTACACATATAGGTGCCGTAAAGTCATGGAAAATTCACTTTAGGTCATGAAAAAGTCATGGAAATTGAAATTTTGTCAATGAAAAAGAGTGGGAACCCTGTACACAGTGGGTTTTACTGCAAGTTTCTGAAAATCTACCTTGATAAAGCCCATATTAAATATTTAATGTGTGCTGTTGATGATGGCACTGTCCATGGACTTCAATCCCCTCTGCTTCATCTGTGTTTTGACATGCAACCCTTCATGAAAAAAAGTTTGGACATCCCTGATCTAGATCTTTGTCAGTTTAAGATCATGTTAATATTAGATAAACTGTATTATTTTGTATTGAAAACTACATTATACTGTCTGAAAAAATTGTGTAGTTTAAAATTTTGTGACAACACACAAGTCTTCCTCTTCTGTTCACTCATCTACCTCAGTCTAACAGATATTACATTAGTTTTAGTCGCACTAGCTCTATGCTCTGGAAAAAAATGGAAAATACATTCAGCAAAGTTGTAACAGTACAAAATACTGGTCTATCTCCAAAATACTGGTCTATCTCTTACCTTTTACTTTATTTATTTTATTTCTATAGTGAAAAAATATCTCTCTCTTCTGTCTATGTATATTTATGGGTATTGGCCTTGATTACAACACTTCTTACAAGCACTGAAAATATTGAAGCCACTGATCTAAATGATAAGAGTTAATTTAAACCTGACCAACTGCCTGTAAAGTCTCTTGTAAACCGGAGCTTGGTGCCTGTCACGTTTTTATTTTTATTTTATTTTTTATTTTCCAGTTTCTGTCTTTTGGCATGATGTGAATGAACTCATTTTACTGAAGTTTACTGTAAGGAACGGTCCATGCTCTTTTTCACAATCTCATCTGTGTTTTTGTTGCCTTTTTATGTTACATTCATGTGAAACCGTGAATATAATAACTATGTATATAAACATTGGAATCAAGTAAAGAATCATTTCTTACTAAAACTGGTTTATGTTGTTTCTTATGTAAAAGTGTGTTATGGTTGGAGCTGCAAATCATAATTTAACTGGAAGCAACTGACCCAATTTCCTTCACAATAAACAAAATAGCCAGTATTCCATCTATTTTATTCCGCTTATCCAGGATCGTGGGAGCAGCAGTCTAAGCGGGGACTCTGGCAGCCGTGTCTCATTTCTCTTTCCTCATTTCATTCTCCTTGATTCCTCTTCATGATTCTGCAGAGGAGACAAAGTGAGGAGAGAGGATATAAACTCCTCACTGAGACCAATAAAGTTTGATTATTTTCTCTGATGTCTGCCTCCTGAAGCCACCCTCATGTTTATTCCTTCCTTCCATTATTTTCTTTGGGACACCACTACATATGACACATTTGATTGGCAGCTGAAAAATGGAGGATCAAGGAGAGAAATCAAGGAGACGGAAGCAATGAAAGAGAAATGAGACGTGGCCCCAGGCTTCCCTCACCTCGGATACTTCCTCCAGCTCCTCTGGTGGGAACCCAAGACATTCCCAGTAGTGCAATGTAGTAGTGATGGGTATTATTGGCGTATTTAGAAGATATTTAGATGATGCCATGGCAATTTATTTTAAAAGTGCTAAAAATATCCACCATAGGGCTGGGTATCATTAAGAAGTTGCCGATACGGTAGGTAGGTAGGTACCTTGATACATATCTTGATACAGTGAGCTTTTGATTCAATACGATACAGTTCAATAAAAAATAAAGGCTATGATACTAAAAGTCTTTGTTAAACCACTTCTTGTGCAAAGTTAATGTGAAATGAGTTTCCTTCCTCTAAACAAACAACAAAACTGTAATGCTGTAACAAAATAATTGAGTTAAATTTACCAAAACATACTGCCCATAATATCGATACTGTGTCATCACATTAAACAATATGATATTTCGATATTTTTGCACACCCCTTGTCTACCAGGTATCACACAAAACACAAACAAACTGCAGAATTAACAAAAGCAATATCACTTATCACTATATTATGGTCTTACTTGAGAGGTTAAACTGTGAGTTTGTGATTTTAATTTCAATAGTACATCTCAATAGGTTTTATATATATTTTAAAAAAGTACTCAATAGTCTAAGACCAACAATCTGTACAGAAAAAACAAAAATGTGGCTATTTGCTGCAGGTGTTCCAATCAGTGGGAGCAGGTTGTGGGTGCTCTTGGAAAAAGGATCAAAACTTTAAACACAACAGAATTCAGGCACTCCAAGAAGTAAAAATCGCACGAGGAAAAATATAGTTAAAAGGCCTTTATTTAAATCTAGATTATATTTTTCCTCGTGCAATTTTTACTTCTTTGGAGGGCCTGGATTCTGTTGTGTAAAGTACTCAATATAATCTTTTTTTTTTTTTTTTTTTTTATATGCTCCTAACCTAACTAACTTTTAACTCCTGACTGCTCCAAACCCAATGGCATTTTAAGGATGGGACAAATGCAGAAATCTATAACTACTAATTATTATATTTATTTGCTCAAAATTATTCATTTTGCAAACCCACCAAGTCTTGTTTCCACCTACACTTTCTGCATTGTGGTATAAGATAATTACTGTTGAAGGGTGTGTATTGTGTTGTTGTTGATTTTGCGCTGACTGACTAAAAGTGCAAACATGGAGCTCAATGCATCTAACTCTTATCTTTAAAAGGTTAGTGCCAATATGATAAATATGGTGATGGCAAAGTGAACTGGAGTAACCGTCTAACAATTGCTTCGACACGTGAAAATGACCTAAATAATACATACACTGTAAAATCTAAAAGTAGACTTTACTTGAAAAAATCTAGGAAACCAATTTGCCTTGAAAAATCTGACTTAATTGGACTGGGAATCTAAAGATGAGCTTACAAGTGATTCCTCAGTGAAGTGTTCAGTAAATTCCTCTTTCATCTCATTAGGCACATCAAGTTAAGGGTGTTTTAGTTTTCATTCATAGAACTCACATTGTGAAGCTGTGTCAAATAATCAGCTAGTTCTTCAAATATGAAATGTGTATGTAGTAACATTTACTTTAAGAGTAAGTTCATCTCACTTAGTAAAACCATGGAAACCAATTGCCTTGAATTGAGCAAGTAAATGTTACTTATATACACAAGTTAGAATAAAAACAGGTTCTATTCTACAATAATGACATTCAGATTTGCATCATGTACACAATATGAATCTGAATATTTATTAGTCTCTGAAAAAAAATGTAGCAAAACTTTTGTTCAGCTTAAGATCAAAACACATCATAACACATCTAACAATAAAATAATCCATTCCATGTCAACTCAACCAAGGCCCCCCACATTTAGGTCTCAAAAAATGCTGGAAGAAACAAAAAAGGAGTACAGTTACACTACCGGTCAAAAGTTTAAGAACGCCCTAATTTTTCCAGTTATTTATTGTAATTCAAGTCGTGCAAGTCCAATGAAGAGCTTGAAATGGTACAAAGATAACTGCTGAACAGACAGAGGTTAAAAAAAAGATTAAAGATAACAAAACACAAGTCCAAGCTCTGTCAAAACTACCTCAGGAAAAAAGAACAAGATGGTAAACTTAAAAACATGGAGTGTCCAGCACAGTCTCCAGACTTAAACCCCATTGAGCTGGTTTGGGATGAACTGGACAGAAGAGTAAAAGCCAAGCAACCTACAAGTGCCACACATTTATGGGAACTTCTGCAACAGACTTGAGAAGAACTTTCTGAAGAATATTTGATTTCTATTGTAAAAAGAACAACGAGTGTGTTCAGCTGTTATGTCTGCCCAAAGGTGGACACTTACAGTAAATAGTAAACAGTAACAAAAGTGTGGTGTTATAAAAATTTGGCCAGTGGTGTATAATCTAACAAAGCCTGAATGGACAGAGGGAGGATATAGAGACACCCTGGGAAGGAAAAACAGGGAGGAAGCAAAAGGAGGACCGGAACACTGGGAAATGGAGCTGGACGTTTGGCAATAACATGTCACTGCTGAAGTTACTCGTCTCATTCAAGTTGATCTTAGTCTAACTGACAAGTAATATGCTTTTTTGTCCCTGAAAGTAGCTGTTACTTTACCACAATCATTAAGATCCACAAATTCATTTAAGTAAAGTAAACTAGATGAATGCAAGTTAACCCAAGTGTTAGATTTTACAGTGTAGAGAGTCAGTACTTCTACAACAACAACATAGTGATGTAGAATGCAAAAGGGACCAAAACAATTAAAGATGATTAACAATTAAACTACCTGTTCTAATACACTGGGTATTAGAATGAGAGTGTATTTGTCAGAGCCTGATCTCATCTAATCTGTGAACCTGAGCTTTGAGAGTCCTGGGTAGTGCTTGGATGGGAACCGTTGCTTTCACTAATACTGTCATTGTGTCCTTAGGCAAGACACTTCATCCACATTACCTAATATAAATGTGGTGTGTGTAAATGATTAGTAGCCTCACTTTCTTCAGTCTGTCCCAGGGCAGCTGTGGCTACAATAGCAACTTACTACTATGGAATGAATAATTAACAATTTAAAGGTCTTATATTAAACTGACCCCTGTGAGCTTTAAGCAAGGTTATATCATTGTTACTTCATTAAAAACAGACCTGAAGTTGTGTTTTGTTTCATTCACATTTGAGTAATCCTTTATTATTAGTTTGTCTGCATCTTTAAATCTTAAAATGCTCTGTTCCACCTTATGATGTCATGAACTAGTAGTCTGCAAATAAACAGCTACATTTCTACCTTTAGTTCAGTAGAGATTGGCAATGGCGGGGGCTGAAATTCTTAAAGGTGCATTATGTATATTTTCTGGTGGACGGTCCATCAAATGCTTTTCTCCATGGAGATGTTATTGCTTTGTCAGGAATGTTTCACAGGATGGTATTAAACCTATTGAACCTTTCTATCTTCATGGAGACAAAACTAGAAGTTACAAGTCATATCTGTGGAGAGACAACCCCGCTCACAGTCAGAAAGCTTATTTTTCTCTGTATTTTTGAGCTATAAAAGCACCTGTAATTGAATAAATGTAATATAGAGCAGTTTAATGTCATACCATGGAACATTCTAGTCCAAATGATTCTAGTGGAGGTGTATGGAGTTTCAAAACAGAGTGGAGCACTTCCTGTTTTACCATATAACATCACAAGGTGGAACAAGGTGGTATGTTTTCTATTTGAGAGAAGAATTCATCCTAAATATGCAGGGTTTGTGTGTTAAACGTGTGTGAATGAAACAAAACACAACTCCAGGTCTGTTTCTGATGAGGAAACAACATTATAACAGATAAATAGTGCAATATAGGCCCTTTAAATGTGACTCTGGGAACATATTGTTATTATAATTATTAACCCTACCAGTAATTTACAAGCAAAATATCTCTGAAAATACTGGTGTGGGGATGGCATAACTCATGAAATAAATAAATAAATACAGTAAACCCAAAACTTCACAGTGGCATCATTTTATTACTAAAATACTCTGGTACAGGTGAAATAAATAGCAGAAGGTAACTGGAGCAGAAGAGTGGAGGTGGTGGTGGTTGGGTTTTTACTGGGTGATGCTCTTGGTGAACGCCTCCCACAGCGCTATGACCTGGGCCTTCACGTCTTGGGCATTGGCCTCTATTTTAGCCTTCAGCTCCTCTCCGTATGGGGCCAGGGTCTGCTGCACCTCCTGGACTTTCTGGTTGACCTGCACTTCAAAATTCTGCGCCAGTGGCATCAAACTGGTCTGGAACTCCTCAATGCTCTGCTCCATCTTCTGCTTGATCTCCTCGGCGTAGGGTCCCATCTGAGCCTGCAGGTTGGTCTTCATCTCCTGGCTCTTCTGCATGAGGACGGTTTTCAGGGTCTCGGGGTCCATGGCATCGGCGAGGGGGGCGATGTCTCTCTTCAGTTCGTCCATCTTGGTTTGAAGGTTGGTGATGAACTGCTCGGCCACTGGTTTGAGGTTGGTGTTGACGGCGGAGAGTTCAGACTCCAGGCGAGATTTCAGATTCTCGGTCTGCTCGGTGATCTGGGTGAGCAGGTTCTCGGACAGAGGGCCAGCCTGGGTTTTCAACGCGACGACGTACTGGTTGACAGTGTCTGTGCTTTGGGAGAGTTTAGTGCTGGAAAAAACATACAAGAATAAAAAAATACAAGATTAGAGCTGATTACAAAGGTTGTGTTCAGGTTAAAAATCTCATATTATGCTATTTTCTGAGCTATGTTATCATGTTTTTACTCATCAAAAATATCAACAATCAATAATAGTTCACAAAACTGGCACAAAGTTCAACATTTCTGTGAGCACAAATAAACTAAATCAAATCATGTTTCCACAAATGCTTCCAAAAGTGGTGCAAAAATAAGCATGATTGCTGTCAGCTGACTCTGCCGTAAGTTTATTATGACACCAAATAATGAGAAATTCAGCGGAAAAGTTCAAACAGTGAACTCTTGAGTTAAATAGGCCCCTTCCCCCCATCTGAAAATATCATCAAATTCTTTAAAGGTCCTATATTACACAAAAATGACTCTTGTTTGTTTCATTCACACATGTTTAACACACAAACTTTGCATATTTAGGCTGAGTTATTCTCTAAAAGAAAAAACTCTCCACCTTTTGATGACATGTGGTAATACAGGAAGTGCTCCACTGTGTTTTTAAACTAAAATAAGAGCATTTTGACCTTTGGAGATTTAGACAGACTAATAATAAAGGATTATTCAAACATGTGTGAAGTGTCAGGTTTGTTTTTGAGGGAGGTTATTGTAACATGGCTTAAAGCTCACAAGAGTCTATTTTGTGAAATACAGGACCTGTAAAGATTTTGATGATATTTTCAGATGGGGGGAGGGGCCTATATAACTCAAAACATTTGACTTTAGTTCATGTGAGCTCACAGAGACGATGAACTTTGTGCCAGTTTTTGTTTCACGTGGACAGACCCAATAATTACAGAGATGTTGACCATAAACCAGGTCAACAAATCTGCAATGTGACAGTTCAACAGCAAAATCCACTAAAGAAGTCTGATCTAGTTCTACACTATTTTACATTTTTTATATTCTAATGTTTAGGTGGTCTAAGCAAAATGATAAATTAACCTTATTTAACCATTTTAATCTGTTAAAATAATGATTAAAGTATGTAAGTCTTTAGGAGGAGGGTTCAAAAACTTCTTTTCTCCATGGAAATTTGTTAGTTTGCCTGAAATGTTCCACAGGTTGGCATTAAGCTTAGGACTCTCAATGGAGCAAAGTTGTTAAAAGTAGATTTTTTTGGACAATAAAATGTTGTAACTGAATAAATTAAAGATAGATGAGTTTATACCAGTGTTGGAACATAACTATGCAGCAAAGTACTGTACTTAAGTATACATTTTAGGTATCTGTACTTTACTTAAGTACATAAGAGCAGGTATCTGTACTTTCTACTCCACTACATTTCTGAACAAGACTGAAAAGTATTTTTTAGAGCACATTTTTATTTAAGTATATTTCATTTTTATTTATTTATTTCATACGATACTTTTACTGTTATTAGAGTATTTCTTTGCTCTGGTATTTGTACTTTTACTTAAGTAACAGACTTGAGTACTTCTTTCACCACTGTTTCATACCAAACTGTGGAACATTACAGATATTTTGATTTCAACAAGGCGACTGACCCTCTACCAGAAAAGTTACATAGTGCACCTTTAACTAACTGCATGTTTATGGTCTCTTACTTGACTTCCTGTCCCAGCTCAGAGTCCTGGATCTGTTTCAGCGACTCCTCGGCCATCTGCGTCGCTTTGGCAACGTAGTCCCAGAAGGCTTCCTTTACCATGTCCGCGCCGGTCTTGGGCTGCTCGTGCCACAGGACGTTGGCATTGCAAACTGTACAAGAAACAAGAATTACTTTTTTTTACTATCAAGTATTTAATATGAAAGTAGCTCAATAATTACATTTATTATTTTCTGACTGTGCATGTCTAGTTGTTACTTATTGAGCTCAACAGTGATCACACACCCTCCAGTTCTAAATAAACTAAATTTCACCTTTATTTTTCTCATAAAAAGTTGAAAAGCTTGTTCAGGGTTAATCAACTATGTGTTAATTAATGACCACAAGACTTTTCATTTTATTTAAAACTGTTTCTGAAACTTTATAAACTGCTAAGTAATTAAAATGTGCTTTGGGATATTAGTTATTTTGTTTAGCCTCTGCCATGTCTTTTAACTCCTAATATTAAAATTTTTGAAAAAGTCTATGGGAAAAATTAATAGAAAATTTACTTCCAGACCTGGAGCGAGAGGTCACTGTTGAGTTGCACTGGTCTGAAATGCTTTTCATCTTCAGGACTGTATATTTGTCAACAATTTTTTCCTTGTAGATTGTTAAACGAATCTGAATTCAACTAAATTAGGCTGACACAAGATTTTTGTATCCACTTTGTCTCAATAATCTCAGTTATCTGAGATATTAATTACTCAAAAATATCCAGAACAGTCACTCACCAGAAATAAGAGCGAGAACCACAAGGAACTTCATCTTTGAATCTGGAGAAAGAAAAAAATCCAGTTAAATTTACAACAAAATAGCTCTGGTATTTGCAGTATAATAGATCTTTGCGTTACCGTGCAGTGTGGGCCGGTCCCTCTTCTTCGTCTTGGCACCTCTGTGTTGGCTCAGGGTGAAAACAAACTTTTATAGTAAAAACCAGGTCCAAAGTCCGTCTCACCTGTGCCCTGCTGGACGGTCCCAGACGCAATCCACTCCACGTGTACACTCTGTCCTGTAAAAAACAAGTTAAAGTAATTATTTATATATTTGTACATTGTGACTTTTTTTTCTATCTTTTAAAGGTCCACAATCACACAAAATTGAATCTTGTGAGCTTTAAGCTGTTATGCATGTTAAGCCATGTTATAATGTTATCTCCTCAAAAACATAACAGGAATTGTGTTTTGTTTCATTCACAAATGTTTGAGTAATCCACCATTAGTAATCTGATTGTCTCTAAAACTTAAAATACCCAGTTCCACCTTGTGATGTCATGCAATAATGTGGTAGTTTTCAAGTTAATAGCTACTTTTTAGCTTAAGTTCACTGCCCATTGGAAATTCCAGAGCTGAAATTATCCAAATGAATATAGTGTATGGAGTTTAAAAACGTAGTGGGGCACTTCCTGTAGTACCACATGATATCACAAGGTGGAACAGAGTGTTTGAGCGAATAACTCAGTCTAAATAGGCAGGATTTCTGTGCTAAATATGTGTGAATGAATAAAATACAGCTCCAGGCATGTTTTTTATGAGGAAACAACATAATCAGAGGAGGCCCTACCATTGGGCAAAAGTAGGCAGCTTCTTAGGGCCCCCGAACCTGGAGAGGCTCTCAAAAAATTGCCCTCAGTGCCACTAATGGCCCAGGCCTCAGAGCAATTTGATTTTCTCTCAATATGACATTAAATGAGAGTAGTTTTACTTTTAAACAAGAAAACACCATCAAAATAGAATCTCATTGTCAAATTTATTTTAACTGTCAAAGCATCCCCCCTTTTCACGTTAAAATGGACCAGTCAGCTTGACCCTGATTTGAACATAATCACAGCAGTATCATATATAATGGATCTAAACAAAAATGTAATTGTTCTAGTAGGCTACCTAACTAATAAGACAAGTTTCCAATCCACCCTAATTCAAATAAAGATCTGCATGTCTCAAGGAACACACAGACAAAACAGACAATAAATATTAAAAAAAATAAAATAAATCAAAACAGTGCATTATAATGAGGGCCCAAAACTGAAGTTCGCCTAGGGCCCCCAAGTTGTTAACTCCGCTACTGTTTATAGAATAAACAATATGTACGTATATTCAAAAAAGCACAGGAAAACAGAGATTTTAAAAAGTAAACATGTTTTGTAGTATTTTGTAGTATTTACACCTTATAAACAGAACCTTTCCAAAATAAGCAGTAAAACCACTTCAGGGCAATGACACAGAACTCAGTGTCCCAGAACAAATGTGATAAAACTATAATTACTCTACGACATCTAAATTTGCAATAATTAACTCATCTGAATGACATCATCTCAGTCTGTATGTACGTTATTCAAGGTTGAGTGGTTTCATTATTGAATTTATTTAAAGGAGCATTGTGTGACTTTTCTGGTGGAGGTACGGACCAATTCTCCTTTGAGATGTTATTGCTTTGTCTGGAATGTTTCACAGTATGTTATTAAACCTTTCTATCTTCATGGAAACCAAATCAGACCAAATATGGAGAAAATTAGAGGAAGTAACTCAAAAACATGTGACTGAAATTGTACTTGTAACTTCCTTGACAATTTGAATCACAGCCATGTTTTACCAGTGTCCTATGTGATATTTGTCATGTGTGCGCGTGTGTGTGTCATATTCTTTCACTGATAAAACTGTAATCTTTCACCTCAAGAGAAAAATACAGTTGAGTGACGATAAGGTCCAGGTCAAAGTCCAGATCTGTGACCTAAAACTGACTCCACGTAGTGAATAGAGTAACACACGGGTCCACAGCGGAAACAGCTACAGATCCAAAGTGTAATCTATATATGTACTGTCAGCCTATCACAAAACGGACTGCTCCTTTATTGATACGTTACAGCTCATTGACATTCCCTGGGGTATGAAGCTAAGTGAAAGTACTACTCTGTTTAGGGTGACCAGATTTTCAAAATAAAAAACTGGGACACCCCTAGTTTGTGGTGGTTGGTAATAATAAAACTGTGAATCGAGTGCATAATTAAGAAAAATTGTTCTGTGCTCAGTCTATTCATGATGAACATGCGAGTGAATATAGTCACATTTTCTTTGTGTTTTGGTCGTTTTTAAGCAGCAAGTGACAATTTCTGCTTCTCTTTACTGTTGACAGGGATCAAATTGGTCAAAAATAGGGACACCTTGGACATTTCTTGTATAAAACTGGGATAAATCAATGGTTTTGTATAAATTTGCTGGGACAGGGGACACAGGGTTTAAAACTGGGACTGTCCCGGGTAAATAGGGACATCTGGACACCCCAATTCTGTCTGAAGCTCTGTCACTCAAGTTAGACTTTAATCTGAGTTTTAATTGAGCACAATCTGACCAGACAGAGGTGATTTACTTGATGATTTTACAAGATAAGATGATTTGTGTTCTAAAGTCTCTCACGCTTAAAATAACAGTTTTTCAGGTATTCACACTCAATGAACACTTTGGATCTTTTTAATCGACTGGTCTACAATGTGGTCTTATTTATCAATAGCCATTTTTATTTATTTATATGCAAATTTACTCTTGTGAGCTCTAAGTCATGTTATTATGTTACCTCATCAAAAACATTTACACATGTTTGAATAATCCTTTTTTATTATTAATCTGTCTACGTCTTCAAAGCTCAAAATGCTCTGTTCCACCTTGTGATGTTATGAAGCGGTAGTTTTTAAGGTAACAGCTCCTTTTACCTTTAGTTCAGTAGAGACTGGCAACTCCAGGGCTGAAATTATCCAAATGTAAGGTGACCAGACGTCCCTATTTACTTGGGACAGTCCCTGTTTTGAGCTCTGTGTCCCCTGTCCCAACAGATTTACCCAAAACAAGTGATTTGTCCCAGTTTTATATAAGAAATGTCCCAGGTGTCCCATTTTTGACCAGTCTGATCTTTGCCAACAATAAAGAGAGGCATAAATTGTAATTTGTTTAGGTAAAATACAAACAATCTGCTTGAAAACTATGAAAACACAAAGAAAATGTGACTATATTGACTCACATGTTAGTCCTGAATGGTCTCTGCATAACAATTTTCCTTAATTACGCACTCACTTGACAATTTTATTATTACCAACCACCAAAAATTCTATTTAAAAAAACACAAATGGAAATGTCATCACGGAATGTTCCACAGTGTGACATTAAACAGTTTATTCAATTACTGTGTTTGAAAACAGACATTCTGAACTCCACATCTGAAATCCATGACGATAGAAAGGTTTAATGCCATATGGTGAAACATTCCAGACAAAGCAGTAACATCTCCATGGAGAAAAGCATTTGGCAGACCCTCCACCAAGTGACACAATGCACCTTTAATGGGATTGGGTCTAAGAGTGTTATTGTTTATAAATACCTCGTTTTGTTTATTTGTTTACAGTGGGGAGTCAGGGGCGGACGGTTTCCCAGAGCCCCGTCCCGGATCGTCAGGTGGAGATGCTGAAAGATGCATTCTGGGATTACGTTTCCAAGGCAACCACAGCAGCCGATGAGTCCCTGAAACAGATCCAACAGTCCGAGCTCGGCAAAGAAGTCAAGTAAGAACTAAAGCGCTAAATAAATGTACTACTGTACATTAAACAATAATACTTTCTTTATATCTTGAGAGGAGAACGGGAAAGATTAGTCATTGTAATTTACTATTCATTAGGGATGCAATGATATCCAAATCTCATGGTACCATATTTATTGCAATATTTTGTAGAGGCTAACAAAACTGTGCTGTGCAAAATATGCTACTTTTTCCTCTTACAATGTCTTGACAAAATTTTCTTCATGTAGTTTTCACCAAAACAGAGCAAAGGATCATGGTCAATGTAGTTCCCTCAGTTTTTTTAAGCTATTTCTATATATTGTGATGATCCAAGATATTACTGAGAGACTTTTGATGATACATTATCACAATATTTTGGTTATTGTTACACCCCTCCTATTCATTGATACATTTAAATTATTGTTTTTATTCAATGATTTATTTATTTATTTTACAAATTAATTTTATAAGCGTCAGTGCTATTTAACAAAACAAAACAAATCAAAGAAGAAATAAAATTTGTCAACTGGACAAACATTCATTTGTTTATTTGTTTATTTATTTATTATTTGTCCAGTTGACAAATTTAATTTCTCCTTTGCCACGGATTCTCCTGGATGACTGAGGGATTCTACACAAAACAAATCAAAATTATTCCTCCAAAGTCTGAATTCTTGTCTCGATGGAGATAGATAAGTTTAAAGGTGCATTGTGTAACTTTTCTGTTGGAGGGTCCATCAGTTGCTTTTATCCATGGAGATATTATTGCTTTATCTGGAATGTTTCACAGTGTGGTATTAAACCTTTCTATCTTCATGGAGACCAAACCAGACCAAGTTGCAGGTCAGATCTGTGGAGAGGCGACCCCGCTCACAGTCAGAATGATTGTTTTTCTAGGTATTTTTGAGCTATAAAACAACCTGCAGCGGTTTAATGTCATACTGTGGAACATTCCAGACAAAACAATAACGTCTTCACGGAAAAAGTAGATAAAGTATTTTTGTTATTTTTTATCAACACAGTGGAAAAAGTTTAAAAAGTTGTACCAAGTATTAAACCTTTTCTGTAGTACTTTCTTATTTGTAACATTTCCTGGTTTGTTCGTGCAGTACGTTCATCTCGCAGAGCTCTGAGGCTGTGACCAGGTTCAGTGATGCTCTCCGGACACAGGTGGCGCCGCTCACACAGGACCTGCTGCAGAAGTTCAACAAAGAAGCTCGACAGATGCGCAAACGCCTGGAGAAGGACCTGACCACCTTCACCAAGAAAATCGAACCCTACACACAGGAACTGGTGACAGAACTGCAGAAACAGGTGAGGAGCTGCTGAGTCAGGACTAAACCAGGACTAAAGCAAGACTAAACAAGGGCTAAACCAGGACTAGACCAAGACTAAACCAGAACTAAATCAAAACTAAATCAGGAATAAATCAGGACTAAACTAGGACTAAACCAGGAGGAAACTAGGACTAAATCTGGACTAAACTGAGACTAAACCAGGACTAAACCGAGACTAAACAAGGACTAAATCAGGACTAAACCAGGACCGAATCAGGACTAAAACAGGGCTAAACCAGAACTAAATCAAAACTATATCAGGAATAAACCAGGACTAGATCAAGACTAAACCAGAACTAAATCTAGACTAAACCAAGACTAAACCAGGACTAAGTCAAGACTAAACCAGGACCAAATCAGGACTAAAACAGGGCTAAACCAGAACTAAATCAAAACTATATCAGGAATAAACCAGGACTAGATCAAGACTAAACCAGGACTAAATCTGGACTAAACCAAGACTAAACCAGGACTAAGTCAACACTAAACCAGGACCAAATCAGGACTAAAACAGGGCTAAACCAGGACTAAACCAGGACTAGATCAAGACTAAGCCAGGACTAAATCAGGACTAAACCGAGACTAAATCAGGACTATATCAAGACTAAATCAGAACAAAACCAGGACTTAATCAGGACTGAACAAAGACTAAACCAAGACTATATCAGGACTAAACCAGGACTTCTCAAGAGCCAAAACCGCACTAAACCTGGACTAAACCTGGACCAAACCAGGACTAAACCAGGATGAAACAAGGACTAAATCAGGACAAAACAAAGACAAAGCCAGGCCTAAACCAGAACTAAACCAGGACTAAGCTAGGACTAAACTAAGTCTACACCAGGATTTATCAAGAGCCAAAACTAGAATAAACCAGGACTAAATCAGGACAAAATCAGGATAAAACCAGGACAAAACTTGGACTAATCAAAAGCCAAAACAACATTTTGGCACTGGGATTGAACGTGAGGTTAACAAACCAGCACTAACTAAACCAGGATTAACTAGGGCTAAACAAGAACCAAACCTGAACTAAAACCCCTAAAAGAACTAAACTCGGATTAAACCATTGCTAAACCAGGACTATATCAGGACTAACCCAGGACTAAACAAGAGCTAAACTTGGACATAACCTGGACTACTCGAGCAATAAATCTGGCCCTTTAGGATTAAATCAGGCCTAAAACAAGCCCAGATGTGAAAACCTTTGGTCCAGTTTTAGATTCTTCATTTTGTTAACATGTTAAAAACGCCTACATCTGACTCATTTCCTAATCCAACATATATTTCTCCAAAAACAGATTGAGGATCTTCAGAGAGAGGCCGCTACTTTCGCCGAGACCATGGACCCCGAGACCCTGAAGTCCACCCTGATCCAGAAGACCGAGTCCATGAGCCGGGACCTGCAGTCTCAGATGGGACCCTACACGGACGACATGAGGCAGCAGATGGAGAAGAGCCTGGGTGACTTCCAGACCAGCCTCATGGCCATGTCCCAAAGCTTCGAAGCGCAGATGAATGAGAAGATGGATAGTCTTGCCCCCTACGGAGAGGAAATCAGGAGCAAATTGGAGCTGGAGGCAGAAAACATGAGGGAGCAACTGGAAGCACTGTGGAAATCCTTCACTAAAATGATGTAATCTTATTCCGGACTTTTATTTTGAAAGGTTAATGTTATAGATACCTCAGTTCAGTTAAATGGCAAAGTAAAATACCTCATATGAAAGGTCACTTTATCATGTATTTTGTATTTTTCTGAATAAATAAATGTTTAAAATTTCAAGAATCTTTTGGTTTATTAAATATATACTGACAATATTAAACTTTTTTTTTTTTTTTTTTTACATATATAGATATTTAAAAAAATATTTAAAGGACCAATATTATATAATTTTCTGATCTATGTTATAATGTGACCACCTATGGTCATGAGCTCTGAGTAGTGACCGAAAGGACAAGATTGCGGATACAAGCGCTAGAAATGAGTTTCCTCTGCAGGGTGACTGGGCGCTCCCTTAGAGATAGGGTGAGGAGCTCAGTCACAAGGGATGAGCTCGGAGTAGAGCCTCTGCTCCTCCACGTCGAGAGGAGCCAGTTGAAGTGGCTCGGGCATCTGTTTCGGATGCCTCCTGGGCGCCTCCCTCGGGAGGTGTTCCGGACATGTCCCACCGGGAGGAGGCCCCAGGGAAGACCCAGGACACGCTGGAGGGACAATGTCTCTCGGCTGGCCTGGGAACGACTTGAGGTCCCACTGGAGGAGCTGGAGGACGTGTCTGGGGTGAAGGAAGTCTGGGAGTCCCTGCTTAGGCTGCTGCCCCCGCGACCCGGCCCCGGATAAGCGGACGAAAATGGATGGATGGATGTTATAATGTTGTTTTCTGATCACAAACAGACCTGGAGTTGTGTTTTGTTTCACTCCCACATGTTTAAGACACAAAAATAAAGTTATTTTCTCAAAAGGAAAACACTGTGTTCCACCTTGTGAAGTCATGTGGTGATACGGGAAGAGCTCCTCTGTGGTTTTAAACTCCACACACCTTCACTATAATCATTTGGATAATTTCAGCCCTGGAATTTCACTAAATGACATCACAAGGTGGGACAAGCATTTTGAGCTTTGGAGATCTAGACACACTAATAATAAACGATTGCTCAATCGTGTGAATCAAACAAAAGACAACTCTGGGTAATCTTAACAGAAAGTTATCTGCACTGAAAAATGTAAAAGTGGGCAAGGTACAAACCAAAGGCACTTCGACTGAATATATTTAAAGTCCTTCATTGCATGAAGGGATGCCAACGTGTTTCGACCAGTAAGATGGTCTTCGTCAGGGTATGATGATGATTATGCCCACTTTTACAATTTTCAGTTAGAGTAACTTTCTGCTAGGATTATTAGCTTAACCCTTGTAGAGCTCCTGTACTGCTATTTTTAAATTTTTATGACCCAGTGAAGAATTCTACATTTTTTCTTCATCTGACAACTCTGGGTATGTTCGCATGGCTTAAACCTCACAAAAGTTTCGAGTTATATAAGACCTGTAACGAACATATATAATTAAAATATAACAGATAAATGCAAAGGTTCTCATCTCCATCTGTTTAATTTTAATAGTCAGGGATAACTATTTTGTCTTTTTCTGCTCTCTGATCAAACCTTTGTTATGCTGAAATCTAAGCTCCAAAATGTATCTCGTGTTTGATTTTACAAGATCCATATTTCTGCTGATAAAGAATGAATTTACTGCCTACACCTTCTTATCTAAAAAGAAACAGCCCTGCTCTTTAACCTGACACAGACACTGATCCAGAAGAACAATATTGAGTTGTTTTGTAGTTTTGTTGTTAAGTTTAGTTTGGTTAAAGCTGCACTGTGTAACATTTTCTGGTAGTGGTCACTGATCTGCCACCTCTTCGTCTTCATGTTATTGATTTGTCTGGACAGTACTAACTTATATTAACATTGGGTTAAAGGTGCACTGCGCAACTTTTCTGATGGAGGCTCTGTTACCTGCTTGTCTCCATGGAGATGTTATTGCTTTTCCTGGAATGTTCCACAGTATGACATTAAACATATCCATCTAGCATTTATTCATTCCAGGTGTTTCTATTGCTCAAAAATACACCAATTCTTTCTGTGAATTGGGACGACTCTCCACAGATCTGCATTGTCTCCCTTGTGATAAACAGGTTTAATATATACTGTGGAACATTCTAGACAAAAGCATTAACATTTCCATGGAGACAAGCAGGTGACAGTCCCTCCACCAGAAATTTCACACAGTGCACCTTCAATGCAAGTTATGCAATTGTTAAAAAAAAATATATATATTAAAAATAAAATCATGCACACTGTGGGTGGGGTCGCTTCTCCACAGATCTGAGCTGTAACTTGCCCTGGTTGCATCCCCTGATTGTCTCCATGGAGGTATAGAAGTGGGATGCGAGGCTGGGATGCCAGGAAGAGCAAAAAGTAACAGACTGTATGTACCTTTAAGTAGTATCTAGTTCAACTGAATTAGGTCAACGATTAGATAAAATTAGAAAGATCTTTGACTTTATCTCAATCAATAAAACACTAAATACACCAGACATATAATTTATTTATTAATTTACTTTATAACTGATCTTTCATTGCAGTTATATAAAAATGATGAAGTAAACATTTCAAATAAGTTGTTCATCTTTTTGTGATTTTTGGGATTACACTGTTTTCTGATCTGTGTAAACTTATAATGTCACAAACGTGGAGCTGTGTGTTGTTTCATTCACACATTTAACACACAAACCCTGTAGATTTAGGAGGGCCTTGCGCGTAAAAACAACAAAATATTTTCTCGGAAGTGCCTTTTGTTTAGACAGTGATGACCTTTTTGGGGCTTAAAAATGCAAAAATCTGAAGCCACTTTCCAGAGTGGAAAAGTTAAACATGCTCCACCTTAGCGTTTCCGTCTACATTGCCCAAGACGCAAAACTCTGGTCAGATCTGCTCACGTCGCGTACGCGTTTACGTCACATACATCACCATCGAGCATCAGCACCAAGCCACATGGCATGTATACCCAATCGAATTCCACACACTTTTGCATCACCATATGCACACAGATTTCCTCCTGAAAACACTCGTCTAAATGCGGAATAAAAAGTGAAGACAAGACACCAATTTTGCATCCTCTGTTCAGACCGTCATCATATAAACGTAGCCTTAGACTGAGATCTTTTCACAAACAGAAAACAAAAACTCCACCTTGTGATGTCATGTGGTAATACAGGAAGTGCTCTACTGTGTTTTTAAACTCCATACACCTTCACTAGAATCATTTGGATAACTACAACCCTGGAATTGCCAATTTCGACTAAACTAAAGGTAAATTGAAGCTGTTAACTTGACAAATTACTACTACAACACATCACAAGGTGGAACAGAGCATTTTGACATTTTGGAGATGTAAACAGACTAATAATAAGTCAGTTTTACAGTACTTGTCTGTACTGAGTACTTGTCCAAGAAAGTATCTAGTTTTAATACTGGTTCTAGTATCAATTCTGGGTAATATAAATTTTCTTTGACAACCTTACCTTTCTTAGTTAACAAGGAGCAGGGTTTATAAGATTTGTCTTCTTCCTGTTCCTTTTGCTCATGCAGCAAAGCCAAGGCAAATAATGGTTGGAATATGTATTTATGTTAATTGTCAGATTTTTTGTTGTTGTTCTCTTTAAATTTATGCCAATTAAATAATAGCATGAGCAATAAAATAAATAAATAAACATAAAATTCAGTCACTTTCATAATACATTTTAGCTTGAGCCCATGAAATATAACACAATAATCTAAACCAGGTTCGATCCAGGACATGTGCAAACACAGCCCATGGAATCAGTTAAATCAACAGATGTTTTTGGTCAATATTTTTAATCTTAAATAAGTGACGTGGAGGTTTAGAGACAGAGAGCCATAAAAGGTGACAACACTGCAAGAGCCAGAGGACCTCGGACACAGGTCAGGCTGATTTATTGGATCAGATCTGACTCCGATATAAATACAGAGAGAGCACTGGACTGTGTGTCTCTGTCACTCAACCACTCTCAGATCTCTCACAGGTAAGACACGGGGAAGCTTTGATATGGGAAACTTAAGTGGGTTTCATATTTCATTATTATTATATTTTAAAAGCCTTAGAATAGATAATTTTATTGTTTTGACCAATATTGTGCTATTTTCTGATGTGTTATAATGTTGTTTCCTCATCACAAACAAACCTGCGGCTTTGTTTTGTTTCATTCACACACGTTTAACACACAAACCCTGCAGATTTAGACTGACTTCTTCTCTCAAAAGGATTACTCAAACACGTGTGAATGAAATAAAACACAAAAAACTCCAGGTATGCTTTTGATGAAGTAACAAAATTTTAACATGACTTCACAAGAGTCAGTTTTTTGTAATACAGGACCTTGCAATTCCAAGAGATATAATTCTGTTTGCAATTTACAAAGTTAGCAGTGGAAATCTGATTCTGATTGTATTTCTGCTGAATTATTATACAAAAATGTTCTATATGTAATGCAGAACACACATTGTAATTAATTATGGAATAATTTTACCAATTAAATTGTTAGACATTTTGGTATTTTGCAGATTTTAACTTTAATTTTAAGTGAGAGGCATTTGTTTAACTGCACAGATCAGCTCATCTAAAATCAGTCAGTGGGTACAGCGATGACCTTGAATTTCTGGTCAGATTGTGTTAAAACAAAATTCTAATTTAGTCAGTCTAATTGAGTAACAGTGCTTCAGAGAGAGCAATGCCTCTAGTTAACCCAAGGATTGATGTCAGTTCTACTTTGAAGCAACATAAGAATGTATTTTTTGGCCTAAATCCTGCTGGTAAAAATGTTAAACTGTATTTTGACTTTGATTTCAGGCGCCATCATGAAGCTGTTTGCAGTGATCCTCACCTTAGCCCTCACATCGGGTCAGTCCCTCTACAGTACTGGAATGACACATTACTTATAATAAATATTTTTTCAGAGCTCACTTAATCAATCAAATTAAATGCATTAGTAATTTATTAATGGTGCAATAACTTTTCTGAGGATATGCCACCTGCCTGTCTCCATCGACAATATGGCTTAACTTGAATGTTCCACAGTATGGCATTTAAACATATCTCTCTGGCATTTATTCAATCACTGTGTTTTTATTGTTAAAAATGTGAGTGAACTTTGCTACCTACTATGTCTCCATGGAGATAAGTTCAGTGTTATACTGTGGAACATTCTGGGCAAAGCAATAGCATCAACAAGCAGGTGGCGGACCCTTTACAAAAAATGTTACACAGTGTCTTTAGGCTCATTGTAACATTACATCACACTCACGGACGGTCTTTTCCTTCAGGCTCCTGGGCCCGGAGCGTCCCACAGCTGGAATCATGGGAGGAGGCCGTGGACCAGTTTAAGGACTATTTCACCGAACTGAACTCAAAGGCTGATGAGATGGTCCAGGACTTCAGGAAGACCCAGATCAGCCGAGAACTGGAGTGAGTGCAAAATCACACCACACAGATCTACAGTATATAGGATAAACAAAGACATTCAAATTATATGGCACAAATAGTAAGAAGTTTTCCAAATACATTCCTTGTGTTAACATGACATCGCAAATACACAATCAGGATTCATTTGTGGTTTTCATTTGTGATTTAGATTGTTTGGGCTCTCCTCTTATGAGCTAAGGTAGACTCCAAAAGCTTAAATTTTACAAAACAGTGGTCTTCAAGTTTTCAAAAGTTTAAAAACATAGACTGTATTTATAACTGGACATAGGAGGTGTTCACTTCCGGCTCCATCGACTCCAATTGGCTTTACATTGAAAAATTGTCAGCCTTTTTTGGTGAGCCTTGTCATTTTGGTCTTAAAATGTGTGTATAAACCCACTCTACATGGTGTTTATTTCACTACTTTGTCTGGAAATAAATTCCTATTCCTATAATGGAACTCAGCTTCATATTCGTTCCTATAACTGCTAGCTTCATGAGCTTCATTTGACTGGAGCCGAGCGCTACTCTCTTAGTCCAGTTTTTCCATTAATTATTAGGAGAGAGAGGGGCTCAAAGGGGTGTATATGTTTTTGAGGTTGTCCCGAGCCTAAATATGCATAAATATGGACAAGCCACACAACCAGTCAAAGGTTTTAGAACACCACACTTACAACATAACAGCTGAACACACTTGTGGCTTGTTCTTTTTACAACAGAAATCAAATATTCTTCAGAAAATTCTTCCCGAGTCTGTTGCAGAAGTTCCCATAAATGTGTGGCACTTGTAGGTTGCTTGACTTTCACTCTTCTTTCCCCCAAACTAGCTCGATGGGGTTTAAGTCTGGAGACTGTGTTGGACACCAGAAGCTTCACCATCTTGTTCTTTTTACTTGAGGTAGTTTTGGCAGAGCTTGGACTTGTGTTTTGTTATCTTTTTTTTAAACCTCTGGCTGTTCAGTATTTACCTTTGTACCATTTCAAGCTCTTCATTAGACTTGTATGATTTGATTTGCAATAAATAACTGGAAAAATTTGGGTGTTCTAAAACTTTTGACCAGTAGTGTATATAAAGAGGGGGACTTACATTATAACCACCCATTTGTGAGTTAATAAGATCAAGGCAATGAAGGGCATTCCAGTTTGTAAATTACAGTCTTTAAGGCGCAAATATCTAAGATCACTAAGGTAATGTTAGGTAACAATAATAATATAGGTTGGTTTGGCCGTTTGTCACGGTTACATAAGAGCAGTCACCTGGAATAGGGTTATCAGCTGATTTCAACACAGTGAGGAATTTAGAGGGCTTATGATAAGGACACACAGACACAGCCTTTCCACATCCGCACTGATTAAACTGCAACAAAAATATATAGAAATACAATTAAAGGGTCAATATTACACTCTTTTCTGATCTATGTTAAAGTGTTGTTTACTCATCACAAACATACCTGGAGTTGTGTTTGTTTCATTTCATTTACTCTTTTAACACACAAGCCCTGCAGATTTACGCTGAGTTCTGCTCTTAAACAGTTCCACCTTGTGATGTCATGTGGCAATACAGGAAGTGCTCCGCTTTGGCTTTAAATGCCGTACACCTTCACTAGAATGATTTGGATTATTTCAGCACTAGAATTGCCAATTTTCACTGCACTAAAGGTAAAAATGGAGCTGTTAACTTGAAAACTACCACTGCATGATATAATAGGATTATTCAAACATATGTGAACAACACACAACTCCAGGTTTCTCATGTGGTAAAAATATTCTAACGTGGCTTAAAGTTTACGAGAGGACCTTTCATTTACACTGTTGAGTTAAAATGACTTGGGCATGAACAAAAAAAAGGGAAAATAAAGTTTCAATAGAATTCTGTATAATAGTAATAGAAATATCCATGGGTTTCAGAATGATGAAAAGTTAGGACCATTGACACAGGAATTAACAGGTGAAAACAAAATATTATATCTTTTGAAGAGTCAACCATCCTCAAAACGGCGCCGTTTACAGGAAGCTGAAACACAACACACACATAGTCAAAGTATTCAGCTATAGTCAATCGTGTATTAAACTGCATTATGTTGTTGTGCCCCCAATCAGCACCCTGATCCAGGACAGTATGTCAGAACTGGCCACCTACAAACAGGACATGGAGACCAAACTGGCCCCATTCGCTGAGGAAGCAGCCAAAAACCTGGGCAAGGACCTGGACCACATGATGTCTAGACTCCAGGACCACATGAAGGACGCCCGCGAGCAGGTGGAGAAATACACAGAGGAGCTCCAGACAATGATGGAGCAGAACGCAGAGGACGTAAGATCCAGACTGGCCTCCTACACGAGGAAGATGAAGAAACGACTCAACAAAGACACACAGGAGATCAAGAGGTGAGAAACTCTACACACTAGACAACTATTCTAATGGAAAATATGCAGTTCATAACACAAAGATGCAATGTGTAACTTTTCTGCTTTACCGACCTAAAATAAAACAATGGGACATACAGTATATTGGCAAGATGTCATGAAATCTACAGAGGGCAGCAGCTGAGTTAAATCCTGGGTTCGATTGTGGAGCAGCGCTGTGGCGCTCTGTGTGGAGTTTGGATGTTCTCACAGGGCCTGCAAAACATGACGCTCACCTCTGGGGCCAGGACTCCTCTGAAAAAGAGATTCCAAATTTCAGTGGGACGTTTTTGGTCAAACCTCAGGAATCTCAAAAAAGAGGAGACAGTGAGTGAGAGAGAGAGAGAGTGAGAGAGAAAGAGAGAGAGAGAAAGAGGGAGAGAAGGAGGAGAGAGAGAGGAGGAGGAGAGAGAATGAAAGAGGAAAAAGGGGCAGGAGGCAAAAGAAGCAGACAGAAGGACATGGGAAACGCAATACAGTAAGACGTGTGAATTTGCTTCTTCTACTTTACATTATCCATCCATTTTCTCACTTCTGGAGCCGGGCCACGGAGGCAGAAGTCTGAGCAGGGGTGCCCAGACTTTCAACCTCATGCACACTTCTTCCAGCTCTTCTAGAGGAGTCCTGATCCCCATTCCCAGGCCGGCCAAGAGACATAGTCCCTCCAGCATGTCCTGACTCTCGATGTGGAGAAGCAGTGGCTCTACTCTGAGCTCCTCATCCTATCGCTAACTGAGGAATTAGAGACAATAGAAGTGTTATAGTTAAAAGTAACAAGAGGAGCTCAGGCTGTGGGCTATGCAGTCTGGTGGTGTGGGCTGAGCTGCTGTGGCGCTCCGGATTAATTCATTTGGATTCTATTTTTGCCCAATGCCGAAACAAAAACTTTTTCTCTTAATAAATAAGCAGTTATTGTGCAAACACGTGGTCTCTGTGCAGCCTTCAAAAGTGCTGACCACAACATCACAACAGAGCTTCAGTCCTCGTGTGAATGTCACACCACAATAAGACCAGTCCCACACTGGAGCTACATCAGGCTTGTCTATGTTTTGTGTACAGGTTTTTAGGGATATTCTTTAACAATATAAAATGCAATTAGCTAATTTTTCACACCAAATCTCCAAAACGTTGCACAGTTTATCTTTAACAATAGCTGTATAACCTCCTTGACTCTTTCCTCTCTCTTTTTCAGACATGTTGAGAACTATCTCTCAGAGCTGCAGCTAAAAGCCTCTGACAACATGAACGAGATGAGAGAACGCATTGACCCGTACTTCGCGCAAGTCCGAGACAACGCCCAGAATAAAATCTCCACCATCAACGAGCTCTTCCAGACCCAGGTCCACACTGTGGGCGAGGCCATCCAGTCCAGAGTGGAGGAAATGAAAGAAAACTTGGGAAAAACCGGCACTGATCTGCGCTCGGTGCTGGAGGAGAAGATGGAGGAACTGCGCCAGTGGTTTGGCCTGTAATTAATCTGGACCTCCAGATACATCACATACATCAAAAACAGCTGCTCAAAGACAGGCTTTTGTAAATGTGCAATAAACATCTTTACCACTGAGTAACAAGTGTGCCTTTTGTATTTAGAAGCATATTAATTTGGTGTATCATTTAATTTGTGTGTGTGTATTTGAGATAAACTTGCCAACTTGGTTACTGCTGGTGATTTAATTGGAGATTTGAGATATATTTCTGAAGAAAACTTAGACAGTAATATTGAAATCAGACCGTAAAGCAAGATTATTGCCTAATAAATATTGTAAATGTGTAATGTGGTTAAAAATCATGAGCTGCAATAAATAAATGAATGAAACACAAGTAGTCAATTTGTTTCTGTAATGATAATGCTCAAATCTCCTTTTAGCACAGAAAAATAATAATGTTCCCACTAGTGCAAAGCAAATGCACCCAAGATAAATATTTACCTCCAAAACTATTGTCCCATCTGGCCTAGATATTAATAAAACCGAATAAATAAAACAGAAAATGCACTGATGAGCTTCACAGCCTTCTTTCTGATTAGTGATTATTAGTACTATTTTATACAGTAGATACAAGCAACAGCAATGCCACTTCTTGTACTAAAAACTATTTTCTTTAATAAGTCCACAAGTGACAAAAGCATGTAGGCAAAATATAAAAATAAATAAATAAATGTGTGTTTCTTATTTATTATTTCAAGTTTTGTCCTTCAAATTATATTAAATTCAACTTATAAATCAGATGTATTGTCAAGGCAGATAGTTACTTTCTAAAGTAAGTTCCAGGACCACTATTTTGCATTTTACTTGAATTATATTACTTTGAAGTATCTTTACTTACTTGAGAACAATGTTTGGCTATTCTTCTTACAGAATTGGTATTTAAAAATAATAGTACCAACTGGTATATACCTGATAGTTTCAGTGAGTAAAGTTCTGGTTACTTTATATTAATTAAAATTAAAATTTTCCAAAACCATGGACCCAACACGTGAGGCAACGGCGCACCGAAACCAAACTACATCCCCGTTATTCCTTCAGCCAATCAAATTCCTCCATACTCCGATTCTGACCAATGGGAAATGCCGTATTTCTCACGTAAGGTTTGTTTGCCATTGTTGTTGTCATTCTCCAAAACATGCCCATCATGCTTCCAGAAGAGAAAAAATGCTTTTATAAAATCATTTGTTGTGTTATATTTGATCTTTTTTGAGCCACGATGAGCGGAGCGGACTCTGCAGAGAAGTGATCACGCTGCAGTTGGGACATTATTCTAATTTTGTCGGGACTCACTGGTGGAATTTGCAGGTTTGTAAAAGTGTAGCAGCTAAAGCTAAGCTAAGTGGCTATCGCAAGTTAAAGTATTTCGATTAATAAAAGCAAAAGTGTGGCATGATTATTTATGGTTGTGCATTTCTAAGAGAATATGAGATGAGAGCAGGTGTCAGATGGTTAAATAATTTTTCTTATTGGTTAAATGTGAAGCAATACCTTGTCTGCTTAGCGTTGTTTCTATTTCTGCTGATTAATTGATGTGATTGCCTCTGTTGATTGACTGGATAAATATTTAATGAATGAGCTATATATTTTTTTTCTAATTAATATTAGGAATTAGGGTAAATAAACCTCATACAAAGTGATGGGAAGAATACTTTGAAGTTACAGAATACTGAATATAATTAAAATGTATCTTGTAAAATATTCTTATACATGGTTCAATCAGAGTGCTGTATTTATTCTTAATATTTACAGTACTTTTACATAGAGTTTTCTCATTGTAGTTTGAAACGTAAATCTTGTGATCATATTTACAGTCATTTTCAGTTATAATTATACTGTACTCATTCAGACTAAGGGATTATGTGTGATTATTTTGTTTTCTTTCTTTCCCAGGATGCTTCTCTGTCCTATGACCCAGACTCTCCTCTGGGGGAGATTCAGAGCGATGTTGTGTTTCGAGAGGGACAGACCCCTGGGGGCCATGTCACCTACACCCCACGCCTCATTGCAATGGATCTTAAAGGTAAGGCCAATCTGACTGAACATTTATGGCTTTATTATAGAACATCCCTAATTTACAAATATGGCATGGAGCATCTTTTCTCTTTGATAATAACATAATCTATGCTCTGCCTTTGTTTTAAATAAATACATTTGTCTTATGTTTGTAATTGGGTGTGTATTGCACAATGTCTATAAAGTTAAACACATTTTTTTTCTCACAAAAGGCAGTCTACGATCTCTGCGGCAGGAGGGAAGTTTGTACGACCCTGGTAAAGATACATCAGCAGTCACATGGTGAGTCAGGGAATTTCATTTTATTTTATTTGAGCAAATTGTTACACATTGTTAAAATAAAGAAAACATGTTTTAAAATAAAATAAATAGTACAGAAAAACACAGCAACACTCAAAAGGAGGAGGCATCTTATTTGAGTCTACCCCCTTGATTGTTAAATCCAATAGCATACAAAAGGAAGAGTGTCACATTCAATACCCAAGTTACAAAAAAACACATAAATTCAGAGGCTAAAACTGTATTCCATTTGTATATTCTTTGGTAATGTATTTGTTGTTTCATAAGATTTATACGTTTATTTATCAACTTTATTTTTCCCTCAACTGCCCCCAATACTAAACTGTCCCATTTCTTTTTTTCAGGGAGGGAGATCTCACGATGCACAAAGAAAGTCCTCCACAGAAGAACTCTTTTCTTGAGGATCTGGACAAGTTGGATGTAAGTATTATCCAGAAAAAAAATGAAGACTATAACTGAACATTTAAGTTGTCTTTAAGCATTTCTTTTATTTGCAGAAAGGGGAGATTTTAGCTGAAGCTGGCTTTTCCAGCTCCCATCCTCAGTTCTCTGGTATGAAAAGTGTTAACATACTTGACAGAAAATGTATAAATTCATGTTTATACACAGTAGCTCACACATCACAATAAAGATAATAAAAAAGAGCAAAAAAAACACTCAGTCAAACTTCCTCCCTACCCCTGTTACTGCAGCGCCAGCACCTGTGAGTGTGAACACAGTGAACAGTCAGCTCTCCAGACTTCAGAAAAGCTACAGACTCGAGGGCAGTGTCAAAGTGTGGTCCGATTTCCTCCGGATCCACCTGCATCCACGAACCATCTCTGTGATTCACCAGTACAACCACGATGGGTAAGTAAAACTGCATCAGAGTCATTAACTAGCTAACCTGCTGTTCATGGGGGCGCTTCTAGTTCCATTGACTCTGTTTCCAATTGACTTGTATTGAAAAACTGTCGCCTCTCTCTCTGTAATTGCTGCTGTGAGCCTCGTTATTTTGGTCTTAAAATTTTTGTATTAACCCGCTCTATACAATCCTGGTGTTTTTATTTCACAATTTTGTCCATAAATAAATTCCTATCCCTAATTCGTTCCTGTAAGTGTTAGCTGTCAGTTGACATCACATAACATCACAATAAAAACAAAAATGGTGGCTGAAAAGGTTGTTTTTATTTCACAGAGAAGCCCACCGTTTGGAGGCGTTCGGCCAGGGGGAGGCGCTGCTGCAGGGCTCAGTGCTCGAGGACCTGGAGGACAGACTGCATTTCTTTGTTGAAGAGTGTGATTATTTACAGGTGACTATAACTTTGTATATTATCAGTTGAAAGAGTTATCAGTCACCGTTATTGGTGGTTTTAAATACTGTAATGTGATGCAAGGGACAGTTTTCAGTGTTTTATATATTCCCTTAGTTATTATTAGTCCCTATTACATTGCATGTTCTTATGAAATACCTTGAAGAAAAATCCAAAATGTTGATCCTGATCATTTTTTATCAAAATCCAAAATGTTGAACCTGATCATTTCTACTGGTGATAAGTTGTAGCTTGTGGAAGGAATTAGAAGGAATGGCATTTTAGTTTTAGTACACAGAGCTGTTCTTTTAGATTCGGTTCTTCTTATTTTATAGTAAATCGAAAGACTTGTGCAGATCCACCTAACATTTATACATTTATCATATCATATTATTTGTTCTTTTTTTTGTTTGACCTTTGATTATCAAAATCTGTAAAATCTGTATGTTTTATATTGTTTATAAACATAACTTACCCAGGATATCCTATAGAAAACATTATATAACAACTAATTCTTCCTTTATCCTGCAGGGTTTCCAGGTGTTTTGTGATCTGGCTGATGGGTTTTCAGGCCTGGGGTCAAAGGTCATGGAGATGCTCCAGGACTCGTACAGTGGGCGGGGCATCCTGACATGGGGACTGGCTCCTGTCAATCACCCGAACTCTGTAAGTCATTTGCAAATACTATCAGTCTGTTGGGAGCAGAGATGTAGAAAAATAAATTGTCCAGCTACATATGAACAAAATAAAAAAAGTTAAAAAAAAGCCAACAAGTTGGTCAACATCCTAAATTACTGACAAATCTTTGGAATTGATTCATAATTAAGTTGCTATAAATGAATACTGAAAAAAAAATTGCATTAAATTTACTACAGATGTACAATTTTTTCATAAAGTTCAAATAAATGCAGATATGTTAATCTAACTCATTACTACCCACCTCTGCTAAGTTAATTGATTGCAAATTAATACCTTTCTTAAAAATAATGTAATAATGAACAATGTCTGTAATAATTAATCCAATATCCTTGATTACATAGACTCCAATGAAGGATCTGTACCACCTGTTGAACTGCACTTTAGGCACAGTGCACCTGTCCAGTCACAGCTCTTTGTTTTGCCCCATGACGCTGAGAGGAGGTCTGGGGTTAAGGCCTACCTCACCTGTCGCCTTTCCCTACCTGAACTATGATGTGAGTTGACCATTTGCACATTCTGTTTTCACCATAATTATTCAGTGTTTCAGTGTGTACATTTATGTCTTGTACTCTGTTTTCTTAGACTTAGACAAACTTTATTGATCCACAAGGAAAATTATGTGGACACAGTAGCTCATACATCACAAAATATTATAATAACAACAGAGAAAAAATATAAATGGTAATTATACATTCAAAATAAGTATCAAAAATATCTGACTGGTGTCAAAAGAGGCATAATTATATAAATGTGTATGTACAAGTCAAAATAAAATACAGAAGAAATAAGTAATAAAAAATCTCAGCTCTATACAAGAGGTCGTAAGGAAAACAGTACAAAGATGATCTGATGATTGACAGTACACAGGGTTATCTGTTACATAAGGGTGAGTTCTTGCACAATTGTATGGAGTATAGGGTCACTGTCATCCTCTTTCTCTCACCTTCTCTCATATTCTTTGTTTGTATTACTATATTTTTATATTTTATTTTTCTTGTACATACACATTTTTATAATTATGCCAATTTGACACAAGTCTCTTGATATTTTTGCTACTTATTTTGGATTTATTATTAACATTTATATTTTTGCTCTTTGTTATTTTATTATATTGTGAAGTGTGAGCAACTGTGTCCAAATAATTTCCCTCGTGGATCAATAAAGTTTGTCTATATTTTGTCATGTTAAACACTTGAAGATTGAGTGAAAAACAATAAATTACTTACCAAAAAAGCAATAGTGATTCAGTAGCATTTTAGATATAGACTTTATTAATGCCGAAGGAAATACAAATTTTAAATATACCTGTTTTCTGTCCTTTGTGCAGCCCTCTTTGTGGTACCACTCCAGTGCAGTTCTGGCTTTAGCCCTGGACGCCCTGACTGTGCCTTACAGACTTAGAGACAACAGCGTCCCCATGTGGCAGCTGTCGGACACGCTGGCTGTTTCAGGGAGAAAGGTAGTAATTATTTCTCCTTCACAATAGAACTATAGAAGATGGTTGTATGTCTGGTCAGTGCTTCATCTGTAAGTTTCTGGAGCAGTTTTTATTGCTGACTAAAATAATTATGCTTAATAACATTGACTTAACACACTTATTTTGGTCTTTTTTTGTTCTGTAAATACATCAAAATTGAACAAATAAAATTATAAAAATAATTTCTGGTGGTAGATAAAATAAAATCAGTGGTAGAAGTTGTTGAAAAACTTACATATACACATTAGACACACATTTACAAGTACAAAAATCATCAGCAGATATTCATCTGTTGGCCTAGAATAGAATGATTATGGCAATTTGGTCAACTTTCCTTAGTTCAGAGACGTCACACCTTTTCACACTTTTTAATCTAATGGCACGTACCATTCCTGTGATAACTTGGCAAACAAAGAAAAGTGACTCAACTTATAGACTTGTGTAGGGCTTGAAAAGTCAAATAGGCAAGACAAGTTTATTTGAATTACTTTGTGTAAAAATTGTGCTATTCAATATGCTTTACAGAATAAGAAATACATTAAAATCACAAAACAAACAAATCAAAACATAAATAATCATCATAAAATTAATAATCTCAAATTCTCTCACTTTGCCAGATCTTGTGGGGTTTCGAGGGAGTTCGTGTGTTTTCCTCGTGTCTGGGTGGAGGTCTTTGAATTTGAAGTAAACCGTGCCTTTTTGTGCTGATCTTCAGGTTGTCTCTGCATACGGCGCTGTCCCGTTTCCCATGATGCATGGCGGCTCTTTGCCCGACGCCCTCAGTCCCTTCTCCAGATCTTTGCCGTGGAAACCTCTGTCGTCGTGTTTGGAGCTCGGAGACGGGCGCTGCTACAGGCAGTGGACCACGCTAAAGGGCTATGAGGGACAGAGACTCATCAGGTCATTACCGCATAACTTCATTAGCGTCATTTAATTTTATTCTTACTTTTATCACATTTAGAACTGTGTTGTGTTTTTATGAGCACTGAACAACATTAAAAAGAAATATTCAGTAGTGGAAAATTGTAAATTAGATCAAGCAAATATATATGCAAAGTAAATGTTAATATAAGCATCTGTGGACACTCCTTAAAAACACTAATCCAAATCTGGAGCTGATTACTTAAAGGTGTACTATGTAACTTTTTGGTTTGGGGTTCCGTCACCTGCTTGTTTCTATTGATACGTCATTGCTCTACCTGGAATATTCCACAGTATGACATTAAACAGCTCTACCTTGCATTTATTCAATTACAAGTGGTTTAATAGCTCAAAAATACCTAGAAATACAGGCATTCTGACTGTGAGCAGGTCGCCTCTCCAAAGATCTGACCTGTAACTTGATCTAGTTTGGTCTCCATGAAGATAGAAATGTTTAATGCCACACTGTGAAACATTCCAGACAAAGCAATAACATCATCCATGGAGAAAAGCATTTGACGGACCCTCCACCTTAAAAGTTACCCATTGAACCTTTAATGTAAAATTGTTTGGTGTTTATAGTGCGTCTGCTAAGTTAACTGTTGTACAAACTTAGCGAGTAGGCATCATTTCTAACATTCAGCTGTTTCTCTCACAGCTCTCTGACTCCTGGGACCCCTCCCCGTCCCCTCTGCACTCACTTCACAGCGGAGAGGACGTCCTGGCATCGTACCTCAGCTCCTTCTACCCCAATGCTCCTCTGTAAGTCCCCAGACACAAACATACGCTTTATATATAAATGGACAAAGCTAACCTACAAGAGACCACGTTCCAAATAGGAAGTGAGCATATGGGCGCTTCCAGATCCATGGAGTCTGGTTTAAATTGACTGACATTGGGATTTTGTCGCCCCTCTCTCTGTAACTGCTGCTGTGAGCCTCGTCATTAAAATGTTCGTATTAACCCGCTCTACATGATCCTGAATTTTAAATTTCGCTATTTTGTTCCTAAATCAAGATATCAACATAAATAATGGACCAATCAGATGCCTTCATTCCCCGAGGTCCCTCACACTAGCCTTAGCAGCAGGTTTGATTGACAGCTACTGCATTTCGTTGCTAAGTACACCCCCTTCCTGTTTTTAGGTGAGAAGGGCAGGCACATTTAACAACCTCGCTCCTGTAAATGCTGGCAATGGGAGTTTCATTTGAGTGGAGCTGTGGGTGATGTCACACTCGCTTAGTCCACTTTTTTGTACAGTCTATGGTATTAGCCCACCCTACATGATCCTGGTGTTTTCATTTCTCTATTTTGCCAGTAAATAAACTACAAATTCGCCCCTAGGTGAGCTTAATTTGCCTGGAGTCGAATGCTATGGATGACGTCACACTCCCTTAGTCCACTTCTTTATTCAATCTATGCACTTAAACCAAAAAATCTAAACATAACTAAAATCTAAACTTTAAACTGTTTCCTGTGTATTCTGTTTCCAGCGCTCTGCAGTTGGTTTCCACGCCCAGTAAACTCACCGCTCCATTTCCTCAGATGTTTAACCCAATGCTCGATATGCATGGATTTGTACACAGTGAAAGTCCCCCAGCAGCAGGATGTAAGTTTTTTTTTTTTTTTTTTTTTTTTTCTGTCACCATGGATATGCTATTGCCTTTCCTTTAATGTTCCACAATATGGTATTAAATTTACAATTTCAGACACATTTATTCAATTATGGATGCTTTTATTGCTCAAAAATACCTTTAAAAACATGGATTATGACTGTGAGTGGGGTCGCCTCTTCACAGATCTCACTTGTAAATTGGCTTGGTACGTTTGATGCCATACTCTGGAACACTGCAGACAAAGCAAGAACATACATTTTTGTCATTATCGACCACACCTAACTCCAACACAATGCTGTACTGTTTTTAGCAAGAAAATAAGTACTATCTTATTTTAAAATTGTCTCCTCAGCGTCTGTCCTGCCTGTGTCCTCTGCTCCGGTCCTCACCTCTCTCCAGTCCGGTCCAGGTCTTGCGTTTTGGCTTTCGGATCTGCACCGTATGGTCAGCTCCTTCGATATTCGACGACGTGTGGCCCCAAGCTTCCTGTCCCAGGGTCTGGAGGAGGGTGACTACCACGAGACTCTGGAACAGCTGAAGCTCCTGTCCAGAGTGTACAGAGACGACAGCGGAGGGACCACCCGCTCTTCCTCTGAGGATGAGGATGATGATTGACAGCTTATATTTTGACGCACACTGCACTGCAACCAAATTAGGACTCAGAAACTGTATCAAATGCTTAAAGGTGCATTGTTTAACTTATCTGGTGGATGTCTGTCACTTTGTCTCCACGGAAATGTTATTGCTTTGCCTAAAATGTTCCATGGTATGACATTAAACACATCTATCTAGCACTTCATTCATTACGGGTGTTTCTGTGTTTCTGTCTCAAAAATACAATAATAATTCTTTCTGTGAATAGGGTTGCTTCCTTCCTTCCTTCCTTCCTTCAGATAGGTTTTTATCTCTACTGTGGAACATTCTAGACAAAAACAATAATATCTTCATGTAGGACAAGAAGGTGCCGGACCCTCCACCAAAAAGTTGCACAAGAGGACCAGGGACACATGAAATCAAGTTACTGTAAGAGATGTGATAGCATGTAAAACCAAGCACTTAAAAATTCAAATGTAGTAATTTGTGTGAAGTAAAATGGTTAAACTTAACAGTGGTTTCTCATAATATTAATTGTAACTGGACTAAGCTTAAGCCTCATTAAAGCCAGCAGCAAATAAACAACTGTGAAGAATATTACACTTTTTGAGCAATCTTGTATCCTGCCCAAAGGGTTCAGTAAATTTGGCATGAAAAAAAGCATTTCTGAAACATTTTTGTATTCAGTAAAATGAAATGGCAGAAGTGATCTAATGGTTGTATGTAAATGAATTATACCACTGTCTAATATGGGAACGCATACGCCACATTAGCTTTGTTAATGTTTATTCTATATACTGTACAGACTCAAGACTGTTTACTCTCATTAAATGAGTTTTCTACAAATGTCTAGTTGTATTTGTTACCTCTTGTAAAATATGTGCCAAAACGATCATTATCAAGCTCCAGTTTGAATTTGACAAATTCAAGTGAACAAAAAATGGCTAGAGATTTGATTTACTTAAAATGTTCTATGTTAAACTAAAATGAATCTTGTATTACTACTTGACATCACATGTGACATGCATAAATGAGTATGGCGGTAAATAACACACAGAGCTGCATGTTTTTCTGTGTAAATAGTATCTTTTTTTAAACTTCGCTTGAAAATATTGCCTTTTATAAGAGTGTATTTACAGTTCTTATTTGCAGCCCGTGCCCTGGAAGTCCAAAGTGCCAGTTTTTTCAGAGAGTCGAAATGGGCTGCCCTATCTAAATTATCTCCCGGCAGCCTAAATCGCATAATTGAATTTCTTCAATGAAATGAGCAGTTCAAACCAAGCAGATTTTCTTTTTAATTTATAGAATGATTTCCCAATTGTGTAGGCATTTTTTTCTTAGAATTAGTTTTCACTGTAAATCCTGTCCTCAAATACCTGTCCCTAAACCTGAACCTGATAGAAATAACAAATCACCAAACATTTGCCATAAACTCTGTTCTTTCTGATTGGACGATCACGTATAAACCCATATGTGATGTGACAGAGGAAGAGTTGACCAGACTGATATCTATAAAAAATACTGAGATGTCAATGTACAAGGCAAGTCCTATGACCTTAAACCTGTCACGGAGCACAAAATATAAAGCCTTTGAGCTCATAATCTCCCCACACATCTCACCTATCATTTCTTTTCACACTTCACACACTTTTGACAAGACCCGGTTACCTGTCCTCAAATACCTGTCCTCAAATACTTGTCCCTAAACCTGAACCTAACCTGAACCTGTTCAAAATAACATATCACCAAACATTTGCTAGCACAGCCATCAATGCAGAGCGGCTTTTGAGTGAGCTAGGGAAAGAAAGTGAATTATTTTCACACACAAATTAGGACAAATAAGTAACAGGGATGTTGCAGTAGTTCACTTAGTGTTGGTGAGTGTTTGTCCACTGATGTTATCGTTGTGTCCTTGGGCAAGACACTTAATCTGCCTCTCCTCTAATCTCTGTGAATACACACAAACCAGGAAGACTGCATTAAAAAAAAAAATAAATAAATAAAAATAATGCATATAATCCCAGGAAATACAACTGAGGTGTTGTGAATCAAATCTCAAACATCCAAAGTCACAGCTGGAGAAGCTGACATTTTTACTCAGCTCTTGCTTCTTCGTGCATGCACTGACATCTGACTGAAAGTGTATTTTTGTTTTTCAGAGCCATGTTTGAACCCTGGAACCGTCACGATGAAAGAGACTTCCCAGTTGGTGGAATCTCTGCTCATATCTCTACCAAATCCATTGCCCTGAGCTTGGAGACAGTCCGGGACCTTCTCGTAGCTGCTGACATGTTGCTACTGGACCAGCTGGTCCGACTCTGCTTCCAGTTCATGGAGAAGAACATAAGCCCGGAAAACTGCATCGGCATCTGGAAGCTCTAAGATGTGGTGCTGTCGACAAAAACTAGGGAGTTGGCCCGAAGGTTCATCTTGAGGAATTTTGAGGAGGTGATGGACTGTGAGGAGTACCAGGACCTCACTGGAGAAGACATGAGTGGATTTATCGAAAGCGATGAGCTCCATGTAAAAGATGAGACTGTTGTTTTTAAAGCTATTGTGCACTGGACCAAACACAACCTGCAGGAACGCAGAGAACATTTTCCACAACTGTTGACAAAGGTGAGTTAGTCGTCAATTTTTCTTACAGAGAGGGTATTTTACTTCTGTGGAGTCTTCACTGCTAACATAACAATAACATATTTAGATCACGGCGTTATTTTTTATTGTTTTGAAAATGCTATAATTGCCCAAAACAACATGGAGATCCAAATATGTTATGTGTTAATAATTAATACCCTATTGAAGTCAAATAGCCCCTTTCATTTCAAATGAAAGTGCATACTGTACTGTACTGTGTCTTAAATGTTGCTCTTTTGTATCTTTCAGGTCCGTTTCACTGAAATCTCGTACAACTTCATGAATACCAACATTCTCAATAACCCCCTGGTGAAGAACATCTCTTGCATGTACATACTGAGAAATGCCATAAACACCATCTCTGAAGTCACCATCAACCCAAGTGCCGTGCAACTCCTGGATCGCCCCCGACTCCCTGAAGCTGTTTCTACTGGCAATCGGAGGCTGGAGTGGCAACAATCCCATCAATAGCATCGAAGCGTAGGACTACAAGGCCAATCGCTGGGTTCACATCGTAAATCATGAGAGTCCCAGAGCGTATCACGGTTCTGTGTTCCTCAGTGGGTCAGTGTATTGTATTGGGGGATTTGACGGACAGGAGCATCTTAACAGCATGCGGCGTCTGGACCTGGCAACCAACACCTGGTACGAGATGCCCTCCATGTGCCACAAACGCTGCTGTGTGAGCGTGGCAGTGCTGAACGGCTGCATTTATGCCATGGGCGGGCTCGACGGGAACAGGAGACTCAACACCGCTGAAGTGTTTGACCCCCAGACCCACTGCTGGTCCCTGATCACCCCCATGAATGAGCAGAGGAGTGACGCCAAATGTGCTGCTCTGAACGGAAAGGTAAGTGCACAGAGAAATATGAGAACAATTGTTACCTGTTCTTTGAATATCTTTAATTAAGCACACTTCATTCATAATGAACAAAAAACAAACTTTTGAGCAACATGTGTCTTGCCCCAGTACAGATAGATTATATAAGCAGCTCTTGGGTGCAAAATAAGTCCACTGTGTACTGCCTGAATCTAATTGTAAAGCGTTTTATTGACCAATAATCAGGATGTCCAAATTAGCATGCTAGTTGATGTTAGCTTTACTGACACAGCAAAACTCTTGTTTTGGCCTCTGAAAGTTGTGAGTGTGAGTCTGATAGTGCTTATAAACTCACCATTGTGAATAATGAGGATGCTCTAAACGCATTAGGTAAGTGAGGAATAACTTTAGACCACAGCACGGTTTAAAATGAACTAGTTCTGTTTTTAAGACGGTATAAACCAGGTACAGTGCCTTTAATGAATACCCTAAACCCTCAAGTAGTTACAAAGCCCAAGTCATTCTAAAAAAAATAATTTGTTCATTAGATGTAGTTATTACACCTAACAACAGTGGTACAGAAAAATGCATTTAATAAAAAAACATTTAATTGACAGTAAAAGGCCGTTTATAACCAAACCTTTGTGTGTTGTGCAGATCTACATATGTGGAGGTTTCGACGGCTCTCAGTGTCTACAGACAGCCGAGTGCTACTGCCCGGAAACAAACCAGTGGAGCTTTATCGCTCCCATGACAACCAGACGCAGTGGGGTCAGTGTCACTGCCTACGGCAACCACATCTACGCGGTAAGTGCAGTACTATAATCACAACTGAGCCACCAGAACCTTCACCTGCAGATAGAGACACATCCAAGTGTGTCTAATTCTCAGTTTATGGACAGACCAGGCCTCATATGAAAGCTTAAAACTTTCAGAATTCCCTCCCTGAGCTGCAGAGGCTGCACTAGCGCTGTTCCATAATTGGTACAGATGATAGAGTTTAGTTAGTGACCATTCAGATCAGAAAGAGGCATCTTAGGTTTAAACCAACTGGATTTCAGCTTTGAACCTGACAACACAAATGAGAGACTCATGTGAGGCTCATTCTGCTTACTGATTGGATAATTGCTTTGAAACAAAACACCAAATTAACAACCTGGCTTTAAGAATAAATCCTCATTGCAGTTGTTATCAGTAAAACCTATATTTGATCTGAACATGTTTACCTCATATCTGGGGACACCGTTTATATATTTACGAGGTTAAATATATATTTTACATCAAAATATTACATATGATTCCTTTAAATCTTGTACCTTTTTTTTAAATTTCAGTAGACTCATTCTAGGATTCTTTGGAATGTTATGCTTGTTATACATGACATTATTATTAGAGAATTCTATTGTACTAACATCTCCGCTCTGTCCTGTAGGTTGGAGGTTTTGATGGGAATGTATGTCTCAGCAGTGTGGAAGTCTACAGTCCACGCACCAACACCTGGAGGGAGCTGGCGCCCATGAATACTGCACGCAGTGACTTTGGCATCGCGGTCTTAAATAATTGGATCTTTGCTGTGGGCGGATTCACCGGCTTCACCACCTCCTTCTGTGTGGAGGCGTATGACCCCCTGGTGGACAGCTGGAGCGAGATTTCTAACATGGACATCTTCAGGAGCGCGGTAAACTGCTGCGTCATCTCCGACCTTCCCAGCATGGCTTACTACACCTTCTCCAGAGACTCTATTCCTCTGCTCGACGTAAAGACGGATGAGGAGGACGAGGAGGCCACATAAACAGAGATCCTAAACCCCCAGAGCTCAACACCAGGCTTGAGGGAGTCTAAATAAAAAAATGCAAGCATCCAAAATGCTGAGTTATTACTTAATGAGTAAGAGATGGCGAAGTATATGAATCAGTGTTTTATCAGTGTTTTTGTGAATACTGTCACACATCAGGGGGAACAGAGTTGGCTTTTAATTGGATTAATGCATGTGATTTTATATTTACATTAACAGACCTCAGCCAATCCAAATGCACTGGTGTCATATTTGTAAGAATAAAGGTCTTCTATTTTTTCAATCAGTGTGCCTCAGTGTGACACTTTATTGAAGCCCTGTGTGACATACACCGTGCTCTGACAGTAAGAGGCTGAGCTTATATTTGAATATTTGAATAGGTGTTTGGTTTTAGGGTTTATCTTTTGTATTTGGGTCTTATATAGTTTATTTAGTTATGGCTATTTTCATTGGAGGATCTGAACATAATTTTACACTTTAATGTTTTACTCAGTGGTATTAAGGCTCCATGCTCTATCATTCATTGTTCTTCTGCTGGAGAAGACCTGCTCCTCAATCCTCCTCTGCACTTGACCACACCTGCATTTTTTGCACTTGGTCACTTTGTTTATTTTGTGAAAATTTTAACATTTAAAAAAAGAAGTGGACCACACCATTCCTGCCTCAGTCTTCATTTTTAAGTTACTCTCTGCACTCCAGCTGCTGAGCCTGACCTATCTACAGTAACACTTCATCTTTCAGTCATCCAGGTTCCATTGCAAAAGAAAATGAATGAGTTTCCCTTAGACACATTAAATAAAAGGACATAGCTAACCTGGTACCCACCTTGTTCCAAATATGAAATTAGCATGGGGGTGATTCCTGGCTCCATCGACTCTGGCTCCAATACACTTTGTATTGAAAAAACATCGCCCTCTCTCTGTAACTGCTGCTGTTAGAAAAATGGACAGGCATCAACTGAGTGGCCGTGCAAAGAGAAAACTAAAAAGAGAAAGACTCCAGACATCTAGTCATGATTAAAATGTTCCAATTCCAGATGAACTGTGGTCACTAGCAGCGCTGACGCTGAAGGTAATGAAGCCAGTAATGCTAACAGGGAGATGCTGCAGCAGCCGTTAGGGGGCACCACATTGGCTTAATACGGCTCTGGTGACTCATTGAGCACTGACACACTAGTTTAAATCAGCTGTTTTTAAATGTCAAGACAACATTCAAACACAACTAAACTTGATTTTTCAATGGTAACTACACATCCACATGATTTATTATTGAAAGGAAATCAAGCTCCAACACAGATTGCACTAAAATCTGCAGTGGAGCAGTGGAGTCCTGCATGGCTTGTGCTGGTGAAGACAGCTGTTTGCTTTGTGGCTTTTGCTTTTACCATTTTCAACTCCACTCTTCAGCAGCAGAGGGCACAGAAAGCGGGGGACGAAGGGACACCAAAGCCCAGTTGTTATACATCTGAAAAAGTATTAAAGTACTTTTTAAAAATACCTGTTTATTAAAGCAGCTGTTTTACTTAAAAGGCAAAAAAAATATTTCTTGCACATTATGAGATCTAATAAAGCTCCGAACGTACAAATTTTGATGAATATTTGAGTTGTATTTTGTTCAGGAGAAATCTCTGAATCATTTTTTTCCCATTTTTATTTGTATATTTTGTTTACTCAACTGAGCAACTTTGACTAAGGAAACTGAGACACAGTGGAAATGTTGCAGCAACTGCAACGGCAATATCTCTCTGCTAACAACTGGCAGTGTAGAATAAATGAATCAATGCAATCAATATAACAATATAAAAAATACCAAGTTTAATCTTTACCTTGCCGAGGAATGCTTTTACCAAACTGACACATGGTTGCTTTAAAAAAATTCCTCCCCTATCCTAGTTTGAGGTTTGGATCACTTTTGATAAAATAATTACTTTATCTCATTTACAACATTGCTTGGCTTTTTGATTTTAGCCAGACAATTTAATATTTTGGCATTAACGTCTTCTGATATTGTGTTTTTCTCTTTCTACTTGACATACCACTGTGAAACATGTAATCACATCTGTAAATTAGAAATAAAAACAGTGTAATATCTGTGCTCACTTGTGACTGGACGCTCGCGGTCACAGGAAGAATGCATTTGTTGTCAATTTCTGAAAGGGGCGGCGCACTATTTTTGACTACTAAGATTAAAAAAAGAAGAAAAAAAAAAACGTTTCCATTAGTGCAACCATGAACGTTGCTTTATTTTAACAAAGATTGGCATTTTAACCATTCATTTAACTTGCCCCTGTTTGTATTATATATGACTGAGAATCATATTTTAAATCAAGCAATATCAAGACTAAAACTGGATTTTCAAATTTAAATTAAAAATATTGAATAACTGTTGCACTGTCTTCCTATGACCTCTTGTATAAAGTTGAGATTTCATATTTTATTACTCATTTTTCTATTTTCTTTTGACTTGCACATACACATTTATATAATTATGTCTTATTTCACACCAGTCTCTTGACACCTTTTGTGCTCTTTATTAAGAATTTATCATCATTCATAGTTTTTGTTATTATGTGATGTGTGAGCTACTGTGTCCAAATAATTTTCGTATAATTGTCTCAATCTAATATCTATGGAAGTAGTAGAGTGGTTAGTCCACTCAAACACACTTAAGACTGGTCAAAACAAAATTAGGTTAGAAATCATAATCTTGCACTAGGGAATTTCATAACCGTTACCGGTCAACCATTTTGTACTGGTTCAAAAATTATTTGAAAAATAAAAATACAAGACCTTTATTTTGTTGAAATAATCTTTAGAGGATCAGAAAAAATATGCTTCTTACGTGTGAATACTTTTTTCAACTTATCTATGCGAATTGCTTCTTGATTTGTGCAAAACTATAGTTTATATGTACAGGTTTTATCCCACAAAATTATGTAAAAATTAGACAATGATAAAAACCTGTCATATGCACTTAAATAATGTAAATAAACAGTCACAAATCCTCAACAGGCATTTTAATATGAAACTAAATGTTACAAGGACTTTCACAGAAATGGGAAAATTTGAACCTGTTCCCATCGATTTGATCAATGAAACACTTCAATGTGGCATAAAAAAGGCTAAAACACAATATTTTAACTTAAAAAACAGATCACTGTCTATACAAACACTATGAAGGAGAACTGACAATGTAAAAATACAGTCAGTGTAGTTGTGTGATGACAGGTACATAAAAGACATTGAATTTTCTATGACAATTTATCAAAAAACAAGAGGTGGGGGTTGGGTTGGGTGGTGTACAGAGATGTGGGGGGCAAACGGGTCCAAAATCTGGTCTAAGAACGAGAACGAGACCTGGAAACGGACCTGGACTTGGATCGGGACACTGAGCGGGAGGGAGACCGAGAGACCGAGCGCTTGTTGCCATTAGCAGGAGAGGGAGAGCGAGACTTGGAGCGAGATTTCGAATGAGACTTGGAACGAGATTTTGAGCGCGATTTTGAACGAGATTTCGAGCGAGATTTGGACCTTGCTCTAGACTCGATTGGAGAGTGTGATCTTGAGCGGGACATCCGGTCTCCATCGCCCCCATCTCCGTCCCGACCCTTGGATCCGGACTTTCTGGAGCGGTCTTTGGGCCCAGACTTGGACTTAGACCTGGATCTGGACCGGGATCTGGACCTAGAGGCATCCTTCTTGCTCTTCTTGGTCTCCTTTTTGCTCTTCTTTGGTTTGGGGCTTCGGCTTCGGCTTCGGCTCTGCTCCTTGTTCTTCTGACCGCGCTCCTCTTCCTCTTTCTTACCTTTAGCCTTAGCCTTTTTGTTGCTACGGGAACGGCTTCGTGAGCGAGAAGCCGCCCTGTGGAGAAAACAAAGGAAGAGTGAGGTTTGAGTCAGAAAAAATGTATGGCCATTAGAAGCCTTCTCTAATCCCATAGTATGTTATAGGAGACCAATATATTGCATCATGCATGCATAATTTAGACATGGCAAATGTTCTCGTGTAGGGATTTGTCTTGTTGTGATAGTGATAAATCTTTATTATCTCCATAGCCACAAATCCAAGAGGAGGAGACAAATGCGGATACAATTAGTAAGTAATGCCAGAGTGCTTGAAAGAGCGGCAGCAGGATACAGTAGCTCCTGAGGTTTTTCCTGAAAACCACTACCTTTTTAAGTTATTCTTATTTGCACTTTAAGATATTTTATTTTTATTTACCTCATCCATCCAATAAAACACTCACCATGTTTTTTGGGAGTTTTTGAATTTTTTTCTTGATTTTTGCATGCCTCTTTGTTCTCCAAATAATTTCCCTTGTGGATCAATAAAGTTTGTCTAAGTCTAAATTTATCCAGACTGCATAAAGAAGTGAATAAAGGGAGTGTGATGTCACCCATAGTCACCAAATGAAGCTCATGTGCTGAGCAGTTACAGGAGTAAATATGGAGCAGGATAAGATATTAGGAATAGGAATCTAATTACAGACAAAATAGCTAAATAAAAATTCCAGGCTCATGCAGAGCAGGTTACTATGATTTACAGAGAGAGGGGTAAGTTTTTTTAATGTAAAGTCAATAGGACTTGATGGAGCCAGAAGCACCCCCTGTGTTCACTGATGTTCTGGTCTACGGCCAGAACTGAAGAGTAACCAGAACAAGCTTGCGTAACACCAGTGCACAGTTACTAACATACCATATTATCAATATTAGTATTAAAATATTGACTGACCTGGATCGTGAGCGACTGCGGCTGCTGCTCGCGCTGCGGCTTCTGCTTTTGCGAGATCTGCGGCTCCTGGAACGAGACCTGAACAAAAGTTAAACTTCACTCAAACTAATACAAACAAAAGACAAGATCCCAGGCAGGTTTTTTTTCAGATTCATTAAAAAGAACAATACCAGTAATACAGGATAATCAGAGTAAACCAGTATTTAAATAGACTGTATCAGTAAAACATGAGATGCAATGAAGCAATAATTAACCATAGACGTTAATTATTTCCCTCTCTTCACCTTGCCAAGTCAATCTTCAATAAATCTAATCTAATTTATACACCATCATAAGACTTTTGCACCATGTCATCATAATCCAAGTATCAGAATCAAGATTTTAGAAAAATAAATATATAGTTTAAAATATTGTATGTCAAGTGCAGTCTTTAAAGGTGCATTGTGTAACTTTTCTGATGGAGGGTCTGTCAAATGCTTTATTCCATGGAGATGTCATTGCTTTGTTTGGAATGTTTCAAAGTATGTCATTAAATCTTTATCTTAACGGAGACCAAACTTGACCAAGTTACAGGTCAGATCTGTGGAGAGGCAACCCCACTCATTTTTGAACTTTTAAAACACCTGTAACTGAATAAATATAAGGTGGAGCTGTTAAATGTCATAGTGTGGAATATTCCAGGCAGAACAATAATATTTCCACAGAAACAAGCAGGTAAGTTACACAGTATAATATCACATGTCACATGTCTCTAACCTGGATCTGCTGCGGCTGCGCGAATACGAGCGGCGGCGCCTGGCCCCGGGGCGGTCTTCGATGAGGCGTATTTTTCGCCCGTTCACTTCAGTACCGTCCAGTTTCTCCAGCGCACGCTTCATGTCAGCGTACAGCCTGAACTCGATCACGCCCTCGTTCTTACGGCCTTTATGGGTGTCTGCGTAGGTCACCTCTCCGGCCTGACGCATGTAGTCCTGAGGAACAGACAGTGATGTACAGGGATGTATCAATAACAGTCAATAAAAATAACCGTATCTTCAAACCTCTCACAATAATATCATGGGTGCTTAAATTAATAGTTACAGTGCAGCAATATAGTAAAAAAAAAAAACTGAGGGAACCAAGAGACCATGATCCCTTGCTCAGTTTCTAGGCCGATAACATGAAGAAATAACCGTTGTAAGCACTTATAAATCTAAATTTTTTGAATTATGACTGAACCAAAGTCTTGTCAACGAATTTTAAAAGGGAAAAGTAGCATATTCATATTTTTTTTTGGCCACAAAATATTGCAATAAAAATAACATTTAGTATTCTATGTTTTGTATGTCTCAGGGACTGCAAATGGAAATTTGCTTTGAGAGATACAGTCTGGTACAAAGCATCTCTTCAGCGTTTCTTTGATTAATGCTCCTGTACATGGACCCTGTAAAATAAAACTAAGCTAAACTAAATAAATTAAACTCACCTTGAGGTCCTGCCAGCTGCAGCGGCTGGACAGATTCTCTACAATGAGTCGATAGTCGGTCCTGATCGGAGGTCCGTACCTGTCTCTGCCCCAACGGCCATATCCACCTTTTAATGGAAGGAAAGGACAGAGCAAATGAGGCCAGGGAAGCGACGCACTTGGAATAATTATGCTAAACTAACGCTACATCTTCTAGTCATGTTGAAAAATAGTGTTCTACAAAATCATCTGGGGAAAAAAATAATAAGGAAAATTAAATGATTGTGTACCTAAGTTAATGTTATTAGCTGGTTATGTGACAAATTCCAGTAGCTAAGCACTAAAGCTATTGCTAATTAAAAAAACAAATTAAACAATAAAACAAAACTGATTGAGGAAGTACTTACGTTGAACTAAAATTATATTAACTACATTTAAATATCATTGACTATGATTGTAAAATATGTAGTGCTTCTGGCTGAACCCACATCTGATCCTAACCCTTTGGCATCCTCACCACCCGGCCTGGCCTAGTGGCAAAGCGGTCTTCATTCACACTGGCTCTGGCTTTTTTGGCTCTGCCCAGGGGCCCACAATGGTCAAACCACACTCTTGGAAAGGGGGGACACCATGGCCAGCAATTGGGGCAGGCAGTCAGCCAAGGACTCTTTCAATTAAAACATTGAGGTGCTTTGTTAAATCTTTAGCTTTAAAATTCACAATCATGTATAAATATTTACAGCAACATTACATTACATTAGATATTTAGCAGAATATATTTTACATTTAGTTACACAGTGTTTTAATAAGCCATAACCCCAATTTAAATTTCATTCTTAAAAGGTCACAACAATCACATTTTCACAGGTTCAAAAGTGGCTCTAGTGCAGGCAACCTTTTATTAAACAACAAAACGCTATGCCAATTTTGATTAGCAAAACGTGATCAGAGATTGTTCCTGTAGAAGTGGTCTAAAGTAGAAAGGGTTTCAGAGATGGTTATCTGTTCACGTTATTTTATTTTTAATTTTTAAGATTATTTGGATATGTTTGGTTATGTTTTGTGATGTTTGGTTTTTATATTAGCTCTGTTTTAGTTACTTTGTCAGTGTGAATGTGGTACATGTACATCCTCTGTGGTTGCTGTAGGTAAAAAAAAAAAGTTTCATGCATTTATAGCTTGATGTTTTAAGTAAAAACAAACACTCAGCTTTATAATGCAAGGCAAAATTTGGCTTACGGCATTGTGAATCCTTGCATTTCACACCAGTTCCATCAAATTGTAAATAACTTCTAGATTAGTCTTGATTTCAATAATTGCATAGTTTTGAAACTTACTTTTGAAACCTTTATATACCTTTGTTTTTCATTTTTCATTTCGTTTTTCATCCTTCATTTTTTACACCAGTCAAAAGTTTGGACACACCATCTCATTCAGTTTGTTACTACTAGATACATACAGAAAACATTAAATATATGGAATTATTTAGTAAAGAAATTTGACAAAGCAAAAGAGTGGGTAATTTGAGGATTTGATTTTAATTTTGTCTTTATTTTAGTTTTTTTTTTTTTCTTTGCTACATCATTCCATTCATCTTACATCATATATTTGATGTCTTCTGTTTTTGTGTCAAATGTAGAAAGTAGGAAACATATAGAAAACAACATTGCATGAGATGGTGTGTCCAAACTTTTGACTGGTGGTGTAGTTGACTGTTGCTGGGCAGTTGTTGAGCACCCTATTACAATGGTGTGGTACATTCTGTTCTCTTCCGCTACTTGAGAGGCAGCCACATGACATAAACATGCTTACAAATTTAAACAGCCATAGCACCTGTTAGGCTAAATAACAATCAGAGTAGCTTTATTTATATTTCAGCTATCCATTCAAAATGTGCTCAAAATGATTCATGTATCAGACTGTTGGAATAGTAAAAGCTAACCCAAAGTACAGATTGGAGTACAACTTTTAACTTTTTATCCCCATACATCACCCACTTCTACTCGTAATAGTAGATAACTTGAATATCTGATTACAAGGCTGATTTCATGTGGTTCATCTTTCTGCAAGTTATAAACAAGTTGTCTTCACAAGTGCCACCAGAGACCCTTGAGAAAATGTTGCCTCCTATCAAATTTACATTTCATTTAAATGCCCAAACATGTCCAAAATACTTACTGCGTCCGCCTCCTCCGCCTCCACCTCCTCCTCCACCCCCGTACCCCCCTCCTCCTCCTCCGCCGCCGCCGCCGCCCCCTCCATCACGACGGGGGCCTTTGGTGTGCTCCACTATCACACGCTCCCCACACAGCTCCTTCCCATTCAGGTCGTACACCGCATCATCTGCATCCCGGGGGTCGTCAAACTCCACGAAACCGTACCTAAAAAGGAAAAAAAGAATTCAGTTCAGTCAACTGGACCAAAATTTTAGCTTGTACCTAAAAACACAAAATGGAAAAGGAGTTTAATTAATCTTAGAGAAACTTTACTGATCCACAAGGGAAATTATTTGGATGCAGTAGCTCACATATCACCATATATTAAAATAACAAAGAGCAAAAATATAAATGGTAATAAATTCTAAATAAGTAGCAAAAATAGCTAAAGACTAGTGTCAAATACAGCATAATTATATTAATATATATGCACAACTAAACATAAAATATAGAAATATACTAATACAAATATTTCTCAGCTATAAACAAGAGGTCATAAGGAGCAAACAGGGCAAATATTAAATGAAATAAGTAAGAATTAACTGAAATAATGACTGATGAGGCAAATATGTAAATTGTCAGTTACTTGAAAAATTTCATTCATTTTCATTATCAAATAATTCACTGCACTGTGACTGTCTCAATTGTCTCAAATTTACTCAGTCAAATATAACAATTCACTGCTTTCCGGGTATGTGTCCATGTAGCTATTGCCTCTCTTTGTTTTGTATTGTTAATTATTATGGCAGCCATGCTAGATTTTCATCACACTGAAACAATATGGTTAGGTCCTGAAACTGTACTGCATTTATATTACGAAATTTGTGTTTTACTTACTGTATAATTTATGTCTCATTGGTACCAGTCTCTTGCTATTTTTTTACTGTTACTTATTTAGAAGTTCATTACCATTTTTACTCTTTGTTATTGTAATATAATTTGATGTGTGAGCTACTGGATCAATAAAGTCTGCCTAAGTCCAACTGAATAAATTGATCGCTGCCGGCATTGCATGAAACGTTCAAAATTCAATAAAAAAGTAATGACTTGACAAGAGACTCAGTTCCCTTAAATTGTGCTTTCAAGTCTCGGACTACATTTCATACCATACTCCCTACAACTGTACAACAACTCACCCTTATGTAACAGATAATACTCCCTACAACTGTACAACTCACCCTTATGTAACAGATAATATTCCCTACAACTGTACAGTAACTCACCCGTAACGAATAACCCTATGTCCTGTCAATAATAATATCATTGTCTATGACCTCTTGTACAGTATATTGCTGAGATTTTGTATTTTATTACTTATTTTTACATTTTATTTTGACTTGTACATATTACATTTAAATAACTATGTCGTATTTGACACCTGTTTTTGCTACTTATAGAATTGATTATTACCATTTATATGTTTTCACTTTGTTATTATTTTATTTGGTGATGTGTGAGCTACTGTGTCCAAATAATTTCTCTTGTGGTTGTGGATCAATAAAACCTGTCTAAGTCTATGTTTTAGTGAATTATTTATCTATTTCGGAAGGAGTTGAGCCATCCAAAGGTATACGAGCCTGTAATAATAATAACATTGGCATTGCCACGTCTCACATTAGCCGCGGCTGCTAACGCTACACCGTCAAGATCACGCTACACAATAGAAGCTAACCTAAATTAATGACATTTTTGAGCATCGTCCTGCAGATTGTTAAAGTGCTAGCAGTAATACCAACACATTAATGATCTAGTGCAATATTACACACACGCCAACAACAATTTCGCAATCTGTACCCGAGGCTACAGTTTGCAGAGTTCGAGTTAGCATTGTTAGCATTAGCCCCGGGACATCCGCTTGAGAAAAACAGTCGTATCTTACCCATTTTTCAAATCAACCTCTAGAATCTTCCCATAACCTTTGAAAAACCTCTCCACGTCCTTCTCCCGGGCCCTGTAGCTCAGTCTGCCCACGTACACTCGGGACATGGTGCTTTTTTTTTTTTTTTTCGGTGCCGACAACGACGAGCACACGGGAGCTTCTCCGCAAAAGCACCGCGGTCTGTAGGCTGCAGCGAGGACGGAAAACCGCGACGTAACCTGCGACGTAAATCTGTGACGTAAGAAGGGAGCGTGGCCTACGGTCTACGGGCCAGAGGCGTGTTTAGCAAGTCAAAGGTGCAATGTGCAGTTTTTCTGGCAGAGGGCCCGCTAATGTTCCACAGTGTGACATTAAACTCCATGGAGACAAACACGCGGCACGATCCAGCAAGTTAAAGGTTAGATTTGCAAGTTTTGATTAACTTTACTGATCCACAAGCCGTGTTGGGAAGGTTACTTTTAAAATGTATTCCCCTACAGATTACAGATTACATACCCCAAAATTTAGTTTGTCACGTAATCCATTAAATTACTTAAAGTGAGTAACGTAATCTGAATACTTTGGATTACTTGATTTGCTGTAGAGAAGCAAAGACCAGGAAATCTTCACATAAGATGTTTTGTCTGTTAAAAGTCAATAAAAAAGACCAGACTTTACTGAACCAAATTAAAAATATTATTGATAGAAGACGAGGAGACACGGTCCACGCAACATGGTGTAGACCTGGTTTTAGTCCTAGTTTAGTCTTGGTTTAGTCTTGGTTTAGACCTGGTTTAGTCCTGGTTTAGTCCTTGTTTAGATCTGGTTTTAGTCCTGGTTTAGATCTAGTTTAGACCTGGTTTTAGACCTGGTTTAGACCTGGTTTTAGACCTGGTTTGGACCTGCTTTAGTGTCTGGCAATGAGTGGAATTATCAAAAAAACAAAAAACAAAAAAAAACAGCCGTGTAATCCATTTATTTCAACCAAGTAACTGTAATCCAATTACCACTCACTGAAACAGTAACTGTAACTGAATACAGTTACTCATAATTTGTACTCTGATTACGTAACTCCGGTACTTGTAATCTGTTACTCCCCAACACTGTCCACAAGGGATTTTATTTGGAAAAAGTAGCTCACACATCACAATATATTATAATAACAAAGAGCAAAAATATAAATTGTAATAGTATATTCAAAATAAGTAGCAAAAATAGCAACAGACCAGTGACAAATAAGGCATAATAAATTAAAATATAGAAACATACTAATACAAATATGTCTCAGTTATAAATAAGAGGTCGTAAGGAGAAAACAGGGCAATAATTAAATGAAATAAGAAATAACTGACTGAAATAATGATTGATGAGGCACATATGTCAACTGTTTGTGACTCACTCGCACCATGTTTTTCAAGGTATTTTTTAGCACCTGTAATTGAATAAATGTTGAAGAGATGTTTAATAACATACTGTGGAACATCCAAGGTAAAACAGTCATTTTTATTCTATTTTATAACTTTATTATAATTAATTGAATTGATTGCTTCATTGTCTGATTTTATGCTTTATGGATGTTATTTTTATTATTCTTTACTGCCTGTACAGTGTTTTGTAAACCTTGTTTTTAAAAGTGCTTTATAAATAAAGATTTTTTTCTGTGTAGACAAGCATGCAGCAGACAATACATCAGAAAAGTTGCACAGTGCACCTTTAAAGCTAAAAACACTATGCATTTTTAAAACTACAAATTCACCACTAAACTTACAGATGGTAGCATTAAGTAAACAAGTTTTGTAATTGCAAGGATACGCAAAACAAAGGTTTGTAAAAGCTTTATTATGGACACATTATAAAAATAGTGGCACACAAATAACACATTTTAAGGCAGATGTTTATGCAGCATTTGCTTTAGTTTCAGTTGTTTTGTTAATATGTGAACAACAATAGACATTAGTACATATGTAACAGTGTGCTTGTAACACTTTGCACTCAATAGCAATATGTAACATGAGACAGTCAGTACTGGACATAACTTCATGATTTTGCAGCATGTTTAAAGTCCCTGAGAAAAAAAAAAAAGTCAAACAGATAAGCCAAAATTACTTCATAAATGATTAGTGCTCTACTACAAGGCCTATATATCAGCTCTGAATGTAAGCTTTGTAGCATATATAGATATTAAGCAGACTACACCTGGCTGGTTGAACATTTACGGAAGCTGATTTAGAAGCTGAGTTATAATGGTTCATGCAAAAACAAAAATATTATCTTATTAGTTGTAAAAAAAAAAAAAAAAAAAAAAAAAAAAAAATCACATTTCATAAGCATATTGGCTTTAATTACGCAGATGATTATATTACAATTAAATAACATTTTACTCCCCATGTAGATAAAAAATAAACTGAAACATTAAAATTGGATTAAAATGACTTTTGTAGCAGTCCATAGGATGATAGTTTGATGTGCTTTTCCGAATGTTTTGTGCTATAAGTCAGTTTAAAACAACACTTTGTCACATTTTACATTTAAAGATCCACTTTGTAACATTTCTAGTGGGGGGGATCAGCCACATGATGTCTCCGTAGAAATGTTATTGCTTTGACTAGAATGTTTCACAGTACAGATCACAAAAAAGACAAGCAGGTTACAGCACTACGCTACATTACAATTCAGATCTGTGGAGAGTCGCCCCTATTCACAGAAGGAATTATTGTATTTTTGAGCAAAAGAAACACCTGTAATGAATAAATGCTAAATGGAAATACCATGGAACATTCTAGGGAAAGCGTTAACATCTCCATGGAGACAAGGTGGCGGACTCTCCACCAGAAAAGTTGCGCAGTGCACTTTTGTCTGACCAACAAATAAAGACAAAACATATATTACTTCTATTTTAAAAACAAACATGCTTTGGTAACACTGTATGGTCATGATAAAAATATAAGAAATGTACGTAACAAAAGGCACAAAATCAATGAATAAATATTAATACTCATGAATTATTTGGAGGACAGCTCAGTTCAATTCATATTATGAGTTCTCTGAGTTCATCCTCTGTGTTTTGGGATATTTGTGTCTGTGCTTTTTTATGGTAGAAATGCGTCATCTTCATCTTCCTCTTTTGGTCCTGGGTCACTAAGGCAACGGGACATTGTTAGAGCGACATCGTCTTCGTCTTCGTCTGTGGTCTGGTTAGTCGGTTTCTTTGGTGCTGCTCTCTGATTGGTCGGTGGAGGAGTCTCATTCGGGACAAAGACGTCGTCAGGATCCCTGGAGGAGACGGAGGCGCCCTCAGATCTTCTTCTGTTGGGACTCTCACTATCGTCGTATGTGTAAACCTTGTGCTCTATAAAAATAAATAAAAATCAATGGCCAAATTTGTTTTTTGTTTTTTTTAGTCACACTACACTACTAACATGTCACTTCATAATGATACAGCGGTAGAACATAACAAAGTAAAAGTAGTAAAGTACTGTACTTAAAGGTGTATTGTGTAACTTTTTGGTTGGGGCTCATCACCTGCTTCATTCTATGGATATATCATTTCTCTGCCTGGAATGTTCCACAGTATGACATTAAACAGCTCTACCTTACACTTATTAAATTACAGGTGGTTTTACAGCTCAAAAATACCTAAATAGACAGGGTTGTCTAGAAAGGTTTAATACCATACATAGAAAGGAAAATAGAAATGTTTAAAGCCATACAGTGAACCTTTCCATTCAAAGCAATAACATTGCTATAAAAAAACCTCCTCTGGAAAAGTTGCACAATGCACCTGTAAGTATACATTTTAGGTATCCATATTTTATTTTAATTACAAGTTAAAGTGGATACTTTTTACTTTGACTTCACTACATCTGAAAGCAGGTATCTGTATTTTCTACTCCACTAGATTTTTAAACAGGACTGAAAAGTAAAAGCATTTTCATTTTTTCTTATTGTATGAGACCTACTGAAAACACATTTAACACGTTCAGATTTTGAGAAAACAAAAATATACAAACAGCTAAAAAAGGATCAATTCATTTGTTTCCATTGAACACAATTAAGCACAATTCTATGAGAAAAGTAAACCTTTAGGTCAGGAAGGAGTCTGATCTCATAAAGCTGTGAGCTGTAACAAAACTGACCTGGTTCAAAAGAGACTTTCCTCAGTGAAGGTCTTTCTTGGGTTTTTGCAGGAACTGTGAGATAGTGACTCATCTGTAGAAATAAAAATAAACAAATCATTATAAAAATATCATTATTTATCTCCCAATATGAATTAAAATTACTTATAATTATTTCTGATATATCTGACTTGTTCTATTTTAATATACTGATCCTTATTGCAAGCGTTATAGTTGGACACCATTTGATTATTTTTTTATTATCTTGAAATGAGCCACAAGTGCCAGGAAGCAATGTATTGATTCATTTATTCTTACAATGCACTTGTTCACGATATCCATTTGATTGATTCAGTACTTTGAAGTCACCTTTGTGTCAGGAGATGTTCAGAAGTACTGGCATTGTGCCCCCTAGTGCTAAAATTTAATGTCAGCCCCAGAGACTGAATAGAAAAAAGTGGACTAAAGGAGTGTGACAGCACTCAGATCCAGTCAAATGAAGCTCACAAAGCTAACAGTTATAGGAATTAGGAATAGGAATTTATTTACAGACAAAATTGTGAAATAAAAACACTAGCATTTGTGTTTTTGATGCGTATGAATCACTGTCGCTCTGTGTGCCCTTTTGTGCATTGGGGACTAATAAAGTTATTTGAATTGAATTTCTAAACTACAGCTAAGATCTCTCACCCTTCGCTCCATCTCCACCCTCTGTCTCCTGAAGCGCATCTCACTGACGTTGTCCTCGAACGGGTCGCTCATCAGGTCATGGCGACTGTACGACCGCAGCTGGAAAGGAAAAAAATATATAAATTATATAGTACAGATAAAAAAATATATAAATACAAATGATTAATGTTACAATACTCAAAGACTTACTCTCTGTCTTGTCTTCTGCAGATTTGCCCGGAGGATCTTTCGGATTTCTTCTTCACGTTTTTTGGAGATGCTCGGTATCGCTCGCTTCTTTGGCAAGTCCTTTGGTTGAATATTTCTGTAAAAATATATATTTTTAAAAACAGCATTCTTCTTTGTGATTCAGACTGAATATTTGCCATTCTTTTAGAGTTGATCAGAGGCATAACAGGCAGTAAGTGCCAAAAGTGGATTGTGCTATATACTACCGTATATAGTTTATTTGCAAGTATACACTAATATGTTAATCTTGCTTCTCTGCAGATCTGACCTTCACATAACCTAGTGGCGTCACCTGCTTGTCTCCATTATCTCCACATTCTAGGCAAAGCAAGTGATGGACCGTCCGCCAGAAAAGTTATGTAGTGAACCTTTATTATGTTTTATATAAAACACAATTTATTATTTTTAAAAGTTGTATAATTTGTATCTAAAACATGTAGTTATGAATCTGTTTAGACGTAATACTCACTGTAGGGTCACTGTGGAGACCAGTGTGGGCAGTTTAGCCGTGCTCCCACTCTCCACCAGCATCATGGCCTGTTTCATCTCCATCTTATTATAAAAGGAGAGGAGTTGAGGCTCTGTGGACCTCTCCCCCGCGATCAGCCAGCGCTTCACATACGTCTTATTGAAACGATTCAACCTGAAATATACAGAAAAGGAATTTAGTTTTTTTGTGAATAGAACAATATGTGACTGTGGCTGTGACTAGAATTACTACTGAATAAATGATTATATGACTCCTAATATAATCTACATAATTTGAGATTTTTCTGCATAATCCTGTTTTAGAGTTTAGGGAATTAATTAATTTCAATATTTTCTTCAGCAATATATATCACACTTCAAATGTTCTCACAATGCACCCTTTTGTTTCTGCTGTTGTGCGTACAAATCCTTATAATTTAAATAAAACAGATAGACAGATACATACTTTATTGATCCCCAAGGAAATTCAAATAAATAAAAATACATCAAATAATAATAATTACATGACTAAAAATTAATCAAAATAATATATATTTTAAGCGTACTTGTCTTTCCAGTGATGGTGTCCATAATGTCCACAGATGTCTTCAATTCCAGTGAGGAGATGATCCAAAAACTAAAGAAAAAATGCATTGTAACCTCTCAACTATAAAATACAGTGTAATATATAAGAAAATATAATATAAAAGATGTACACTTTTGCAGTACAAGATAAGACTAAAATCATAGAAATAAATCAACACATGTAATGATTTCAATGCTAACTTCAAGGAAATCTCCATAAATAAATTGAAATAAACTGAATGTTCAGACCTGTGTGTGGATCTCCTCGTTTATAGATCCTTTCGTTTCTTTCTTTCTCTTTACGGCCAGCAGCTCCACCAGCGGTCTGATGGTCATACCCTAGAGATGGAGAAATAGCATTAAAAGCAAAGTTTACAAAGTGCTTTACAAATAGAAAGAACAATACAAAAAGCATAAAAATAGCCTACAGATAATGGTGCAAACAATTCAGTTAATTATAATAAATAAATTACTAAAATATGAATAAAATCAAATAATAAAGGTCACATATTACACTAAGTTGACACTTGTGAGCTTTAAGTCATGTTATAATGTCCTCCTGAAAAACTTATCCACAGCTGTGTTTTGTTTCATTTACACGTTTGAGTAACCCTTCATTTTTTGTCTGTCTCCAAATCAAAATGCTCTGTTCCACCTTGTGATGTCATGAAGCGGTAGTTTTTAAGTTAACAGCTCCTTTTACCTTTAGTTCAGTAGAGACTGGCAAGTGTTTTCTGTTTTAAAGAACTCATCCTAAATATGCAGGGTTTGTGTGTTAAACGTGTGAATGAAAACACAACTCCAAGTGTGTTTGTGATGAGGAAACAACATTATAACAGATCAGAAAATAGTGTAATATGAGCCCTTTAAACTGAAATATATGTATGATGTGCCATACCTAATAATTATTTATATTGGAGAACTTGTGCAACACTAATTGGAAATCTACACAGAAACCTTTAATTGTATATTGGTAAACATGTTATCTTAAAGGTGTATTGTGTAACTTTTTTGGTCAAGGGTCTGTCAAAAGATTTTCTTCACGGGGATGTTATTGCTTTGTCTGGAATGTTCCATAGTATGGCATTAAACCTTTCTATCATCATGGAGACCAAACCAGACCAAGTTAGAGGCAACCCTGCGCACAGTCAGAATTCCATGTTTGTCTAGGTATTTTTGAGCTATAAAGCCACCTGTAATTAAATAAATGTAAGGTTGAGCTGTTTAATGTCATACCGTGGAACATTCCAGGCAGAGGAACGACATATCCATAGAAACAAACAGGTGAAAGACATCCAACCCTAAAGTTACACAGTGTGCCTTTAAATGAAACTCACCTGTACAAAAACGGTGAAAAAAATGACTGTGATGATGGCAGTGAGGAACATGTGCTTGAGATCATCATTGGTCAGAAGGAAACCCAGAGAAAAGGCTATTGCCCCTCGCAGGCCACCGTACGCCACAATGAACTGGTCCTTCTTGGTCAACTTCACAATACGGAATTTATTGATGATGTAAGTGAGTCCAATCACGCCTGAAATCAGACAAAATGTAGACAACCAGTGATCAATGATGAAATTATTATTACCACCCATTTATTATATCGCACCTACAGAGTATATAAAAGAAGTAGACTGGGTTAATTTCCCCTTTCCTCCTTTGAGTTAGTTATAATTTAGTTAGTTAGTTATAATCAGTCCCACTTTACACCTGTTTTAGCACTATAGTTTATACCTGCATATACCAGGTTTAGATTTGCTGGTTTTCAGAAACAGAAATATTTTGTCACGAGATACATGATGTTAAAAATGGTAGATATGCTTTACTATTTTTCCGTATCAAAAGTCCTGTCATAATACATTTTCAATTGCGATATAATGATGAAGTAAATATAAATGATTAACAATAATTCTGAAACTAGTTTATGCCACACAAAAGCTTTTCCAAATCTACAATACTCTTAAAAGACATGAGCTCAATAAATAAACAGCAGAATCACTTTAGTACTTAGCTTACATCTGAAATGAGTCATAGAATTTATTAATTCAACCTTTGCGGCTTAAATCTTATTGCATAGTCAAAAAAATTACAAAAAAAATTCCAGTAGTGTAAAGAAATTGTACACACGATTAAAATTGAGTCCATAAAAAATATTGTTAAGTTAGCTAGGGTAAGTAGTTGAATGATAAGTCAATATAGTAATTATCATGACAGGCCTGTGTAGCACTCAAAACAGCAAAATATTAACTTTCCTGAATACCTAAAAATACAGAATAATATGAAATAATATTAACTTTATGCACAACTAGGCCTGTTGAAAGAAATTTGGGGGCCCAGGGCAAGAAGCCTCACATGGTCCCCTAATATAATATAAATTAATACGAAGACCGTCCAATTCTGGGCCTTTAAATCCATAGAGTCCAGAATTGGGCCCCTAAAAACCCCTTTGTTCCCTCCGCCAATCTGCTGCCCTGTGTACAATCAGTAACAATCTTAAAGCACTCACCCAGGACTCGTGAGCCCAGGCACAGGAACACAGTTACTATGACGAAGGTCCAGTTCCAGGTGTGAGGCCCGACCACGGTGGAGACGCCAAGGAAAATGAAGATCAGAGTTTCACTGATGCTGCTCCACATCTTCAGGAAGTACTTTATGGTCGTGTAGGATTTATGGGAAATATTGGCTTCAACGTACGGACGCATCATCACTCCACATGAAATCAAACTGCAGGACAGAGACAGGAGAAGAAGAAAGAATTTGATCAGTTTACATCCTACTATTTTTTTATTCAGCATTGTTAATTTTATGATGATTATTTATGTTTTGATTGGTTTGTATTGTGGTATGCATGTCCTTATCACTTTGTGTACCATTAGTTGTAGATCCATCCTAAAATATTGTCTTGCTAGTAATGTTTATTTCTTGCTTTTTGTTTTCCACTTGTTATAAATCAAAGGTGACAATAAGACTAGAGATGGGTGGACCTGTCACTGTAATTACTGTATATCGACTTACCATTCAATAAATGAAAACCGGAACAATATTTTTTGGGGTCGGTATTTATCATTTATCATGTGCATATTTTCCTTACCATGTCAAAAAACTTATTTAGAATTTATTATAACCATTTCTCTTTTCTTATTATAATATATTATGATTTATTAACTACTGTGTAATTTCCATTGTGGATTAATATTTTTTGTCAAATTCTAAGTCTATAAACTTACTGTTGCCAAAACTAGGAAGATTAAATGTTTGAGTCTCACTAACAATCCAATGCTAAAACACTCTTGAATGTGAGACATTTGAACTGCAGTTATAAAATGTAGAGGGCATTTAATAAGAATCACAGACCCACATCAAAATAATAAAATCATTAAAGAGGTGGTGTTAAACTAAATCAGCTTTTTGGGGCTTTCTTTCATGTTATAAAGTTGTTCCTTCATCAAAAACAAGCCTGAAGTGATTTCCTGAATCATTTGCATGTTTGAGTAATCTTACAATCTCTTCAAAACACTATTCAAACCTTAATTTTGGTCTTTAGCTCTTTGCAGCAGACCCTTCATGCTCCCACACAGACTGTATAAAGAAGTGGACTAAGCGAGTGTGATTTCACCCATAGAGTTCAGTTCCAGTCAAATGAAGCTCACAAGGCTGGCAGTTATAGGAGAAAATTTGGAGTCAAGTTCAATATTAGGAATAAGAACTTATTTATGGATAAAACAGTGAAATAAAAATACAAGGATCCTGTAGAGCGGGTTAATATAAACATTTTAAGACCAAAAGGACAAGGCTCACTGTCGCAGTTACAGAGAGAGCTGACAGTTTTTTGAAGTCAGAGTTGATGGAGCCGAAAGTGCACCCATGCTCACTTCCTATTTGGAACTAGTGGATTAGCTATGTCCATTTACATATACAGTCTGCGCTCCTACCGAACTAATTAAGCTTTTTTCAAACCACCAAAAGGTAACATGGTGATCTAACTTTTTGGCTGGGGGTCCGTCACCTGTTTGTTTCTATGGATATGTCATTGCTCTGTCTGGAATGTTCCACAGTATGACATTAAACAGCTCTACCTTACATTTATTCAATTACAGGAGGTTTTATAGTTCAAAAATACTTAGAAAAACAGGAATTTTGACTGAGCAGGATTTCTTCTCCACACTGACTTGTAACTGTGAAACATTCCAGCCAAAACAATAACATCTCCATGGAGAAAAGCATTTGACGAACCCTCCTCCAGAAAAGTTACAGAACACACCTTTAAATAATCTTAAAAACAAAAGGATGGACAATAACACAGTAACAAAACTCACGACATGATTCCTGACAGGTGGAAGACTTCAGCCGACAGATAGGCCATGTAACTGTACAGGAACACAAACAGCGGCTCTATGACTCGTGTGTGAGACGTGAAGCGAGAAGTGAAGGCCCCCAGGATCCCATATATCGCCCCCACCAGGATCCCGCCGAGCGCTACGACGAAAAAACAGACCACGCCCAAAAACGCATCTCCCACTGTGACTCCACCCTCCAGAGAGAACTCTTTAAACAGGTGATACAGGACCTGGAGAGGGAAAACAGAGAAATACATAAATAGTAATGTAAAACCCTGACTTTATGAATGGTGTAGTAGATAATCACAATTTTTATTCTGATTCTATTTTGTCTAAATAAAAATAAATACACGGGTTTAAATAGCAATTTCTCGAACATAAACTAGACAGGTTTTTAAAGGGCAGATATTATGCTATTTTTTGATCCATGTTTCCTTATCAAAAACATATCTGGAAACGGAAAAGACTCATGGCATGAGGTAATACAGGAAATGCTTTTTTTAAACATACTCAGGGCCTGTTTACACGAGAACGACACAAAAAAAAAAAGACAAAATATTTTATCGGAAGTGCCTTTTGTTTAGACCATGATGCTGTTTTTGAGGCTTAAAATCTCAAAAATTTGAAACCACCCTCCAGAGTGGAAACACTGAATATGCACCACCGTAGCGTTTCCATCTACACTGCCCAAGACGAAAAACTCTGGTCAGATATGCTCACGGTGTGTACGCGTTTATGTCACATACATCACCACCTAGCATCACCACCGAGCCACCTGGCATGCATTCTCAATCAAATTCCACACACTTTTGCGTCACCATATGCACGCAGATTTCCTCGCGAAAATGCTTGTCTAAAGATGGAATAAAAAGATGCAACGCCACTTTTGCGTCTTCCGTTGAGACCGTCATCATATAAACGTAGCCTCATTCACACATGTCTCAAGTCTTTGACCTCAAGTGCTAGTCAAGTCCCAAGTCAAATACAGTCAGGTCCAAATCGAGTCTTATGTCACTGGCTCATAAGTCCAACTCAAGTCCAAGTCATCTGCTTTGAGCTTCAAGTCATTTCAAGTTTTTAAACCAAAGTACTTAGATTTTTGCAATTTATATGAATTTTAAGAAAAATTGTACTTAAAAATCATGGTATATTTATATATAAGTATTTATAGAGTATGTAAGAGTTGTAGAAATGTACATTTTTCCTTTTCAAATGTCTTGACAAGATCTTAGTGTGAATCATTACAGTGAGAATAAAAAGAATTCAGATTTTAAAATGCTTATCAAATCTTCTCAAGTCACGGGCCTCAAGTCTGAGTCAGGTCCCAAGTCAATGACCTTCAAGTCCAAGTTGAGTCACAAGTCTTAGTCTATTTTATCAAGTCAAGTCTTCTCAAGTCCTAAAAATAGTGACTCAATTCTGACTTGAATCCAAGTCACGAATTGCAAATCCACACGTCTGGCTCAAAATGCTCTGTCCTACCATGTGATGTCATGTCAAGTTTTTGAGTTCTCCACAGCTACCTTTTACCTTTTGTTCATTTGAGGTAGGCAATTCCAGGGCTGAAATCATCTAAATGATTCTAGTGAAGGTGTATGTATTACTACATTACCATATTACAAAGTGGAACCGAGTGTTTTCTGTTTGAGAAAAGAACACAACCTAAATATGCAGGATTTGTGTGTTAAACATGCACTAATGAAACAAAACACAACTCTAGGTCTGTTTGTTATCAGGAAACAACATTATAACACAAATCAGAGAATAGTGTAATATGGGACTTCCACTCACCACAGTGACTGCATCATTTAGCAGTGACTCTCCAAACACCAGGATGTGCAACAGTTCATTTATGTGTATCTCCTCAAACACAGCCAGCACTGCCACCGGGTCTACCGCCGAAATAATGGTCCCAAAAAGCAGACAGGACAGTAAATCCACTCTTTGTAACTGTGCCCCTGCAATCTGACAAACTCCATACATCGTCCCACCAATGAAAAAGGTATTCCAAAGGGTCCCGACCACAGCAAAGGTCAGAATAGTCCCCAGGTTTTCGGTGAAGGGGCGGATAGGTAAGAAGTAACCAGCGTCGAGGATGATGGGGGGAAGGAGGTAGAGGAAGAAGAGTTGGTCGTCTAACACTGGGGGCTCTTCTTTGATGGCTTTGATGACTCCACCCACCAACAGACCGACCACAATCAGCAGACAGCTCTCAGGGACGATGTTGGAAACACGAGGAATGATATGGAAGCCTGTAGAGATATGAAGGTAAATATTTATGTTATATTATAAGCCTGTAGAGATGTAAGGCAAGTATGGATGGTACAAGATCTCTTGCCACAAGATCTCATGAGACAAAATTGTCTCAAGATCGTGCAAACATGAGAAAAACTGTCTCATGAGTTTGGACAAAAAAGGGTTATGTGATGGTGGGCTACATCTCTTTAACAGTTCCAAAAAGCAGTACTAGAATGGAAACAAAAATATATATAAAATCAAAAATTGTGAGGCCAAAACTGGAAAGTGAAACGTGAAATTTGTATATTAGGAATTATGTCGTCTTGTCTTGTTCTTGTCAACCTCGTCTTGTCTTATGGAAATTGTGTGTCGTCCTATCCCTAAAGGCAAGGTAAGGCAAGTTTTGTAATAGCACAATTCGTACAAAGTAATTCAAAGTGCTTTACAGAATAAGAAACACATTAAAATCATGATACAAGCAAATAAAAAAATTAATAATCATCATAAAATTAACATTAAAAGAGAAGAATTTAAACCTTGGGAAACTCTTCCAGGTTTTCGCTGTATATAATGAAGAGTTAAATTATTAGATGTCTTTGCTTTGTCTGGAGTGTTTCACAGTGTGGCATTAAATCTTTCTATCTTCAGAGAGACCAAACCAAACGATGTTACAGATCAGATCTGTGGAGAGTCAGAATGCCTGTCTTTCAAGGTATTTTTGAGCTATAAAACCACCTGTAGTTGAATAAATGTAAGGCAGAGCTGTTTAATGTCACAATGTGGAACATTCCAGGCAGAGCAGTGACATATCCATAGAAACAAGCAGGTGACGGCCCCTACCAAAAAGTTACATAGTGTACCTTTAAAGTGATTTTAATGTCCTTCTTTTAATTTAAAGCACTTTTGATTACTTTTTGTACAAATTGTGCTTAACAAATAAACTTGGTAAATTGTGTTTTTTATGCCGCACTTTTCAACCTTCGAGACGTTCACACATTCACACACCAGTGTACACAGACACTGGGGGCAAGGTGTGTTAAGTGTCTTGCCCAAGTACACAACGGCAGTATTCTTCTGTGGGAGCTGGAATTGCACCTCCAACATGTGGGTCAGTGGGTCTGACTGCTCAGCCAGTGATGTTTAAATCGAGAGCAGGATTCAAACCACCAACCTACAGATCAGTGGATTTGCCTTACAAATGAAAAGGTAGAGTATTTAATTTTCTAGAGGTGACACTTTACTTGAAACATCAAATTAAAACTTTACTTCGGAGCATTCTCCATGGACATGGAGAAGTTTTATGCCACACTAGAATATTATAGCCAAACTGTCAAACAAACAACATGGAAACAGACAGGAGGAGGCCCTGTCAATAAGAGAGAGAGGCCTGCTATAACTAGTTATATTTTCAGCTTCGTGTTAAGGTGCTAATTTGAAGACAGCTGACCATTCAAAATATATACTTTGTTTTGAAATGTTAATACATAAACACCATTCTGAAATCTATGAATAGATTATAACTGACATATAAATTGCTGTGCCAAGGACATTGCCAGCTCAGTCCTTGTTATCTGGCCTACCTCATCAAAGGTATAATACTCCCTACAGCAGAAGCCTGCGCAGACTTGAATGGACAAAACCCAACCCACACTATGTGCATGTAAACAGAGTGTGTGGTGCTGATGTCTGCAGGTCCAGTATTGATGGTAAATAAACTTCTGTTATCTAGACCGTCAACCGTTACACATTTTTTCATGGCTGCTGAGCAAACGCTTTTTTCTCCCAAATTATGCAGATTAAAACTCACCCATAGACTTTTCTTCACCACAAAACCATATAAGAGCTGTGTAGTCATGTTTTCAGCAGTAATCTCTTTGCACTAAAGTGTTAAAATAAAGCTTTACGGGTATTTTTAGGCTAAAGGTTGACCAAAACTAAATATAAGACTGTGCTGGAGATTTAAAACAATAGTCAATGTGATGTGCTAAAAAGCCCAAATATCAGATGGATATACAGTATATAGCTCTAATCCAGAGTCCTGCTCTCTTTACAACTCTCTGCCTCATATTCTATAACAGTTATGTTCTGGCACCAAATTACCACTTTTGAAGCTCATATTCCACTACAAAATGACAAAATTATTTTTAAACACAAGTCTTCTATATTTCTATCGATTACTTATTATTTGGTTGGTGTTGGTGGACCAGGCCAGCTCTATTAACAGTAAGGATGTAACAATATCCATATCTCTCGGTACAGTATTATTTATTGCGATATTTTGGAGAGGCTGACATAATTGTAGATGGGACATTTTTTTGCTTTTAAAATACCTTGACAATATTTTGGTGTGAATTATTTCCATCATAATCCCAAGAATTCAAGTAAAAAATCATATTCCTTCATGTTTTCTGCTCTGAATTGAATCATGGGATATGTAGTTCCCTATGTTTATAAGATGTTGCTTCTATAAAACTATGCATTTAAGCAAAGAAACTTGTAATTCGATATATTGTATCACCCCACAATATTATTGTGAGACTTTTGACGATACAATATCATGATATTTTGGTTATTGTTACATCCGTAATTAACACCCAATACTTAAAACAATTTAGTAACTCAGTCAGTGTACCAAAAATGTATTTCATCCACCCATTGTGCTATCCACACTAACAACTACGACAGGTAAGGTAAGGACAGTACTGGTTCATTTTGTATTAGAGATGCACAAGTGGCCTGTGTTTCTAGAGATAAACACATACATAAACACCCTAAAATACATAAGGCTGGGAAGGTTCAGATAAATGAGGCGGAGTACAGACCATAGACTGTATAAAGAAGTGGACTAAGGACGTGCAGTAATGTCACCCGTAGCGTTCGGCTCCAGTCAAATGAAGCTCAATAAGACTAGCAGTTATGGGGAAAATTTAGAGTGAAATAAAAACATTGGGATCATGTAGAGGGGGTTAATACGAACATTTTAAGACCAAAATGACGAGGCTCACAGCAGCAGATATGAAGAGAGGGGCGATGTTTTTTCAATACAAAGTGAACTGGAGTGGATGGAGCTGTAAGCGCCCCAATGTTCACTTCCTATGTGGAGTGCAAAGGCTAGCAGGTTAGCTATGTCCGTTTATTAGGGATATAACAAAAATACAGTGATATCGTATTGTCAAAAGCCTCACAATATTATCAGAGGCCATCACAATATACCAAATTACAAGTCTCTTTGCTTAAATGAATAGTTATGGTGATTCCAATGTCTTTATTTATGATTTTATAATGTCTTTTTTATTCTGTAAAGCACTTTGAATAACTTACTGAAATAAACTTGCGTTGTCGTGGTGCAGCACTTGAAAAACACAAAGGGAACTACAAAGACCATGATCCTTTGGTGTTGTCAGTGTAGACTACTTGAAGAAATAACTTATGAAGCACTCTGAAGTCTTAATTCTTCATATTATAACAGTACCAAAGGCTTTTAAAAGGAAAAAGTTGCATTTTTGTAAGCCTCCATAAAATATCGCAATAAATATCGAACTGTGAGATGCATATAATGAAAATATCGTATCGAGAATTGTGTTAATATCATTACATCCCTATCAATTATAAATACAGTCTATGGTACAGACAAACCATCTGAGAACCATCAGAGGAGCAGGTGCAAAGATGCCGCCCAACAGTCACTTTCTGAATTAGTCTTATAACCAAATTATAAAGTACACAGGAAAACTTAGTGGTGATTGACTTTGTTCTAAACGCATTATTGAATTTCTTGAGTTATTCCAGTAACATCTCAGTGACAGTAAACATGAGAGACTTGAAAGCAGCCTCATTAAATATGAAACAGGCCCCAGTCTTTTCTATGGTAAATATTGACCTTGGAAAAATGCCAATAGTTCATTGCCAACAGCTATTTATGACAACACAAAATGCAACTCAGCAATGCAACTGTATTTGTAACAGTTTATCCCACAAATAAATCCTTTAACTGAATACTGTTAAATAGTTCTAAGCACAGCTGTGTCTTGTGTTATTATTATCGAGAACGCATCACGCCTGTGCTGTGTATCCTGCACTGGCTTCCTGTCTTATATAGGGTACAATTTAAAATGTTATTAATTGTTTTCAAATGTTTGCACTCCATGGGTCCAATTTAGTTAGCTAGTCAGGTTATCTCTGTGTTTTTATTGTAGTTTTCACATGTTATTTGTATATATGTATATGCAACTGTTTCTTCTATTTTGTTGACTTGTATGTGAAGCACTTTGGTCAGCTGAAGTTGTTTTAAGTGTGCTATAAAAATATAAATAATCCTGAATTGAATTGAACTGAATTATGTAGTTATGTGTCTTAGACTTACATTTATGTCTGCGCAATATGACAAAAAGATGTAAGATTCAATAACTATGGTTGGTATTCTGATAACAATAACGCCACAATATTTTAAGACACTTTTTCTGGGTAATTTTGCTTGAAAATAAATGTTTTGCAAACTACAGAAAATGATAAAAACTTAAAGGGTCCATATTGCGCTATTTTCTGATCTATGTAATAATGTTTTCCTCATCAAAAACATCCCCAGAGTGGTGTTTTTTTCATTCACACATGTTTAACACATATATTTAGGCATAGTTCACCTCTCAAACAAAACACTCTGTTCCACTTTGTGATGTCATGTGGTAATACTGGAAGTGCTCTACTGTGTTTTTAAACTCCATACACCTTCACTATAATCACTTGGATCATTTCAACCCTGCAATTGCTCATCTCTACTGTACAAAAGGTAACGTGAAAATCACAAGTACATGACATCACAGGGTGGAACAGAGCATTTTCAGTTTTGGAGATGTAGACAGACTAATGATAAAGGATCACTCAAACGTGTGTGAATGGAACAAAACAGAACAGGTTATGTTTTTGAGGAGGTAACAGCATTCTAACACAACAAAGTCATCACACAAATCACAAGTTTTGTATAATATAGGACCTTTAAAAGATTGTATTCAGTGAACATATTTAACACCACTGGGAAAATCTTTTATAAATGAGATAAAACAAACTATTACATTAAATATGCAACCCCAACACTATCACTGATTTCAGAGCATCACTGCTGTATGGCCCTGCCCTAAACACTACTCCTGTGACTGCGGTGAGAGGCCTTTCTTACTTTTACAACAATTTCCAAACCAAGAAAGTGAGGAAAGTAAAAATCTTCTTCCAAACAAATCGGTTTGAACTTCAGATTCACTGAATTAATTTTTACTCTACTCTCGTCTTGTAACCATATTAAAATACCAGCATAACAGACAGTATTGACACAGTCTTAATATAATCCCGTTTACTAAAGGTGTATTGTGTTACAGTTTGGTCTGAAGCCTCTGTTATCATCTGGAGCATGAGGAGGAAGTTGGACCGGCCCTACAGTATTGACAACTGCAGATAACGATAAGACCAGACAGGACAAGACCTGTGCTCCAGCCAACTGAGTAACTGCCATCTCATATACACGGTGAAAAAAATCTATACTCAGATATTAATGAACACTAAAACCATAAAACTGAAACTAGATACTCGTCTGAATAACACTGATTTGACACTGAAAGGAAATCAGATAAATGGGACATAGTTGAACCTTATACAGTGCTGGAATGGTCTGGATCTATAAATGGGTTTCAGAATGATGAAATATAGGACTGTTGCCGCAGTGATTAACAATTTCAAATCAAATATTGCCTAATACTGCACAAAATATTTGAGAAGTTGCATAGAACAGGAAGCTGAAACCCATGGACTCAGAACTGGTGTCACACTGCATTGTAATATTCAAGAATTCTTATGTGTGATGTCTATTGTATAAATAGTGTTTTTTATTATAATTGGTATCAAAATAAAGTTGTTATTTATGACAACACTGCCATCCCTACTAGGGGTGTGCAAAAAAAATCAAAATATCGATATATCATATTGTTTAATGTGATGACACAGTATCAATATTGTGGGCTGCACAAGAGTATTTTTAGGTATATTTTACTAAATTATTTTGTTACAGTGCTACAGTTTTGTTGCTTGTTTAGGGGCGGAAACTCATTTATGCAACGCATTTGGCATATTCACTGTTTTGAGGATTAAAATGGGTGTGTTTCATATTATAAGAAGTGGTTTAACAAAGACTTTTAGTATCATAGCCATGATTTAGCCTTTATTTCTGAACTGTATTGAATCGATTTGAAATATACTGTATCGAATTGAAAGTGCACTGTATCGAGATATGTATCGTATCGTGGCCTATGTATCGAGATATGTATCGTATCGTGGCCTATGTATCGAGATATGTATCGTATGGTGGCACTGGCCTATGTATCGAGGTATGTATTGTATCAGCAACTTGTTAATGATACCCAGCTCTACAATCACAGCTGTGAAATTGTAGCAGTTATGTAAGCGGAGGTGAGTGGAGCAGTCTGTATAAGAGGACATAGCTCCATTGACCTTTCAGCCAATTACAAGGGAACTGGAGCCAAGCATTCAAACATGGTCCACACTGAAGGATATTAAAAACAACTGCTTATTTAGGCCTCAAGATATAGTAGGTCAGTTTAGTCATGGTAGCCTCAATTTTCTGATCTATATTATAATGTTGTTTCCTCATCACAAACACCCACAGTTATGTTTTGTTTAATTCACAAATGTTTAACACACAAACCCTGCATATTTAGGCTGAGTTCTGCTCTCAAACAGAAAACACTCAGATCCACCTTGTGATGCCATTTGGTGATACAGGAAGTGCTCCATACACCTTTTTTATTTGGATCATTTCAACCCTGGAATTGAAGTTTACAGATGTAGACAGATAAAGGGTTAATGAAACATGTGGGAACATGACTCCAGGTATGTTTTTGAGGAGGTAACAGCATTTTAACATTGCTTTAAAGCTCACAAGACTCATGTTTGTGTAATATTGGACCTTTAAAAAGTTTAAGTTTTGGTTAAATCCCCTGCTTATAGATAGGACTGGACAGTTGTTGGTTCAAATCTTGTTTTCTTCAGGGGACCATAAAGTTGTCATTGGGCAAGACACACCCACCATTCAGTCTGTAGTGACTGCGTGATTGAATAGTCTTGGAGAGCAGCCAATCCATCCAGTTTTGAGAATTAAGTTGAAGCTGTTCACATATTTTATTATGACATTTCTACATAACAGTCAAATACCATTCTCAAGGTCATATGGCATGTTTTGAATTTTGGGTCCAAGGTTTTTTATCTTTTATCGGCATAGAGCTCAACCTATTTGAGACAATATTCATCATTTCATTTGAATCAAGTCAGCTATTCTTTGTCCTTTGGTCATAACAGCTATTTGTTGTCATAGTAGCCCAAGCGATGCACATGACTTTAATCTATGGAACAGCTCTCTAAAACACAAAGTACATCTGGAGACAGTACGGCAAATATACCTTTCACTACCATTTACTGTATATTTTCTCTGTATATTGTAATGTGTGAGCTACTGTGTCGAATTAATTTCCCTTGCAGATCAATAAAGTTTAAAGATCCTGTATTACCCAAAATTGACTCCTGTGAGTTTTAAGATGTTGTTACCTTTATACAAACATACACACGTTTTGTTTCATTCACACATGTTTGAATAACCCTTCATTATTAGTCTGTCTACATCAGGGGTCATCAAACTAAGGCCTGTGGGCCGACACCGGCCCTCCATGCCACTTTGACCGGACCCCCTGCCCCTCTGCCCCCCCCACCACTTGGCCCTATGAGGCAATCCTCAAAGGTTTTTGGCAAATAATAACACGTCTGCATCTTGTAGTCTGTTGATATCATATAATAATATTTATATGAAGTATTTATATTTAAATTTGTATATGCTGTATCTACATTTGCTGCCAAATTTTCATCACCTGACAAGCTCGAGATCAAACAGTGACAGTCAATGCATGTCGTGCAGAGTTCAGTAGTGCAGTTAAGGACAGCAAAATAGTGAGTGTTAAAGTACAAAAACTTGACAGAGAGTGCTGAGTTGTCAAAGAACAGTGGACGACCGATTATTTTTTTGTTTAGTGTATGGACTGTGCAGTTTGTCTGATATGTAAAGAAAGTGTGGTGGTTTTCAAAGAATATAATCTGGGTCGTTGGGGTCATACAATTCTGTTATACAGCCTAAACAACCCTGGCTCCCCATCACAGGCAGGAGTGATAATGTGGCCCCTAGAGAATAAAGATTGGTGACCCCTGATCTTCATTGTCAAAGCTCAAAATGCTCTCTTCCACCTTGTGATGTCATGAAGCCCTAGTTTCATGTCTTTTGCCTTTAGGTTTGGTAGAGATTGTCACTTCCAGGGCTGAAATTAGCCAAATGATTCTAGTGAAGGTGTACAGTTTAAAAACACAGTGGAGCTCTTCCTGTATTAGCGCATGACATCACAAGGTGCAACAGTGTTTTCAGTTTGAGAGAAGAACTCAGCCTAAATATGAGGGATTTGTGAGATAAACATGTGTGAATGAAACAAAACAGAACTCTAGGTCTGTTTTTGATGAGGAAACATTATAGCATAAATCATAAAATAGCGTAATATGGGCCCTTTAAGAGACAGAAATGCAAAACAATTGAATTAACTTACCAAGTTTCATGAGCAGAGCCAGGAGAATCCACAAAGAGATCTCAAAGGGTTTTCGAATATGTGCATAGTTGAAGGATAAAACAGGAAACGCCTTTTTATGGATCGTGGACATGTTGTGGTGTCCCGAGCCGTCTCCGTGGACCGTCCCCGTGGATCCGTCATTTTTCGGGACAACATCACGACTCGAGGAGGCGACCGCCAAGCAAATGAGCAGCAAAAAACACCAAAACCTGGCGGTGAAGTGGAGAGACGAGCCAATCTGGGTGGGACTCTGCAAGAAGCCAGGGAGCACAGCCATTTTTTGATGAAATTATGGCTAAAATTAAACCCGAACAATGCCCATTAAGGGGAGATCAGCGCTGCACCCGTGCCGAGACAGAAGCGCCGCTGGATGGGAGGAAGAAGTTCGCCAGACGCCTTAGCCCACTTTTACGCACCAACTCCTCTGTCATTTTCAATACATAAACATCTATGACAACTACATATAGACAACGTAACTCTATGTAATTGGTAACCCGTGTCCTGAGCCGGCATTGCGCGTAGTATTGTCCAGTTTCGGTGCGTGTAAAGGCATCCGCACTAGTTGCAGTCTCTCCTCTCCCCAGCGCTGCGTAGCGGTCGTTTTCTCACGCTTTCTCCTCATGATTTGATTAACGGGGTTTTCCAAAGCTGTAAAATAGTGCCGTCTGGTGGAGGGATGACCAAAAAATATAATATGATTTAAAAAAACGCAGAGTTGACCCTACTTGACTCATCAAATGTCATGTCATGCAGTTTAAGACTTTACAGAAAACTAAACTAGGGTGACCAGACGTCCCTATTTACCCAGGGAAGTCCCAATTTTGAGCCCTGCTGTGTCCTCTGTCCCTGCAGATTTATCTCAAACCATTAATTTATCCCCATTTTATACAAGAAATGTTCCAGGTGTCTCTATTTCTGACCAATTTGATACGTACCAAGAGTAAAGGGAGGCATATATTGTAATTTGTTTATGTAAAATACAGAAAAGTTGCTTAAAAATGACCAAAACACAAAGAAAATGTGACTATACATGTTAGTTATGAATGTTCTCTGCGTAACAGTTTTCCTTAATTAACCAATCATTTCACAATTTTATTACTGTCAGTCACCAAAAAACAAACTAACCCAAAAACCAAAAAAAACAACAACCCAAAAACAAAAAAAACAACGCACAAACAAACAAACAAATGGAAAAAAATTATAATTCTGGTTACCCTACTGAAAACTGACTTCTTTTCCCTGGTATTTAATACTAGCTAGACTGAATATCTTGGTGTTTTACTGTAGTTTTCACATGTATTGTGTTATACTGTATAGAGCCCGACCGATATGGATTTTGCTGTGGCCGATATGAAACCGATATAATGGGAGTTTGCGCTGCCGGTGGCCGATATAATCGCCGATATATTTAGTGATGTAAAAATTCACTGTAAATGTTGAATTGTTTAAAAAACTTAGGTTTGGCTCTGGTGGATTTTAAATTGGGTTTATTTAGGCAACATTTATTGTTATTCTGCCTCTTTACATCATATTTACAGACAGTAGGTTGGCTTAATGGCATTTTTGCATCACATTCTAGACACTAGTGATGGGTATTCCAGTTCTTTTTAGAGAACCGGTTCTTTTGGCTCGGCTCACTAAAAGCTGCTGGTTCTTTTGGGTCCCAAGTGGCTCTTCAGATTGTTTTGTTGCAAGCAGGACTAAAGCACGTCTATAGCAGGACTGAATCAGGACTGAACCAGGTCTAAACTAGGGCTGTGTCCCAATTCGAGGGCTGCAGCCTCCGAAGGCTGGTTTTAAGGCCGCATACGTCACTTCCGGTGAAAGAAGGCCTGTCCCATTTCATTTTTATGTCATGCAGCCTTCAAATGCAGCCCTAAAACCGGCCTCGTTTCCATGGAAATGGGGCCGCGAACGGAGGACACATCCGAGTATCCTTCGCAGCCTTCAGTATCCCAGCATGCACCGCGCGGCGGCAGTCAGATGTTCGAAAACACGGAGCAAAAAGCCGGTCCCGAGAGCGGAGAAAAACATGTGAGTAACACTTTTAACTTTAGGAAATCATTACTAACACAACTGTAAACGTAAAATACGACCATAACTCCCACAAAACTGTCAAATAAGTTTGTTTTTAACTGCGTGAACCGCGGAGTTTTGAGCTAAAGTTTGCCTAGTAATGTGCAGCTAATGCGATGAAAATTGAAAAGTCCGCTCAAACTTTCATATTTGGACACATTTCCATCAAACACTCATCATGTTTTTACTGTTGGGGGAAAAGAAGCCCACAGAGTGATTTAAAGAAGCAACGAGGAGAAAACTCCACGTTTTCACGGACAGTGTAAACATGTAAACAGTTGGTCAGTGTAGCTCGGAGTTAAGATGAAAACACACATTATTTCATACATTCAACTGAAAAAAGACTCAGTCTGACTCTATCAAAGCTCATATTTACTTGTAAATCACATAATATAAGCCTCCAACGTGTGCATTTCATTCAGGGAATACATTATCTGCTTTTAACAATCCGTGCATGTTTGTAAAGTGAAGAGTATATAATATCCTGCCTGGACAGGTCAGATTTATGATGGACATGAGGCTCGTTTAACAGATTTGTGCAGACACTGGTGTAGATATGACCCAACTGTCTGTTTGGTCTGTCACATCTAATGTTATAACAATGAGAAATCTGTTTTACATTAATTTTCTTTTCTCATCTGCAGCCTCCTGTATGAGGACACGGCACACTGCAGGGGCCACAGAACTGTTGGCTGACAAGATGCTTGTGATTCATAAAATGGGTCAAATGCAGATGACAAAGTAAAGCCAACACTGAGCTGGAGGTGCTGACCCAGACTCCTGCCAACGATTAGGTATGGGGCATGTTACATTGAAAATTGTACTAATAAAAAGAGCTGCAAATGAATCATGCTTATGTTGAAATTATGATTTAAATTGTGAAAATATGTATTTCTCAAATGTGTGGGATTCCTCTATTCATTTAGCTGTTTCAGATATAAACTGCCTTTGAATCTGAATGTACATCAAAGTTTAAGTTCAACGTTAAAATAGTTTATTGTCAATTCTTCATACGAAAAACATATAAAGAATCGAAATTGTTTTTCTCACTTCCTTGTGTATAAATAAATAATAATAAATGTAAATAGTGCGGAGGGAGTCCAGGTGTTCTTTGGGGCTCCATGCTCTGTGAAACTTATTTTCCTCTAATAGTTTTGTAGTGTTCTTAATGTGTGTGTCATTACAGGTTTTCACTCTGCAGGACAGAACTTTGAATCAATCAGACGCAACAACCATTCTGCTCTTCCTCCTCCAGAAGACGAGAGACACATCAGACTGAGTGGTCCAAGTCCACTGTCCATGTCTCCAATGTCCATGTCTCCACTGTCCATGTCTCCAATGTCCATGTCCAGAGTCTCTGAGAAGCAGGTCCAGAGTCTCATATGATCTGAACAAGTGTGTGAGACAGAAATGAAAACATCTGCTCATAAGTGTTTCTGAATGTTTTTCAGCCTGTACTGACATTTGATTTATGGTGAAATGTGCCATTTATTTGGTGTCTCTTTTGATAGTAACTAATTACATGTACTATAAGAATGTACTATTGTACTGCAGATAAGCTGTGGTATTCCACATGATCATATCTGGCAAAGATAATTTGTTCATTTTTGATTGTCACTTGCTTCAGCAAAAAGGGAACACAATGAGATTTACTGACATACAGCTGTTTGTACTAACCTGTTAATGCAGTGTGTGTGTAATGGGTTTAATATTTGACTTCATATTATGATAAAGTATTTCCAGACGTTCCTTGGATTGTTTAATAAATCATCTTTTCTCAGGAGAGATGTCTTTCTTTCTTTACAAACTGACTGTATAAATGTAATCCCTGGTCAATATAAAAATCCTTAATAATGATAATATTTAGTAATACATATCTCATCACAGTTTTTTTTTTAAGTTTAAGATAATTTAGTCTATTTAAAATGTATCCCTTAAATATAGCCGTTTTGTTTTGCAAAAGTTAAACATACATTTTCGGTTTTGGCCATAAGATTTGGATGCGAATTATTAAAATAATTTGGTCACAAAATCCGACAGTTTGATGACCTGTGCGTATTCTTTTTACTGATCCGTGTGCGGAATCTGCGCGGAGCGTGTTAGCATTAGCATTAGCGCTAGCAGCGTCCCTCGGTTGCTAGGCGACAGGGGAGCGGCTCCGAGGTCTAGACTGTCCCATTTCCGCAACGGCCTGGCGGTCCGCGGAGGCCAGTTCAAGGGCTGCAGCCTTCGCGGCCGACGAAGGACCCAGCCTTCGCAGCCTTCGGAGGCTGCAGCCCTTTGAATTGAGACACAGCCCAGGACTGAAAAAGGACTAAACCGGGACTTATTTATTTTATGCTAAACTACAGTCAAGTATGCTCGTTTTTTTATTTTTATTTTTTTAATCCTATGTACACGCAAATTTCTCAAAGTTTCGTTTTTAGCCGCTGCCGCTGTCAAACCACGAATCTGCACGCGGCGTGAAGAGAAAAAAAGTGAGAGAAAGAGAAAACACGGCTCCCAATAAGGAGCAGGCTCCCGTCGTTCCCTTTAAAGAGCCGGTTCTAAGAGTCATTTCGTTCGCGACTGACCCATAACTAGTAAAGAAAGTAGCGCTATTAGCCTTTAGCCGTAAATACGTGCGCGCCGCGGTAATTAATTATATGCGCAAATGTCATAATTCACACGTCTGTTCACAGCTCATTTACATATCAGTGCAGGTCCAGTAGCAAATATACGGCCAATATAGTCACTTTAGAACAGACCAATAGAAAACAGTCTGTTTATGTGCGGGAGCTACAGCAGCTAACCCATAACAAATGACAAAAACTAGCTTCAGAGTCGACATATTTCCAACACTCACCGCTCATACAGGCTCCTCCTCACATCACAATTCTGCACTAATAAATGTCCTTTTAATCCAGACTCAAACCGATTGTCCGTAAAAAGAATATAATCTCAGTGTTTGGATCTGTGTCTGCGGGTGTAAACAAACACACGTGAGTGACGCGACTCTGTAGTGTGTTCAGGGACAGTATGGACACACACAGACAAATGACTCCGTAGATAAATACTGATGTGGAGCCACATATTAGGACATTTATCTGTCTGTAAATTGGATTAAATGAACAGAATGTAGAGAGTCTAAGCTTTATAACGGGGTATAACATGCCCACGTGAAATATCGGCCCCTATCAGCAAGCATATCGGCCGATATGCCCAAAGTTGCCCATATCCGCCGATAATATCGGCCAACCGATATATCGGCCGGGCTCTAATACTGTATGTATATCTGTTTCTTCTGCTGTAGACTTTTATGTGAAGCACTTTGGTCATCCATCCATCCATTTACTTCAGCTTATACAGGGCCAAGTGGTGGGGGCAGCAGTCTAAGCAGGGACTCCCAGACTTCCTTCACCCTGGACACTTCCTCTAGCTCCTTTGGGGGGACCCCAAGGTGTTCCCAGGCCAGCCAAGACACATGTCCCTCCAGCATGTCCTGGATCTACCCCGGGGCCTCCTTCCGGTGGGACATGCCCGGAACACCTCCCGAG